TTTCATTCGTTGATTGTCTATTCTCTTATTTTGATTGAACCATTTTTCAGAGGAGGTGAGGATAATCAATAATTCCGGATTAAGAAAGAGGATAAAGAATAAGAGGTATCATGATGAAGAGAAGATAAAAAAAGAGAGCCTCCGATTCTCTGACCATCATAATCATCTTCATCTTCATTATAATGTTTATCATGAAATTTAACTTCAATTCACATCCTGATGAAGATAATGATGAGCATGATGGAGGAGGAGGAAGAAAGAAAAGGATAAAAAAACCACCACGAGAAAATCTTAGATGATGATGAGCCTCATTCATTGATATAACTTGTCATATCTTAATCTTATCTCAATTTCTTGAGAAAAAAAAGATTAAGATTAAGACATTTTCTTGTAAAACCTTTAAGGTTAACAATTTTTTTCTTCAATTCTATACTTTTATTTCAACATCATCATCACCATCATCATCAAATAAAAATGACGCTGATGATGATGATAGAGAAACTGAAAAGCTAATGATAAACAAGGAAGAGCAGTAAGTCAGATGAAAGAAAAACAATATATAAAAATAAAAATGATTTTATTAGATAATCAAATAGATTAGTGAAATATATTAATCTATTTGCTCCTTATTTTTTTGTCAACATTCAATTTACTAAAATAACGATTGAAATGCTTTTAATTTATTCGAAAAAAACTTTTAATTAAACCTAAACGGAAGTGAAACTACCTGTTGATTGATCCAAGAAAATATAATCGTAAAAATCAACGACATTTATTTGATTGTATTTCCAATTTTGATACAGTTAAATTAATTGTTTATTCAATCTATTCATTGAATTGACGAACACAGGAAATATATCTTATAATTTAAACTAATTTTAACCATCAAATTAGCTTGATAATTAAGTTGATTGTGTCATCTTTCCCACTGAATGATAGATAAATGAATTAGTTACATTATTTGTATTTATGATAAGTTAATCAGTAGAGACGAAAACTGATTTACATGATTAAATTTCCCGGAACTAAATAGTAAATTGACAAAATAGATGAAGATGATGACCCATTTTCATCAGAATCTTCACTCTTTGGCTTCACTTTGATTGTTGATTATTGTTTAATCATTGTTGTTGTGGTTAAATTGTTGCCAATAAGTTGATCAATTGGTTAAGGTTATGAACTTGTTGTAAACAAATGAATTACCAGGAAGAATTAACAATAAGAATGAGAAAAACTCTTATTGTTTTTTCCCTGTGATTAGTTCAATGAATGAGCTCATAGAATTATGGAAATTTATTATTCTAATCCAATCAACCTAATCAACAATTCCAATCCTATCCACTTAATTAACTCTGGGTTCAAATCTCACAACTTTTACCTGAATTAACCCTTGACCTTGTTGATTATTTCATTAGTTAAAGTAACAGTTTTGTTATTTTTAACAATCAATTATCGTAAAATTTAATCATCGTTAATGATATGCATTGATTTCTACTCTTAATTATTAACAATCAACTGATCAGATGTTGTTAATAATAAACTAACGATTTGAGAGTTGATTCAAAAATAATTTCTTTATTTTTGATCATCAATTTTTAAATTGATTCCAGGAATAAATTTTTCATTAAATTTAATTGCAATTAATCAGTAACATCAACCAAGGTTAAAGGTTAATTGTTAATCTTAATCATGATTAACGTTCAATAATTTCCAATGAAATTTAATCACCAACAGCTAAATAGCCAAAGAGGTTAATTACAATTAGATAATCATGATGAGTACATTGCAACCAGTTTAATGGTTTAATTAAATCTTACACAATCTCAATCATCAACCAATAGTAATAACGATTAAATAAGTTCAAGGAGATAAACTGATTTAATTGTGAGAATTGATTATTGGAAAAAAAAAGAAATTAGTTAATCATTGAAATCACAGTTAATGAATTAGCTGCTTCAGACTAATTTAATTGTTGAAGGTCTTAATGATAAGTTAATTAATCAACAAACTCACAGCTTAATTGTTATTACCAATTAAATTTTTATGGTCTTTATGATTGTATCTAAATAATTATTAGTTAATCATAACAATTAACTCATTTTGTAAAAGTTGATTACCTTCCCTGTTTATACACAAAATGATTAACTGTAAATTGTCAATTTAAAACCTACAATGTTGAGCAAGTTGTCTTGTTAATCGGTTGATTGGAAGTGAACAACAATTAAGGAAAGAGATTAACCTTGATTAAAAGTGATGATTATCACAATCAACTTTTAGTTAAATTGTTTCTTTCTCTCTCTCCTAAATTACCTTTGAACCGTGTTGATTGCTAGAAAAAAATGATTGCAATTAATTTTATCAGCATGTTAATGCATGTTGACAATTAAAAGGATTCACGTTGATGTTATTGAAGATTTTACCTTACAGGTAATATTTTAATTAATAGGAAGACTGTTGATCAGGATGATTAGGAAGATGATAAATTCAAGAATTCACTTAATATCACGGTCTACGGAAGATGGATGATGATGATGAAGATGATGAAGATTATTGAGAGAGAGAGAAAATGTTCACTGAGTTTAATTCACAATCAACATAATCAAAAGTTAATCAAAGGGGATAAGTCTTGTTGTTGGCAAATTGTTGTTGAGGTAATTAAAAGTTTTACTGATTTACTCAAGTTTATTGTTTACTTATCATGTTCATGGTGATGTCCTTTGTCATATTGTTATTGATTAGTTGGTGAAGATGAAAAAGATGATGAAATGTGATGAGTTTGAGATTTTTTTTTTCTTCTCTTTCCTTTTCCATCAATTGGTTATGGTTAATGAATGATGATGAAAAAAGATATACAAAGATGAAGATGATTGATTTTAATGATCAATGAGATTTTCTTGTAGTTTTCTCATTCCGGGTTCATTGATGGTGATGATTAACATGTTAATCATCATCTTTTACTCATCATGATTATTATTATGTAATTATGGTCAAGAAATGGAATCAGCTTGATGGTTTCTTACAGTTATTTTAATCATCGTCTTATTGTTTGCTCTTTAGACACGAAAAATCAGCGTGATTTTTACAGGAAAACAAGATGATGATGATGATGATGATGATTAGGAAGAGAGATTAGAATTGAGAATGTTTTTCTTTATTTTCTTCAATCTTACCTTGACCAAATAAGAGTAACAATATTTTTGCAGGAAAAAAAGTTCTTTTCTCTATTATGATGAGAAAAAAATGTTCAACAATCAAATTCATTGCTATTCTCAACTGATTACATGGTAAAGATGAGATCTGGAATCATCTTCATATTCATCCACCTCCTCATTAGCTTGACCATCATCTCAAAATGATCCGGAAGTTAAAGAAACTTTTTCCAATCAACATCCTTTTGTAAGTTGTAATACTTAAATGATTGTAATATTTATTTCTCATTTCTGATTACAATTTAAATTGTATCAAAATCTTCACCTATTCAGTTACATTTCAAGTTCAGATAATTACAGTTTCATCATGTAAATACAATTAATTAGCCACAATTTGAAACCTTAAAGACAATTTAACTTTTTATCCTTGTCGTTGAAACAACAATCAAGTTAAAAGTTTCGGACAAAGGGATTTGATTAAACATTTATGTTATAATCATTAGATTGAGTTAATTGTTGTGTTTTTAAAATTTTTAAAGGTGGGATTTTAAAGTGAAATTAATCTCTATAACTGGATTAGTGAGTTTTTTTTACAATTACCTTGATTGTGAAAGGAAAATAAAAAAAATTGGGAGGAGATGTTGTTGATTTGGGATTGTGGGTTAATTTGATTATTGATACAAACATAGACTTAGTTAATTCTTGTAAAATCAACATGATGAATTCATTCTGTGAAACAAGTTCTCCTTTCAATTGATATTACTCGAGTTATCCTTGAATGTCTTCAAATCAATGGCGATTCATGGGAAGGATAAAAATCTAGATAATGATTCAATCGACTTGATAAATTGATCGAAGAAGAAAAATTAACCATGGATAATATCGGCCATTACCTTGTAATTGCAAGTTAATTTTTCTAATTCAGATGAAACAGAGAGAAGAGAAAAAGAAGAGAAAGTTTAATTAAGTAAGATGAAGATGATAATGATAATTATTATCTCGCTAATGTTTTAAGCATTTCAACAAATGCTGAAGAAAATGAAAAACTTGAAGATTATCTTGATTGATATTATTTTGTTTACTTTTTCATGAGAAAGACTAAAGTTCAAAGTTTATCATAAGAATTTCATTTTTCCACTTCTCAGTTTTTCCTGACTTTTCCTCATCAATGATGATAATCACTTTTGTTAACATGGTCATTGGACTTACAATTGAACCTTGACCGCATTTAACTGCTACCTTGTTCTTGTTGTTGTTGTTGTTACCTGAGCATAAAGTAAATAATATTTTGAGTTATTTATTTCGTCGGGTCTAAAATTTCATTGTAACTTTAACCTTAATTGTTGCTGTTGTTGTTAATACTTAAGGAATTGTGATTTGTGATAATCGGTTGTAAACTTTGGTGAATAAACAATATATTGGATTCCAAAGGAATTGGTGATGATTAGACAGAAAAAGAAATGTATATTTATATGATTTCCACTCTCTTGCCAAGCTGGCAAGAGAAATGCAAGGAGATGATAATGATGATAATGTGTGAGAGAGAGAAAAGAAGGTGAAATTAAGATAAAAAGAAAGAGAAGATAAGAGATGATAAAAGAAAGAGAAAAGAAAGAGAAAGAACCGGGAAAAAAAAGTAAACTAAACCTAAGGGAGGAGTCTTAATTTTTGGTGGATGAGAGGAAGAGAGAGAAAAGGAAAGAAAGAGGGAAAATGGCGGAGGAAGAAAGAGAGAGGGAGAGCGGGAGAGAGAGAGAGAGATTCAAGTTTTCTGTTTATTTTTTTCTCTCTCCATCTCCCTCTCTCTTTTTTCTTCCAATTTTCTCATTCACTGTCTGCCTTTCAGTTGCTCAGAAAAGGTGAACATTATTATTGTTTATTATTTACTGTGAGTTCTATTTATTTGAAATTAGGTGAAATTGTCGATTGTGTAAAGTGTTTTCGGTGCCTTTCGATCCACATGTGAGATTACCAATGATTGGAAAGGAATTAATCAATTAATCAATCTTCTCACTGGATAATATTGGATTTATTTGCCAAAAGCAGAAAGGAATTGGTGATGATGATGATTAGAAAGATGAGAAAAAAAGAGAAGAAAATTTCTCTCTTGCTAATGGAATTCATTAGGAAGAAAACAAAAGGTGAGTTTCGTTTTTTTTCTTCCTTCTCTCTCTCTCTTTCTCTGTCTTAATCCGATCATTTTACAATCATGATTAGTTAATTTTTTGTTTTCTTTAACTGATTAAAGTAAATTTATCAATCAACCAATAGATTTTTCCACCGTCGATAATCAGTTGCATCTCTCCTATGATTAGGTTACGAAAACGTTGTTTAATGTTTAGGTTTATCATTTGTAATTAAAGATTATTGTTGACTAATTATGATGATATAATTAGATACGACTTTTAATTGGTGTTTGTTTACAATTAATGATGATACTAATTAATCTCTCTTCCTCTTTTTATGTTTGTATTTACAGCTTATCAGGTAACAACGGATGATGACGATGAATATGTTAGTTGGGGATCTGATTTCGATGAATCTTGTTCAGACGATGGTACCGATGGATTGAGTGCTAGAGCCAATGGAAACTGTGATAACGATGATTACGATTTAAACGACGACGATGACGATGAAGAAGATGAGGATGATGATGAAGATGAAGAGAATGACCGTTTAAATGGGAAATGTGAAAGTTATTCATTAAATGGTAAAAGCGACTGTAGGTCATCTCATCAGCTGAAAAATCGGGTTAATGAGAATGTGGAAAAAAGTGAAAATATTATCCATGGATCAGCAATAACATATGATAACACATATGAGGCCATTTCGGAGACACCATCAACATCTAGTTACGGTGGTTCCTCTGAGAACAGTTCAACGTGTTTCTATGAAATACCTCCTGAACGTCGTCGAGGATCAAGTGCAAGTGATAAATCATCTTCCGGTATTGGAGGTATGAATGGTTCGACACGGTCAAACAGTGGCGATGACCGAAGTGACCTTAGCTCATTACACTTTGATGGTTACTCGTTAGATGAAAAGAAGCGAAACTCTCATGATAACGATTCTGATCTAAATCATCATCATTATCGTGATTCTCATAATCATCATCACCAGTGTCACCACAATAACAATAATCATCATCATCATCATCATCATAGTCCACATCAACTTTCAGTTGAAGTGACCAAAGAATATATCATGAGAGAATTAAACCGGAAGAAGCGAAAACTTCTTAACGGATGTGAAGCATCTTCAGAAACCTCTTCAGGTCAATGTTCAGTGCCAAGTCCAAAACCCCGAACCCGACCTTTAGTTAAACCAGCGATCCCACCTAAGCCTAACATGTAAGTCTTATAACCTTTACACTTTTGTTTAGTTTCAAGTGTCAACCTTTTTTTTGTGTATAACAATTGATTTAGTTGATTGATTGATTGGTCATCAATGACAATTTATATATACTCTTAGAATCAAGTTCATGAACCATTGAATCAAATTAAATTAAAATTAAATTACATCTCAAGTAAACAATCAAACAGAGAGATAGAGAAACAATCAAACAATTGGTTGAAAACACCAACTGAGTGTTTATGTTGATTATGATTTTTCATTGAACGATATTTAATTGTATAAATTATTATATTTCTTTTACTAACATGATTAAATATTAATCAAATTGATCATCACGAGCTTACAATTTAACTAAATTATATTTGTTTATCTTACCAACCCAACTAATCAATCCAATTATATTCAATCAAATTTACGATTATCATGATTACAATTATTATTCATTTACTATTACATTTCAATAATTGATAGTTCTAGTTGATGATAATTTAATTTCTCACCTAAACAATTAATTTGTAAACATTTAATCAGGAAGTTGATTTGTATTGATTGTTTGACCACAAACCCTTTTTCTTACTCTCCTTAAATCATTACAATTATTCAATTTTTCATTAATATTTAACTTCCTCGTAACCTCAAGTTATTTGATAATTGATAATAACCTTATCACCATCATTAACCTGAACAATTAAAATTATCAATAATAATACCTTATTTTGTCATAGTAAATTAATCACAATCAAAAAATTTGCTCTTTTTTTTAATTGCAAGTTGATTAGTGATAATTACTCACCATCATCTAGTATCAATTGGATTTTTACATTCAAATTACATTTGAACGTGTGTTGTTTCAATTTAATAATTAGTTACAATCAAAACTTAATTGTGTTTTTTACTCCAAGTTAATTAGTTTAATCAACTGTTACCTTCATCACTATCATCAAATCAACTATTTTTTTAATTCTTTTCTGATATAATTAGTTTACTCTATTTCCATTACACTGTAACCTTTATATCTCTCTCTCTAGATTTAAAAGTAAGTTGATGATGGAAAGTTAATTGTGATTTGACCATTTTCTAAGTAATCAGTTAATTTATCAATCCATTCAATTGTTGTTCAAGTTAATCTTGACGTGTATGTGTTTGGATCAATTTAAAAGAAGTGGTCAGTTTACATTCAATATCAACCTTGAGCTAATCATCAACCTTAATCTTGAAAATTACTATTTGATTTTTAATTGTTACAATTGAAAGACCATGAGTCCTCCTGTATTGCTTTTAATGGTCATCCGTTTTCATAACATGTTAGATTTAATTTTGATTATATGCTAATCATTTTAATGATGATTATAATGATGATGAATATCTCTCTCTCTCTCTCTCTCTCTCTCTCTCTCTCTCTCTCTCTCTCTCTCTCTCTCTCTGTCTTTCTTACAAATGATTATTATCATCATCATGAAATTCACAAGAATTTGATGAATTGATGATATCCGATTTTCAATTGAAAGGGTCACAAGTGATGAGGTTGATTTAATATCTAAATGTAAATCAACCTTAAAGCTACGGAAATGTTTCATCGTCAACTAATCAACTTTTTACTTCATCCAGTTAACTATTAACAATAATAATCAGCTCTTACAATCAAAAGAATACATATCAAGTATTATCAATGAAGCGACAGTGTAATTCAAATGGAAGAGTAATCATCTTAATTGTTAACAATTTCCATTGATTGTTATTTATTCCAAGTTAAAATTTTGACATGCTAAAAAAGATGTCAATCTAATGTCTTGTTGTATGATTTACTAATTGTAATGATTAATGTACTACTGATAGAGAGAGAGAGAGAGAAACATAATCAAAAAGATTAATGATAAATCAAAGCTCCATTTTTGAGTCTTGAATTGAAACTAAATTAGTTTCGTATATACGATTAGGATTATCATCAACAACATCATCATCATCATTATGTAATGATGATTAAATAAACAATATACAATATAAATTCAAAGTTAATTGCTAAAAATACATCTTGTGGTATCATGCTAATCATAATCACAATCAAGTAAATTAAAAAAATTACATTTCAGATGAAAATGTCATCATCATAATCATTATCATCATTTACCATCATCAGACTAAATTAATATAAAATTTACCATCAGAAAAAAATCTAGATTACAATTTAAATGCTAAATTAAATCACTTTGAATATTATTTTTTTTTTCGTTGATTGTGAATACGAGGCTCTCGTCGTTAACAATTCCCCTTAATTGTAATAGTTAATTGTAGTAATAATTTAAACATCTACAACAAATTTGAAAATGTCCATCATACAAATTAGTTGATTAATATTATTAATCTAATGATGTTTTCCCTTGTTGTTCAAATGATAATCATCATTATAATCATGCATCTAAATGATGTTAATAATATTTTAGATGAATGATAAAGATACGAGAGAGATTATCAGAAAAAATAAGAAAAAAATGATTTAATTTGTATGGATAACGATTTAATCCATACATTGGATAACCTTTACTCGATTTTTTTTTCGTTAACCTAATTTTCTTGTTTAGTTGTTTAATTACTTCGTTAACTATTTTGTTTAGCTGATTGTTTCTGTTACTGTTTTTTTATTGTTGTTGACAGTTTAATTTTTCAATTTACAGTTAACTGTGTATGTTGACTTGTTGTTAGCTGATTATTATCAATCATCATCATCATCTTTTTTATCAACATGATGGTGAGACAATTTTGTTTATTATTTTTTTTCCCTTCGTCTGCATAAAATGAATGTTGATCATGTTCGATGATTAAAACAAATTACAGTTAGAGAGAGACCTGATTATAATGATAATCTTTAATTTTAACAACTTTTTATATTGTATTTAAACATTATTAATGAATTAAATGTGTCATTTCACTCACGATTACACTTTAGGTAAATGATACCGTTGATTATTAGTTTAAATATAAATACAATTTGTTTATAATGTTGTTTTAATTCATAATTTTCATTATCATCTTCATCCGCCGACGTTATTTAATTTTAATTGTTACTTTTTTTTCATTTAATTTCCCCTTTAGATCAAGATAAATTATCAATTACCTTATTTGCTTAATTGTTGTTACATGAACACTAATGTGATTTAATCAGTAATATTTACTATTTTTTCACCATTGTTGATGTTATCAGCTGATATTTTTTTTTCTCATCGTTTATTTATAAATTTGAATTGTTATCTCTCTGTTTACATTTAGAAATTAATTGATAACAAATATTTTTATTGTTTATTTTCTGTAGAGCTCAATTTAATCAATCGAAACCTGGAAGTCCTGGAAATTTAAGGCGAAAGTTACGTCGTAAAATCGTTCGTCCCACCGGGGAACCTCCTCCACCTCCAGTACCGAAATCACCTCCTCCCATATCACCAGCATCATCTAAACTTTCCTTAACTGATCGTCTCGCTGAGTTAACCTTGGACGATTTGAATGAAGTTCTTGGTGTTCAATTATCATCTGAACCGGAAGATAATGGTGATAATGTAGATGGAGATGATGGAGATGGTACTCTATCAAAATCATCAACAACCACCACCACCACCACTAACAACAACAACAACAATACGGATGACAATCTAAATACAACAAATTGCTTAAATCAAAAGGATAGAAAACAATTACAGTCAATTAATAACCACAATTTAACTGGTAGTCAAAACCAGAACCAGGAACATTTTACTGAAAAAATGGGATTGATAAATGATAAGATTAGTAAAAGTAGTAACCAAAGTGAGACGAATGACAATAAATCTGATACCGTTAATAATAATTATGATAACCAATCATCATCACTTGCTGAAATAAATGATATTGTTAATGGTATCATGGATCATGATGATGATGATGACGATTTTGGAGACTATGAAACACCGTTAAACTTTAAAGATCCGATAGGTCAACAGATTAATAATCTTCACAATTTAAGAAGCACCTCAGTTTCCTCCATTAGTGATGGTCACCATAAGCCACCATCACCTTCAACTATCAATGGAAATAGTGGTCATCATCAGTGTACAGGTTCATCAATTGTTTCCTCTTCATCGGGGTCAACATCGTCACCTTTATCATCACCTTCAGGTTGTAATCGAAAGATTTCCCGATCATCGTCTGTAGCTTCAGGTTCATTTCCACCCGATTTGGGTTTCTCAGACTGTACCGGAATATCGCCTTACCCAATCTCACCACCACCTCCATTTGATGATAACTTTTGTTGCTCATGTCGAAAGTTAATGAAAAGTGTTGGATCAACGCCAAATTTAAATGCCATTAAACCCTCTTCATCAAGTCGATCTGAATTGTCCCTTTCACAAGTTACATCAACAACACCTTTATCATCATCATTGTCTTCAACTTCTTCAACTAAGAACCAATCAAATCAACAATCAACAGCCTTTGACAATGATAGTCATAATTCATCATCATCTAATCATCACCACCACCACCACCACCATCACCTTCATCATCATATTCCACACAATCAGCAGCAAAAACAACAACAAAATCAACATTCTTATTTACATTCACATTCAACATCAAACCTTTCACTATTAACCGTTGATCGACCCAAATTACCAAGAAGTAAACCTGATTGTGGTAACACTAATAGCAACAATAGCAATAGTAACAATAATAATAATAAAAGTTGCAGTTATAATAATAATAATTTAACCAGTAACAACAACAACAATAATAATAATACATCAACAGGAATTAGTTTTAAAGCTGAAATTGCAGCTAAATTTGCTGAGAAAGCGGCTTATGCTAAGAAAATAATAAACTCACGGCCTCCATTTAGACCTTTTGAAACAATTTATGCAACCGGAAAATCATTTGGCTTCTCATCATCATCATCATCTAATCAAGCAGGCAAATCATCCTCATCATCAATTTCATCTTCATCTTTAAACATAAATGCTAATAACAATCACAATATCAATCGATCAGGATCAATATCTAATCTTGCTCAAAGACCACTACCACCTTTACCTGATGATGTTATGCCAATTGAAAAGTATTCATGGTTCCATGGGCTTGAACGAGATTCGGCTGCCGCTGTGCTCGAACACCTTGGAACCGATGGATCTTACCTGGTCAGGCCATCCAAACGAGCTGGACAGTCAAATCCTTTGACCCTTAGTATCTTGAATCATGGTAAAGTTTTTCATCTTAACATCCGTCGTCGATCTGATGGACTTTACTGCCTTGGAAAAGAAAAGGATAAAGAAAGGGTAAGATAAACAATTAAATTTTCCATTAAATTATTTCATCTAACAATCAATCAACAATTAACAAAGGAAGAAACAAAAATTGATACTCTCTTACAGTGATAGTTATCATTTTAACGTTTCAATTGATTTAATAATAAACAATATTTGTGAGGCAAAATGAAATGAACTTTTAATGCTCACAAATTTTGAAAGGAAATCAATTGTTAATCATTAATAATGACAAAGGATAATCATGATAATCATCCTTAACAATTGTGATTAAAATCATGATACATTCTATTATTATGATAACAATAGAAATAATAATGTTGAGGATAACGGTGATTTTTAAATACGAGAAAACAAATTCATTTTTGATTAAATGATTATTAAATTGTTACTGTTTTTGTTTGAAATTTTAATTCTTTTTCTTCAATGGAAAAGATTTAATTTTCTATTTTATTGAAAATCGTGTTACCTAAACTAATGTAAATCTAAATTATAGTTTATATTGTATTTTGATTTGTAACGTTGATGAAATAGTTTATCATAATAACAGCAATCAAATATTGATTAAAATCATCAAATTTTAATATAAAAAAATCATATATTTAGATAATGATTAAGAAAGTGAGGTCAACTTGAAGATTTTTTTTCTCTCTCCTTAATCTTGATAATGATATTTGTTATTTTCATGATGATAGTTCAGAAGCAATGAATTTTCAGTGTGTATTTAGTATCAAATTACAACTAATGGGTGTGTTTAGATGTTGATGATGTGAAGATTGAATTGAAATTAAATAAAATGAAATGAACGAAACAAAAATTCAGCAAATGAAAAGGTAATCAGATAGCCGAGTTTATAATTACTGTTTATGTTATTGTGTCTAAAAATTGATGTAACTTTTATATATTAAATTGTATGTTATTTTTATTGTTGATAAAATGTTTCTCTCTCTCTCTCTCTCTCTCTCTCTCTCTCTCTCTCTCTCTCTCTCGGTCTCTCCATCATCATAATCATCCTCATCCTCTCCTCATCATCTTGTATCTTTTTTCCAGGTCAAGCCGTGATTTTTAAGCTCACAAGAAAACTTTTTCCCTTTACCTGTACAATACATGATAACCTTGATCAGACTTTATTATGTTTCTTATTATTATATTAAGATGATGATGATGGTCAGCTAAGGTCAGCAAGAAGAAAAAAAAATACGAAAGTAACTCTTACATTTACTTTTTCATTTCATTCTTGCAAATCATAATCTTCATCTTTTTATCTTCATTACTCACCTTTCTCTCTCTCTCTCTCTCTCTCCCTCCCTGATGCTCGTGCTTTAAAACAATAAGATGGATCATTGAGTCTTTTTTATTATTATCATCATCATCCAGCATAATAATAAACATAATCTTGATTATTTTTTTTACCTTGAGAGAGTGAAAGAAAGCGGTATCATCATCATCTTCAGAAGCATCATTATTATCATGATTATCAGCCTTGACCCAAACAGCCCGACGACCCCCGGTTGAGATGATAGTGAGCCTTTTATCCAGTATAATGAAAGTTAAAATAATCAACTAATTCCGTTGATTAAGTTAATTGTATATTCACTTATTGCCCCTCTAAAGTTGCTGTTTCTGTACTTACGTTTCTCATGGTTAATTTAATTTCTCATATTTTCATCATTCACCCTTTGTCTGTCTCCCCTTTGAATGCAATACAAAGATGATTACTTGATTGTTTGATGTATTAATAATATAATTGATAAATTTCATTTTCTTTCTTCCTTTAATTAACTAATTGTCAGCTGATTATTCTTGGCATCAATCAATGACTCTTAATGTGTGTGTGTGTGTCTGCTTGTAATTGTTGCTGTTGTTTTTAGGCCAATCGTCAGGTTAATAATTTGACAATTACATTGATTGTTTTTTATTATTAAAACTAATTGAATTTATAAATACAATCAATTGCATCCTTATAACAGTAATCACCTCATCTTCATAGTTGATCATTTTATTTTTTGATTGGCCTCAACTTTGCATAATTAAAAAATTGTGATTACCAAGAAATGATGTTAATCATGATTATCATTAAAATCATTCATCTTACTTTTTTTTTCATCTAATTGCTTGATCCATGTTGACATAAGATTGATGGATTAGTATGATGAAGTTTTATAAATGTAACTGTTTCTTACGATAATGATGAAGATGAAGATAAATCTGATCATCACCGTCATCATCATCCTACATCATTAACTGTTGATGATTTTTCATCATTAAATTTTTTTATTTTCCTGACTTCTTATTTTAAAAGACTTAATTACTAATTAATAGTTAAATCATCACAATTAACCGATAATTTTGGATTAATTTCTAATGCATTAACCTGAAAGATGTATAAAAAAACCTTTTAATTCCTGTTCCTCTTTTCACTCATAATAAACTGTCAATTAATTGGTTGATTGACAAAGTATCAATGATATTACTTATCGATGGTGATAATTAAATCGTGGGATGTTAAGTTTAATTGGAAATAAGCTCAATTGATTGCTTTTAATCGTTAAATTTAGACTTACAATCAAATCAAATGTATGTGAGTGTGTGACTCTGTGATTATTGTTATCCTCATCATCACTTTAAAAGAGATAATTTTTTCAGGATAATCATTAAATTAAATCCTTGAGAACGATCAAAATTGTTGATTAACACTTTTTGAATCCTGATTGAGTTTTCTAATCATTTCTTTCACAGTTAATTGCTTTCAATTTTTGAAATTACTTTTTTATCAATTGATAAAAGGATGTGTGTGTATGTATAGATGATGATAGAGATGATAAAGAGATGCCTTGTCTTTTTTTTCAGATTAAGATTTGGATTTAATTTCAATGTATTGTAAAAATTAATTCATTGGACAGAAATTAAGGCAAAAAATTGGGTTTCCACAGTTAATTTATCAACACAATCAAGACTCTCACTGATTGTTGAGATTGATTTTAATGAACGTTGATAGTTTTCATTAAATAAGTTAATTGAAATTCAGGTTATTGGTTAGGTCACTTATTAACGATTAACTTGATTCAATTTGATTGATAAGCAAAACGAAACGATTTTTCATCCACCTTGAAAAGACAATGAAAAAGAGTGAGAGGGAGAAGGAGGGAGAGAGAGAGTAAGGGAGGGAGTTGAGAAAATCAGATCAAATTGTAATTGACTGAAAGTCCAACAATCAACTAAATGATTAAAGAGCAGAAAACTTTTTTAACTTCGATCGTTCTAATCAATGTTTCAATCGTTGTAAACAATTAACTCATTCAAGAGAAAAACAAAAGCTGATTAATTGCAATTGTTTTTGTTTATTAGTTTATTGATTGTTGATTAGTTTTACTAACATTTTTTAATTGTTCCCTCATTCTTAACATATTGTTTTCTCGTTATTATCAAATTCAATAATCGTACTAATCATGATTTCCTTTTATTGAGTTTCGTTTATTATGATGTTCGGGTCATATTATTGATTGAATTGATTATATCACCTCATGATGGTTGATTACTTGATTATTACCAATAACTTGACTGATTTGCTAATTGTTTCTTTTTCTTTCTCCAACTTTTGTATAAACAGACTTTCGCAACTGTGCCTGCATTGATACGCTTCCATCAGAAAGAGCCAATCCTTTTAACAACGAAAGGAGAATCAGCTGGAATTACTAAATTAATGGTCACTCCAATTTCATCCTCATCAACAATTAATCCATCATCATCATCATCACAATTAACAACATCATGAAGCTCAAAATGAAATAATTACAATTGTTTCTCTGCCTTTTTGTATCTTCCTCTTTCTTTTTGATTTTATCTTTTGAAATCTGAATTTTGTCTCTTTTACACCCTACATTTTCACCTACAATCTTCACAGTTATCTAACTCTCTCCTCCCTCCCTCTCTCTCTCTCTCTCTCTCTCTCTCTCTTTCTCTTTCTCTCTCTCTTTGGATAATCAAACTTCCCTAGTCATGAGCTTAATCAATTACAATTAAAGTAATTATTCATCTTTATAAATAATAACAAAATAATAATGAAAATGATGTTAATAATAATAATAACTTTGCCCTTTTAAATTGTATTTATTTTTATTTCTTGGTCAGTTACTCAATTTGTTTCCCTCATTGACCATAACCTTTGATGTTGATTATCAACCAAAAAGTTAATTTCAAGGCTAATCTCAATTGTGATGGTTATTAGCAATTTTCCTTGTTAAATCAAACCCCGGTTACAACAATTAACTAAACTACAACAACAGGAATAACCAAATAATACAGAAAATTAGACAAACCACCATAAGGAAATCTTTTAAATATCAATTATCATGAAATATTGAGACAAAATTGTTACAATTTAAATTGCAATTGTCAGAACAAAGATCAAACTTATTAAGTTTTCATAATAATAATTCAAATTTAATTAATTGAGTACAAAAATGGCACAAAAGTGACAGTTGAATTTGTAAATTTCACCGTTAATTGAGATTATGATTAACCAATTGGAAGAGTAAAAACCAATTTTACTCTTTTAATCCTCTAATCTCTTACTAATCATTTTCCTATCAATGAATTTAAATGATAATCAAATGATGATCTAATCCAAGCATCACCTTTAATTAGATCAGCTGCTTTCTCGGCAATCATAATTGTTGGAGCGTTTGTATTACCAGAGACAATGGTTGGCATTATGGAAGCGTCAACGACCCTCAATCCATTTACACCGATAACTCGTAAATTTTGATCTACAACGGAACTTGGATCGTCGGGTGAGCCCATTTTACAAGTACCCGTTGGATGGTAAATTGTTAAAGTTAATAATCGAGCCAAACAAGCTAAATAGGAATCACTTAACCAAGGATACAATTGACAACCGGGAAAAGGGATGTCCAAAATTGAGGAACCAAATATTGTATAAGGCGGAGAATGGCCTAAACTGAGACATATTTTCATAGCTTCGATTAAAGTTGTTACATCATCAGGATGAGATAAATATCGAGGATCAATAATCGGTGGTGCGTAGGGATTTGGTGAACGTAATCTAATCGTCCCACGGCTTTTTGGCCTTAATAGAACAGGTAACAGGGAAAAAGAATCTATTTTCTCAAAAGGTTTATAAACAGTGTCCCAAATTTCGGGCTCGACTCCCGCTAATTTAACTAAACTTTTACCTTGATCGGCAAACACATTACCCGAACTGAAATGTATCTCAATATCAGGCCAATCGAGCGATAAATTTGAATACTTTGTATGGACAAAGGCCAAACCTTCAACTCCTCCTAACGATGTCAATGGTCCCGAACCTTTGGTAAAATATTGACCCAATGTGATCGGATTGAAAACCCGTTTCTCGGTTAAACTTAATTTAGAGTTAATTGTGAACGTTAACCCACCAGGATAAATGTGATCTTGTAAATTATCACCAACCGGTAGATCGGCAACAATTGGTATCTTCATAATGAGAAATTATTAAAATTAGATTACACGTATCATTGTAATGATTAAATCAAACTATTATTACTTACACCAAGATGATTTAGATGATCTGAATGTCCAATTCCCGATAACATTAATAATTGTGGGGAGTTAATTGCTCCACCTGAGATGATTATCTCTTGTCTAGCATATACAAGGTATGACATTGAGAATCTATCAAATTGAACAGCAATCGCTTTTTTCATTTGATTGAAAATAATCTGAAAATTGTGAGAAAAAAAATGGAAATAATTAGTTAATCATGAAGAATAACAATCAAGTGATTACGAACTACTGACCCTTGTAACATAAGAAAATGTTACTACATGAAGATTATCTCGATTCTTGGAGGATAATAGAAATGCTTTAGCGGTACTACATCGAGCACCGTTACGAATTGTCCCTTGGGGTACTGTAAATCCTAAAATTAATCACAATTAAATGGTAATTACAAAGAAATTCAGTGATCAATTAATATTATCGAAATTGATTTTGGTATTGTTTCAATATAAGAGTGAGTATTAAACGATAGTCATTTGTTGTCGAATCGAAAATGAAATATTATCGAAGCATAAAAGTGGAAATTGCGTTAATTGTTGACAATTTAGCGACAATTAAGGCTGGATAATTTATCGTCTGTATCAATCAATGCATGTAATAGCTTTTGATTCGGTAATTTTTTGATCATTCTGATGATTTTTACCTGTTTGACTTGGACCATTAATATCAACATAATCATAGCCAAGATAAGCTCCGGCCACAGGCCACGATTGTCCCAACGTCGTTAGAAACGGCGGTGTTTTTACCGTTAATAGACCATCTTGACCATGGAATCCTGAATAAAGATCGTAAATTTATTATTCTGATGTTGAATTGAATTGAATAATTTACCATTCGCAACAAATTGATGATCTTGATTATCTTCCGATTTTAGGAAATAGGTGAAGATCTGTTCCCAACTCCAACCATCGGCACCATTAGCAGCCCATTGATTGTAATCGTTTTTATTTCCACGGACATACAGCATCACATTAAGGACACTAGACCCTCCAAGAACTTTACCTCGAGGCCATCGACTGCGTCTATCTCTCAGTCCAAAACAAGCCGATTCTTGAGGTTCAGTTAAATAAGACCAATCCATCGGTGTTTGTTGTAACACTTGATAGGCCACTGGAATATCACTAATTGTATTTTCACTTCCACCCGCTTCGAGTAATAAAACCTTGACCATTGGATTTTCCGACAATCGATTAGCTAAAACAGAACCAGCTGATCCAGCACCAACTATCAATATTTACAATAGAAAAGGTTAATTGTCGAGACTCAAGTTTTTATCACAATTAACTTACCGATAATATAATCATATTCCTGGTCCCATGAATTACGAGTAATACCATTATCTTGATCACTTTTACGAAGCATAAACCAACTGATCAACGGCATGATCGCTGGTATTAAGGTAACACTATTTTTCCCCAGCATTTCATTATTATTATCACAATTTACTAATCCAATGGATATTTGTTTCTACTTTACTTTCAACATTGATAGTTTGTTAATCCACGATGATTCACTTGATGATCATAGAATGAGAAAATATTAACAACAACACAAATACTTCATTGGAATTGCGAGTTTATCCAAACAATCAACTGATTGTTTGATACAATTACCAAGTAACTTTTTCTTACCTGAAGATAACTATGAGATAAAACTTTGATATATTAATGATGGTCACTTGTTTTTCTCAAATTCAACAATAATCCAATTCAACTGGACTCTCACTCCTCCACCTCACCCCACCCTCTCTCCCTCTTGACCATCAACCGTTACAATTTATTATTAAGTCAAATTAAACAAGAGAAGGTACAAAAAACAGTTAACTTAATCCAGTAAAGTCTTATTATTATTTTGGTCTTCTTTTGGTCACTTCTTGGTCCAGAAACGTTTTCCCAGTTGACCCATTTAATGGACTTATGATTTTTGTTAACTTGTTTACGATTATTGTTAAGTTACATTTTAGTTTAATCAATGAAAACATCAACAATTAACTATAATGATTAAGATTTTTACTTCTTGATTAAAAAAAAACCACAAATGGTCAAGATTGATTGAAATCTTCAAATGAAATCACCTTTTTTTTTGATTGTTGTCTCTCCACAACAATCAAATTAAATCTTAGAGTAAAGTTCAATGAACAGACTCAATTAATTAATTATCATGATGTTAAATTAGATTTAATTAGTAATTTAATTGTATTATAACAAGTCAAACATTACTGATTTCATGTATTAATATATAAATTAATTAACTTTTCAATCATATCAAGTGGACATTGAGTGTTGATTTTAAATTAAATTGTTCAACTCGATTTAGTTTTAATTTAGCAATTAAGATACAAATAATTATCTTCAATTTAATCTTCAATTGATTTGAAATTAGTTAATTGATGGAAATTCAATCAATCCAATCCAATCCAAGGGTCAAATGTCACAAACTAATAATGTTGGTAAATTTTAATTCTCATTTTGTTTGGATTGTATTTCATGTAATTAGTTAATTGTAATTGATTCCATTATTTTTCTTTCGTTAATTAATGTTTCATTCTTGGTTTTGAATTTTGGATTATAAATATTCAGGTAACAACAATTAAGGAAGGAATCACATTATTAGGAAGTAACAGTCGAGAGAAAAGGATTATGTTTATTTAATTGTTATCATTACAATCAGTTGATTGTTGACAAATGTCATGTTGATCTTTAAGTTCCGAATGACCTAGTCAGGTAAATTAATTCAGTTCGAAACTGTAACTTTCCTGATTAATTCGCATAACAAACAATTCAAATGAATTACGATCCATGTTCACTCCACTTAATTTCTCGATAATTAATATTCACTAATTATAAATAATTCTAAAATCATTGTCAACAATTAGATGTTGATGAATTTTGACTCTTCGCAAGATTTTCAATCAATGAACAAACTTTATCCGAAGAATCTGAATTCTTCAATTGATTTGATACCTTTAGAACATTTTGATTAATCTCTTCATTGTTGAGAACATAATCGATTTGGTTGACTAATTTGTCTCCACTAAATTCCCATAGATTAACCTTGGAACCCAATTTAAGGTCAACAATTCGCTGAGCATTGTTATGTTGATCACCAAATTGTGGAATTACAATCAACGGCTTACCCGCGACGAGACCCTCGATCAGTGAATTAGAACCACCATGAGTAATGAATAGATCGACTTTCGGTAAAATCGCAACTTGATCAACAAACTTATCGCCCCACATATTGTCGTGTAGATTAACCGAATCACCATTAGAACCTTTGGATACGATAAATCGATGAGGAATATTGGCCAATGGTTCGAGGATAATGTTCAACATTTTCGGTACCATTGAGGCCAAAGTGCCCATAGAAATGTAGATCAATCGACCGGGTAGATTGGCGATTTTCTCAGGAACATGGAAATCACTTGTTTCGGGAATACGAACTGCGGAATCAAGTCGAACCCAATTTTTATCAACTAGTTGCAATTCGTGATAGTCCAAAGGTCCAGGATAAATGTAGACACCTAATTGTTTGGCAAAAGTCCGAGAAACATAATCAACTTTGAAAAATTCAAACAATTTTTTCCTTTTCTCATCAAATTCAAGTTGACCTTTACTGGCCAATGTCCGATATTCATCCCATAATTTAGGTGAATCATACATCGAATAGCCTGAACTTAAGGGTGGCCCATAGTAAAGGTCATTTGGTGAGCTTGACATAACGGGTACCACTGGTAGGTTAACTTTAACCATCCAAGGCATAACCCAAAGATAATCAGCTAAACAAATGTCCGGTTTCAATTGGTCAATGATGTTTAACATTGAATAGTTTTCACCTTTGGACAGTTCGAGGAGCATAATCCAGCCCAAGTTTTCACCTCGAGCAATAGTCTCATCGCTGACCATTTCCAATGGTGAATATTTCATTGAATTAGCGATTTTATCCTCAAAAACATGAGGGGCAGCCGGTAGCTCATTGAATACCTTATAATCTGGATGTTGATGGTCAGCTAATGATATAAATTTGATACCATTTTTTTCAATTGATGATTTACTTGGCAAATAATGAGCAAAGTAAACATCATGTCCTCGTTTAACTAACAATGATCCAATCCCAAGGCAGGCATTTAGATGACCAATGCTAAATTCAAATGGACAACAATTAATTTACTTTTGACAATTTGATTGAGTTTGACAACTTACCCATTCATTGCTGAAATTAAAACTTTCAAAGGACGATTAACTTTAGTCTCTGACATTTTTCACCTTCACACTTTCACAATTATATTTAGTTTGATTGTTAATTGCTGAAATTATTGATTATATTGCCTTTTCATATCAAATTGTACTTGTAATTGTTACAGAAATTATTAATCAATGGCTTTGGATTATTCTGACTTATTGATTGTATTTACTGGGAATCTATTGGTTATCATTAATCACAGAATTTGATATTGGATTAAGTTAATCATCAAAAGGAAATTCGTTGATTAAAGGAAAAAAAAATCTTGTTAATTGTTATTAATTCACCTCCAAGTTTGTCGATTTACTGATTGTAGGTACAATCCGTTAATAGCTCATTATCTCAATCGTTACAGTTAATGAAAGAAATGATGATTTACAATGACATGATTAAGACTGACAGTTAATCACTTGAAAGTTAATTGTTGATAACAAATTAGGAAAAAAACTTAATCAAAACAACAGTGAATAGCAAACAATTTAAGTTAATCATGTTGTATGTACATAATGATGATTTAACTATTAATTATATTGAAAATTTTGTTTCTTCTTCGCAAATTTGATTAGCACTTTTAATTGTTACACAACAATTGAAATAGATAAATTTTTGTTTCACTTGGTAACTAATTATTATCATAATTAACTATTAACACCAATAACTTTTTTATTTAATAATAATATAATTACTTGTTACATATCAATAACTAAACAATGAGATCACAATTCAAAATAGCCTAAGGTAATTAAAAATTGTTCATTTTCATCATGTAATTGTTTAGATATAATTATAATTATTATTATTAAATTAAGGTTTGGTTTTAATTGAATAACATCAACCTAAATGTTTCATTATATTACAATTGATTGATTAATAACCTCAAGCTATTTACAAAATATATATTGTCCTAAATAAGGTCAGTAATTAATTCACCAATAGGTGAATAAATTCAGACAACAATGTCAACAATTATAATCCAATTTTCTAATCAATAAGAGCCAAAAACTACAAATTATCAACAATTAAGAAAAATAAAAAGTTGAAAAAGTTACTTCATTTGAGAAGAGTTTAGTGTCATTGAGAGATAAGAGATGGCAGCAGTTTCGAAAAGAATTTCTCATCAAAAAAGGCGGAGCTTAATGAGAAGAAAAAATCGTTTAATTTGATTTCGGTTTAAATTGAAGTTGAGAATGAACAAGTTGATTTGGAAAGTTTTTTCTTTTTGGTGAATTAATTGTTGTTTGGCATTAATTTGATTAAATTGTGAGTGTTTTTCTTAAATTAAATATTTTATTGTTGGTGTTTAAAGTGATCAACCTGTTTACCTGGAAAGTGAACAAAATTGTGAAAAAGGAAACAAAATACAAAAAGTAAAGAGAATCATTTTCTTTGTTTGATTTTTTTTCTATTCTCTTTTTTTCTCTATTGGTGTTAATAAGTAAATGGTAACTCTTATAATAGAATCTCTTTCTCTTCTTTTTTCTCTCTCTCTCTTAGAGGTTTTTTTTCTGTCGTGTTATTATTTTGTTATTTTCGGCTTTTCCGAGTTACCCAAAAATAATAGAGAAAAGGAATATAAATAAACAATAGCTGTTGTTATGGGTCATTTCATCAATGGTGGTGGTTCCAATTCACAGAGAAAAGGATTCATCAGTGAGGATAATTTTCCAATCTCCATTGATATACGAACGGAATCTCTTGAATCGGTGTATCTGGTTGATCCTCGACCATTTGCAAGGTAATAAAACAATTTCAAATTCACTTTTAATTTGTCATCAAAGTGTCAATCATTCGAGAATGTTTTTCACTTTCTTTCTCTCTTTCCAATTTTATCCTGATTTGTTTTCTTTTTGTGTTGGTGCTCATAAAAATCATCAATAGTATTATGTTGATAAATCAGTGTTTTTTTTTCATGATAACATAAGCAGATAGAAAAAGCAACAAGTAAAACAAATGTTAACCTTGAACTGAAGCTTGATCCCAATGAGTATTGTTTCAAATGATGAATTTTTTTCCTGCTTTATAAATTGTGTGAGTGTGTGTATGTTACTAAATTAGTGTAATTGATTTAGCTTTTTTTTTCTTATATTAAACACGTTATTTTCTTACCTGTGGTTATGTTTACATGTTGAATATTCATTGAATCTTTTTTGTTTCTTTTCTTTTCTTTTCTTTTCTGGTTTCCGTTTATTTCCTTGTAGAGGAAAATTTGCCCAAGTGAAAAGATGTGTCCATAGACAAACAGGTATCGAATATGCTGGTAAATCGATTAAAAACGACGACGATCAACTGATGTTCGACACGAGATTATGCACGAAATTGGTGTCCTACTATTATCACAGAATAATGATGGTATCGTTAAGTTACATGAAGTTTACGAAACATCAAGTGAATTCATTTTAATCTTAGAAATGTAAGTTTTACCTTACGTTTTACGACTACAAGAAACAATACAATTAACAATTAATGTAACAATTTCAATCTTACATAACTACAGTTTAAGTGTAGTAACATTAATCTACCTGAAAATGATATGAACTCACTACCACCACCATTAATCCAGTGAAAGCAAAAGTAGTTATCATAAAAAAGACAATAATCAAAATCACCAATTGTTTTTTTTCCCCGAAAATCAATCAGTGCGTGTGATTAAAGTGAAACATTATTGCAAGAAGGAAAAATTAATAACTATCAACAGTTTTTACATCTAATATGTGTTGCTAATGTTTTGTTTACTCCAATTTTCACTTCTAATTTCATGTTTAACACAAAATCCGATCGATTTTCATTCAAGAAAACTCATCTAAAATCTATGAATGAAAAGATTATCTCTCAAAAAGAGATACAATTCTTGGCTCCTAATCCACTTACCCTTGATTTTGTTTTTCCTCACACATGTTACCTTGTTTAACTTTTACAATACTAATTGATCTCTAATCTATTTCTCTCTCTCTACTCATTTATCTTAATCCAGGGCTAAAGGTGGTGAATTACAGAGGATATTAGATGAAGAGGATACAATCCCAGAGAAAGATGTCATCCGACTTTTGCGACAAATTTTAAATGCATTACAATTTCTCCATAGTAATAACATTGCCCACCTTGACATCAAGGTAAGTTTTCATTTACTACCAACACTTATCCAAGTAGAGATTCAGTTGTAAACTTTCAGTGGTATTTTTTTACTATCAAGATTATAACTGAGAACTGTGTTAATTATAAATCATGATAATCTCTATGTATTTTCCAATCAATGATTACCGTTATCTGGTAACAGGAAAAAAAAGCAAAGAGTGAAAAAAAAATCGTTGAGAGCTTTTGCCAAGCAATGGTAACGATATCATGTCAAGTTCATCGATTGAAACGATAACTGATTAAGTGTATGTTTATATTGCCTCATGACATAACTAATACATTCTGAGAAGATAAAGTTTTTTTTCCTCTTCATCTTCATCCTCATCTTCGTTTCGTTTTATCATCTTTCCATCTTTTTTTTCCTTTTTTTCTGTCTGTCAATTTTTGCTTCTTTCTTTCTACAATTTTTCTCCATCTTCAGCTGATTATTTTCATCATCATCTCTATTTTTGTGTGTGGAAAACACTTAAACATCACTTGTTGCTATTTCCGCTTATAAATATTTATTCCCTTAATCTCTTTAAATGTAAATATATCATTAAAGGTAAATTGTTTGTTATGGAAAGTTGTTTTTTCTTACCTGTTTTTCCCATACAACAACAACAACAATAACAATAATTTACCTATTATGATTTTCCCTATTGTTTATAATCACATTGTTGCATTATTGATTAACCAATTGATTACTGTTGTCCACTTATCCTTCATCTCATGTTGACCAAAATGAAACTGGTCAAATATATACACATTTATTACATTTAATATTAATACAATCATATCATTATTATTAACTAGATAATTATCTTGATATTTTAACAATGATGAGTTTTTTTTCCAGTTATATGATACTTTGGTTTGTGTTGTTGAATTTGTTTCTCCCTCATAACAAGTGAATAGATTGTCAATTTTAAACCTTATTTATGGTCTTAAATACTTGATATACTCAGTATTTGAATGTTAATTGCTGGATTAATGAGCGATTTCAATTCTCTTCCTTATCACTATATTGCCGTTTTATTCACGTGAAAAGAGGTTCCCTTTCAAGGTGTTGGGTTAATGTTGTCGTTTTGTATTGAACAAAAATCATCATTCTCATCATCATCATCATCATCATCATCATCATCATCATCATCATCTGCTCAATTCAATTGCTTTTTTCCTCTCCTTCTTTTTTACTCTTTCCTCTATTCCTTTGCTTCCTTGCTCTCTTTTTTTTCTTGATCATCATCATCAACTTCTGAAAGATCTCAAAAGATCCTTCACAATTCACAGCCTCAGGAAACCTGAGGACACCGTGAATGAGTGACCTCTAAGACAATCGTTAAAACGAAAATCATGTTATCAGCATCACCAAAGTTAAGAAGAAGAAGAAGAAGAAGAAGATCATCATCATCATCATCAAGATGATCAGGATGATGAAGGTGAAGCTTAAACATGAAAACAGGGAACAGAACGTAATAAGTAGATTGATATTCAGATTAAGAAATTGAGTATATCTGTTTGTGTTAAGTAAAAATCGTATCCGTTTTAAATGCATAATACAAACTGCTCTCGATATATATTTTGATGGTGCGACTATTTTGATAGATATTATTTATCTAAATTTATATATTTAATTTTTTTCTGTATGTTATTATTTTCGCAAAAAAATGATGTATCATTTTATAACTTATTAGTATTAGAAGCCAATGTCATACCGCAATCATCATCCATCTATTAATACATATTAATATTCAAATTGATAAATGACCATAAGCAATAAGAAAAAGTTATTAGATTATTGGTTTTTGATTAAATAACACTAACTCACTAAATACTAACTTGAATTAATTGTGATGCTTTTATTTTTTTTTTGAAAAAAATTGCTGTTCTCTCGTTTACCTTTGCGTTGTAGTTTTAACCAAATTACCTGTTTGAATGACAAGAACAAAAAACTGATCTGAATGAAATGAAGAGAAAATCAGTTCAATGAACCAGAATAGAATCATTAAGTCTAAGACTAAAAATTAATCATTAAATGATTAAATTTTGTCCAAACACTTTCTATATTTACAGGTTACCAATAAGAAGGAAAAAAAGATGAAGATGAAAAGCAACTTGAAACAAGAGCAACATGAAGATCATCATCATCATTACGATGATAATGATGATGTTCTTACCTCTTAATTGATCTGAATTACATCTATTACCACAAGAAATTTACAAGTTCAATCGTTACCTTTTCTAACTTTAATTCAATTAATATCATTCTCTTTCCAATATCATGATTCTGGTGATGAAAATGATGAAATAATTATTATTATTTCCTATCGTTTTAATCTCTTCAATGTTTCTCTTTTTTTCTGACCAAACTAATCAACTAACAATCAATAATTAAATGTTCAATGACCATGATGATGATCATTATTATATAAATGCTACACTAGGATAACCTTGAAAAGCAAAAAAAAATAGAAATGCTAATTTGAAGAGATGATGAAGAAAACATATGATTCCTCATATTATATCTCCTAATAGAAAACTGCTAACTATTAACATGCATCTATGCATAATTAATGATAACACCATTTATGGTTTAATGTTATATATACATAATGTTAATTTGTAATTAGCAGTTAAAATTTACACAATTAAACAACAACTACATAGGAAATCGGATTGGGATGAAGAAGATGAAGTTCGGGCGAGATGAGAAAATATCAATACATATATTTTCCCATTCGTTTTATAATATACACTGTTTATCTCTAATATTTATGTTGTAGATTTTGGGTGTGGGTTTACACTCACGTATAAACAAACTGCCATCAGGATCAATTCTGAATTCATATGTTCAGTGTTTCTAACTAATTTAACCTTGCAGCTTGATTAGCTTGTCAGTTAGAACTTCTTTTTTAGTGTGTGCGTGTTTTTCAAAGAGAGAAATGAAGAGAGAGAGAGAGAGAGAGAGAGAGATGAGGGATGTAAAAACAAATTCGGAATCGAAACATAAATGATAATATTAACAAACGACATGATAATAGTTGCTTGAGAAAAAATCATTTAAATGTACATTGAATTTTCATTTGAACGACAACAACCAGGGAGATTCAATTGGAAACAATAACTTCTAATGGTGTTGCTGATTGTATTGTTATGATTGTCATCATATTGATGGTGACATGTTGAAGGTGATTGGTTTTGACTATGTAACAATAAGAAGGAAATTGTTAATTGTTGGTAAATGATTGTGATGAAGTTTAATGATAAGAGTGTATTTGTATTTTCTGTTGTTTCGATGATGATTATCAACATGAAGATACAAAGCCAATGGGAGAGATGATAAAATCAAGGTTAAGGAAACTTGTCTTATTAACCCTTAACTGAATTCAAGGTGTATTCAAGTAATTTTATTGTTAATTTAAAAAATTTCGTTCAGTTTGAATGGAGCAAGAAAGTAATCATAATTGTTTGATTTTTGTTGTTGATTAATTGATGAGATTTACTTGTGTGATTATTTCACCTTGTTGATAGACCTTGTTATCTCTCTGTTGATTCTCTCTCTCTCTCACTCTCTCTCACTCTCTCACACATTTCGTCCTTAGATTTGAATTCTTCACGGTTATATTCATCTTCTATTCTTGCGAGAAATTTGCTTATCCATAAAAGAAAAGAATTAGATTTATCCTCAGAAATTCATTGTGATATTTTCTATTTTATCCTAATCTCTCTCTCTCTCTCTCTCTCTCTCTCTCTCTCTCTCAAATTTTCATGTGTATTTATATTCATGGTAATTGGTGACATTCTTGTAACGTTTGTAACGATGTTGATAACTATTTTTTACTGTTTTGTTGCTAAGTTCAAAGTCAATGAGATGAGCTAATAAGCATGATAAACATGATATTCTTGGTGACAAGATCATTATTATTATCACTAGCAACAGTTTGCAGATTCATTATCATTTGAGATGATCCTGAATGACAATAAGGATAATGAAGAAGATGATGAAGATAACAACGATAATGACATGATATTACACTTGAAACAAAACAAAATGGAAAAGATATTCTGAAAGTGAAAGTTTAACATTAAATGATTAATCAGCTACAAGTTGATTAAGATAATCAGATAAATAAAGAAATTCAAATTCTTATGGAATGGAAATTGTTAACTAATTGTTGTTTGTAAATTAACATTCACATTGTGTTATTTTTTTTCCATCAGGGTGACAATCAAGATCAACAAGAAGCTAAATTAAATACACTAGCAGCTGAATTTACTATTAATCATCATAGGAAGATTCTGGTTGATTAAATTAGTTACTCTGGTGTATCCAGTTAATTAATTAAGTCACTTCTTGATGATGATTTACACTTAGCAACCTGGCATTCAAACAATAACCTTGATTAAGGATTTTACTACTAATTAAAAGTTAAAATTGTTGAATGAAAAACAACAACAATTAACTAAATATTATCCAATTGATTAGAATGACGTTCTAATCAACAGTGTTAATCATCTGCAATTGGAATGATATTGTTATGATTGGGAATTATGATCATGATGATGTTGATCAATTGAGTTTTTTTTCTTGTTTTATTATTCAAAGGAAATGATTTGCTGATTTAATTGGTGAAACAACAATTAATTTTTCTGCTTCAAATAATCAAACACATAAAAGGTTAGATTGAATTGTATTTTCATCGTTGACTTGATTAACTTGAGAATCGCCATGAAGCAAATCAAAACAGTTAATTGATTTTAATTGTAGTATCACAATTATGTATTTGATTCGTATATTATTTCAACCATTATCACTTTTAATTGTTTGATTAGGTTTACATGTTTATATATTGATTTAAGTTGTTAATCAAGAAAAAAAAAGCTCTCTCTATCAAAGTGAATCAAGGATTAAATCAATTTAATTAGTTTGCTTGATTGCAAGTTAACTAATAATGTGATTAGTTAAACTGTTATAAATTACATTTTGATTATCAACAAATTGCACTTTTTACCCAAATAACCAAGGATATGATTTGGTAATTGCTAAATTAGTTAAACTAATCACTGCGAGAAAAAAATGAGACACCAAACAATTTACTAATCATTTAACCTTTAATTTAATTAGAATTAGATAGAGAGACAAGTTAAGATTTAGAACTTTTTTTTTCTCGAAATAATTAAAGTTTTTTATTTTCTCATTGGAAAATCATAATACTTCATGTATTCAATTGCTTGTTTCTTATTTTTTCTAATCACAATTTGTTAATTCAGTTGATTATCTGAATATTCATTCTGTGTGTTTTTAGGTGTAACAATTGTGATTAATATTATCAGCTTTTTATTTATATTTGATTATCTGGGTCAAGGTTTCAATGTGAAGGGAGTTTGATGATAATATTATTATTATATACAGAAGAAAGTAAAAAAAGTTAATTGTTATCACAATTAAATGGTTAATGTTAATGATATTATTACAAAATAGTTAATTGCAATTGGACAATTGGATTATCATTGCAATATTTATGTGTGTATAAGTTTAACGAGTTAATTGAATCAACAGAAGAAAAAAAAATATTATGATCAAAGTTAATTTTCTGTTAGTTGATTATCTTGATTATTAATCAGAAAAAAAACTTCATTGAATTAAATTGTGCTATTAAAACTGGAACATCAACCTCGAACTTTTTTTTTATCATTTAAACCAAAAATTACCGAAAATTAGTACTGAAAATTAAGCGTAGTTTAAGTTAATTGTAACAATTTACTTGTAATAATAATCTTATAAACATGGAGATGGAAAGTTAATCATAACAATCAATCAGCTGAAATTTGCAAATCACACATTTCCCTAATTTCTTCAATATAATAATCATTAAGTGGTGGTAACAATTAAATCAAACAATTACAACAAAGTTTAACTGTTAATATAATGTGATTATTATCAATTATCATTTGAGTAATTAACTTTTCAAATGTAGATCATTTTTCTGTATTTATAATGATAATTGAATGTGAATTGATGAGTTGCAAATTATCACAGTGATTTGTTAATTGTCATCACGAGTAAATGTAATTCTTGCCGTTACAATTACAATTAATGTACAATAGAACAAGTAATGTAAAAAAGATGTTAATTGTAATTAGCAAATTGCAAAGTAATTGATTACAATTAAACCCTATTGATGATGAAGTGACAGGGAAATGATTTAAATTGAAAATTACAACAATCTATTTTATCATATTGACGATGATGATACAATGAATATCATCATTATCGTCATCATGTATGCATATTAATCATCATCATTTCCCATTGGAATCAAATTTATTATTTAATTGTCATGATTAACTGATTCAAATTTCAGGCATTTGTTATATTTAATAATCAACAGCAAAAGAGAGAGAGAGATGAGTTAATACAAACATTTGAAAGAGAAGGTAAATTATCAATATAATTATAATTATCTATCCAAATTGTATTATTCTGGTTATCATCATGTTATCATCATTATCATCATCTTGCCCTTAATCAGATTCAATTTGTATTTTGTTGTTATTATTCACTGTCCCCTTCAAGGAGAGATGATGAGGGAGACTGAATGAGCCATTAACCTCAATTTTAGCATCAACATCGGCAATCAATTGTAAACTAATCATCTAATTGGTCACACAACTTAATTTTTGTTTTTCTTTCTGTAACTTGACTCTTGTTGATTAATTTGTTGATTACTTGTATTCACCTCTTTTCTTTTGATTGTAACTTGTTGATTGGGAGAAAATTGTTCCAACAAAACTTGATTACTCTTTTTCTTTCATAAATAATAAGGTTAATGCAATGAATATGTCACAAGTTGTGATGATAAAGAGATGAGGATGATGTTGATGATGGAGAAATTGATGAGAAAGGAAAGGGAAAAATGATGATGAGATTGAAATAATAGCCTTGCAGCAATGTTTTGATGAGACTTTTTTTCCACTTTTCTTTCAATAATTGATCATCTTTTTGTCCTTTTATCAATTAAACAGTTAGAATAATTAATCAATTAAGCATTTCAATTGATTGAGCAATTTAGTTCTTCATCGTCAATCTTTCCTCGTACATTAGTCGTTGATGGTAACTCATTCATTTCTTTTATCACATCAATTAGTTTACGATTAAAAGATTTCAATCAATGATCTAATTGTTCAAAGGTTATAATCCATTGAGAGTCAATCTAAACTTCAACAATATATCACTGATGTTAATTTCACTGAATCATCATGAACTCTTGTGTTACTATTTTTTTACACTCGAACTTTTTTACTCAACTGAACATTCATATTCTAATTGTTATTTGATTTCTCTCTTGATTATTTTAGCCCCAAAATTTACTATTAACTGGACCTTTACCCGAAGGCGAAGTTAAACTTTGCGATTTTGGTATTTCACGATTAATCAGCGAAGGAGTTGAATTAAGAGAAATCGTTGGAACTCCAGATTATGTTGGTACGTGTTAACTTTGACTTTTCCTTTGAAAAAAACTAATTAAACCTTAATTGTTATCAGATGAAAAGAGATAACTATTGCATAGTAAATCATCATGATGACGATTGTAATTACATCATCAAATCAGTTGAATTTTATTCCATATTATTGATTATGTACTTTTCTCATGATTTATCTGTTTTTTTTCTCACTCAGCACCCGAAATATTACATTATGATGCAATCAGATTGGAAACTGATATGTGGTAAGTCAAACTTATCTTCCTTATCATCATAATCATCTCTCTCTTTAGGACGCTGTCAACTCTACAATTCTAGTATATTTTCATATTCTTCCCGTTAATTAGTATATTTCCATTGTGAGAATAGTTTGTGATAAATTTTCTTCTCATTCTTATTTCTCTCTCGATCAGAATGCATCAAGAAGAAAAGAAAAAAAAAATTGGATGAAAAAGAAAGAAGATGAATACAAAAAGAAGGCTACTTTTCAGACTAGTTTTCTTACGAGCATCTTAAACCCTAAGGGCATTTGCTTGTAGCATAAGTTGAACAGTAGCAACAAGATTCAAGATATTGATAAAAAAATAGTATATTTATATATTTAAAATGAATCTAGAGCTAGAGATACAGGTAGATGAAGATGAAGATGAAGATGAGGTGAGAGAGAGAGAGACCTTTAATATCTTGTTTTCATCATCATAAATATCAATAAAAACGATAACATAAACACATGCATAGTAAAACTCAAATCGTATCATGAAATATACTTTATATACGTTTATATATTAATTCATTAATAATACTTCATTTATTTGCGTTCAGGTCACTCGTTAACTCTTCCGTTCTCCTCCCCAATGGTTGTTGTTGTTTCAACTACTTGTTTGATCCTTTACCTCAACACACACTCTTATATATTTACCTGAATATCCTCCCTTCCTCTCAATTTACCTTTTATTTTCCTTCCTTCTTTTGCTAATATATTTATCTACCTCATCTTGATCATCATCCACCTTGCATCCTGTCTTTGTCTTCATCTTTACCTTTATTTTTTATTATATCTCTTCCTCCCTCTCCCGTGATGCTGTTATTATGATGGTTTCTATTGCCGTGTGTTGACCATGGCAAAGTCGCTGAGGCGCGTTTCCTTTTCTCTCTCCTTAGTTTCTCCCTCCCTGTCTCTCTCTCTCTCTCTCTCTCTCTCTCTTGTTCTCTCTCTTGTTCTCTCTCTTAATCTACAAGAGAGTGAGAGGGGGAGATTTCTACCTAACAACAAGAACCTCTTAGCCCGGTTACCTTTCTTTTTTTTCTTTTCTCTTTTTCCATCCTCATCTTTTTTTTTACCTGTATCTTAGTTCATTTTAACAAGTCACTGTTACCTATCAGTGGCACGGAAACAACTTTACCTTTACTATTATTATTATTATTATTTTGTTTTTCTTTCTTTCTTACCTTTTACAACTTCTACCTTATATTTGAATGTATGTAATGATCATTTTCTTAGACGGATCAATGAACTTATCCCAGACTGGGTCTTCTCTATCTTCATCTCTATGCTATTGAAACCTGTTGATTATATTGCTAAGGAAAAAAAAGTCAACTTGAAAAACGTAGTAATATTTTTAACAATTGACGAAACAATTAAGATAGTTGAGAAACAGTTACAATCAATATATTACAATTGAAGTAGTGGCCATTTTTGTTTTCGTATTCATGTTCATTCAGATTCTGATTATCATTTTTGAAACTTCAATCTCGATAATGATTACCTTTTGTATGTTCCCCATTAATTATATTAATGATTAAGGAAATTTTTATATATTATAAGAAACGATCAAATTGACCAGGAATTGATTATATAATTGCAAGTGATTTCTTTCAATTGCAATTAAACTTTAATGACATTTTCATGTTTTTCTCTTCAATCTATTTAACTTGACAATATTTATTGATAATTATGATACTCGATTTGATTATCATGCTGATGTATTCATTTTATTATTACAATCAATTTATTCAATAAGTTATTTCTTTCACTCGGTTTGAGTGTATTGGTTTTCTTAATTGCTTCAACTAAAAATATAAGAGATAAAAATGATGACTAAGATGAAGATAAAGATGATAACTCTCATTAAATCATATTCTGTCAATTACTATTTAAATTATTTCAATTTAAGCTTCTTTTTACTCCTTCACTTTTTTCCCGCTTTCCTTTTCTCATTAATTATCGTAATGATAATTCATAAATCAATCAAAATTGAGTCTCTTAATTTAAAGATTAATGATGTTTACAAATAAAGAGTAAATCATTTGTTGATTATCTTGACTGATTTTCCTCTTTTTTTTTCTTTCTTTTGTTAACCTTTTTCTTTTTTTTTGTTCTCTTTCAGGTCCATCGGGGTCTTGACCTATGTCCTTCTTACAGGTTACTCTCCATTTTCGGGTGACACTAAACAAGAAACCTATTCAAATATAACCAACACTAAACTTGAATTCGGACCAGAGTTTGATGAAATCTCTATGGATGCCATTGACTTTATTAAGAGTTTACTCGTTTCAGATCCAAAGTAATTAACTTAATTGTCAATTGATTGTCAAACTTTTTTTTTGTTTACGTTCGACATTTTATCTATGCTCGAATTTTTCTCTTTCTTTTTCTCTCTCTCTTTATCCTCCCTATTTCTTTTCTCAATGGTTTGATGATAATGACAATTTCTATTTATCTTCTTCTAGGAAACGACCTACTGCCAAAGAATGCTTAAAACACGCTTGGTTAAAGGAGGATAATAATGTCGATGATCTTGCTGTTGGGGTTAATGATAGTTCAAGTGTTGTCAGTGCTCCCAATGGTGTTTTACCTTGTGATCAACAACCGGTCAACAATTTACCCAAAGTTGTAGTGGTCAGCGAGAGTAATAAGGAAAACCAATCATTCATACAAGATGAAGATAATATCAACAGTTCATACAACAGTTTCAGAGATAATAATATTTCAAATGGTATCGTTGTCGCTGCAAACAACAACAATAATAATAACAACAATTTGACCAGCAACAATACTACGGTTAATAATAATAACAATAACATTGTCATCAATAATAACAATAATAATAGTATTATCACAAGTATGGATAAAGTGTCCAAAGATAAAAGTCGAGATTATTTTATCCTAAAAATGACCTCACATTCAAATATCAGTGAAAGTAAATCAGTTCCCAATACTCCGTCCTGTAAACGATTCATGGTCAGTGAGGAATCATCAACAGTTGTCCGATCGTCATCAACTGAACGTCGTAATAATAACAACAACAATAATAATAATCTATCTTCATCTTCATCTTCATCAACAAACACAACCGAAAAATCAACCTCATCAACATCAATCCTGTTTAAATCAAATTCATCAATAACTTCATATTCATCATCAACAAGCTTCGAGTCACCTTATCACTTAGTCTTCCGAGAAGATATAAGAGATGAGAGGGTCAGCTTTATTTATTGAAAGTGTCCACTACAACAAACCCACTCTCTCCCTCTTCCTCTCTCTCTCCACCATTATTATTATTTTCATCATTACAATTACACATTAATTACCTTTTTCATGTACCAGTTTTTTCATCCCCTTAAAAGATGCTGTTGATAAAATGATATCAAATGATGATGATGATGATGATGATGACAGGAAGATAACCAGAGAGGGAGAGAGATAAATGCTTAAAATACTTTGAGCTATATTCTGATACAAGGGATGGCCCACAAAAAGGTTGGACGGGTAGACTAATTTTCCACCTCAGATTTCATGAGTATTTCAATTCAATCCAAGTTTCGATCTAATTTAATTGAATTGATTTTATTGTTGATGAGAAATTACCTTAAGTTAATTATATGTTTGTTTTTTTATATCTCGTTGATTTACACAGAAAAAAATCATTGGGAAATTAGCTCATCTCTTTTTACGGGTTATCCCTTTAGGAAGCGAATGAAAAACAAAAATTGGCAAAGCGAAAATAGATTACCGTTTGTTTTGCTCTCTTTTTCTCGTAGAAAAGTTTACATTTTATATGATAGAGATTGAGAGAGAATAAGGTTTCATCTTCCTCATCATCATCATCATCATTCTCTGTTATTAAATCATCAACACTCTTGTCAATGATTTCAATAACAACCTCAAAAAGGATGCAATTTATTGAGCATAAAAAAATCCACTTTTGCCTTTTCTCTTTGTTATATACAAACTATTCACTCTGTGTTCAACTGATTGATCAATTGATCAATACATTTAATCACTATTATCACACCACCTCCACACAAACACACACACACACAAATCAATCAACAAACTATTTCACAATTTGGCCTTTGTTTGAATGACCTTTCAAAGTAAATGGACACATACACAAACCACAACAATTAAGACTCAGGAATCAAGACAATGATTGGCAACAAAAAAAAGACTCTAAATGGTGTGGAATCAATTAATTAGCAAGGAAATTGTTGATTGTTGAAATGTTTTCTCTCCATAAACCACCTTGCTCTTTCTTTTTCTCTTTCTCTCTCAGCTTGTCTTCATTTTTATCTTCCAATCACATTGCCAAGCATGTTCATCATCTATGTCCCCTTTTTTTCATCTTCCTTTTCAATTGTGATCTCCGTGTCGTCTTCCCTTCACCTATGGGTAGCTATTAATATATAAGTTATTTCATCTGAAACTGTTTCTTTTTCCGCTCTGTAACATCATCATCCTCATCATCTTCATCTTCATCATCATTTTGAAAACTTTCCTTGATGTTGAAATAACAAGAAGCAAAAAAATGTTACATGAGAGAGCGAGAGAGAGAGAGAGAGATGTAGACAGAAAATAGTGAAAATTTGATGAAGGATGATGAAGATGAAGAAAAACTTTGTCAATATTTTGCTCTTCTCGATTAATTAACTTCATTATTTAACTATTATCATGATGATGACCAAACCACAATCAAGGGAAATCAATTGAACAACACACACAATCAAATCAACAATCATCACCACCAACAATTTATAAATCATCTAAACTTAAACAAAATGTAATGTCCAATGTAATGTCCAAATCAGAGATATAAACATCTTATCACAATTTAAATTGTCACAAATTAAGATGATCAATATTTTTATTAATTAATCGGTAGAATGTAAAAAAAACAATCAAATTTAATTTCAAATTAATTGTGTTTGTAGTTAGTAAATTATTATCAAAGGTAAGTTACAATTATTGTGAAAATATTAATAATAAAAAGTTTTAACTTTAAAAGATAAACAATTAACAATTAACTTTGTTCAATGGTTGATTATTGATGAGAAAAGCAAAATCGTGAATCAATTAAGATGATAACTGATTATTAACTTTAATTGTTAATTTAAACGAACCTTTATCAAGATAATCATCATCTCGATTTTGTTAAGTTAATCAATTATATTGTCTATTTAATATTTACCATTTAATTGTGTGACCCCGACGATAATCAATTAATCAATCAAAGATGGTGATTAATCAATTGTTTATTGATTGTAAAATGCAATACAATTAAAAGTTAAATTTAAATTTTCCATTATTTTGAAAATTGATTAAACAAAATCATCGTTAAAGTGAAAACAATTTAACTAATCCACTGATTATTCATGAATATCCAACAATTAAAACTCTTTGTGTATAAAAATAAAGACAATTAATTGTTTCATTGTCTCTTTAAATTGTTTATCATTACGATCAACAATTAGCTACCGTTAATCACTATGGTTCAATGTCCTTAATTGTCAACTGTTAATTGAGTTTCTCTATGGTTGTTGTTCAGGTTTACTGGTTTAAAATTGTATCGCCTTTAATTGTTATACATTAATTGTTAGTAAAAATTAACAGGAAAAGATGATGAAGATAAAGATGAAGATGAAGATAAGGAATTAGGATGACAAGAAGATGACATTGTCAGGATGATGATGATGAGGAGGATGATAAATGATTGCCAATTATGATGATTACTCACTTCACTTTCTCATCCTTGTCAATGAACTTCAATTGTTTATAATCGTAACTGAACAAACTAATCAATTCACACCATTCTGACAATTAACTAATTCAGTTAATCTCCTTTTAATTGTCCCCTGTACATAAATCTTGTTAATTTGATTTCCTCACTTTACGTTAATTGCTTGATAATTTGTGTGTGTGTGAGTGAGTGTATTTATCTTGTAATTGTTATAATAATAATAATCGTAAGTTAAACATGATTAATTTCATTAATAACGATTAGTGATTAACACCAACGCTTTTGGTTTTCTGGTTAATTGTTGCTGTTTTATATATATAAACTCTCATCCCTTTTATTTATTCATATTAACATCAACATGATAATGATGCTACCTCGTAATTAGTTGATTGTGATTAACTTCAATCAATGTTTAACTTTCAATGGCAATGAAAAAAAAAATAAAAACAAATCAAAATGAGTCATTTAGGGTAAATTGTTCAATTCTCAATGAAAATATCATAACAACCTGTTGATAAAGATAATGATTAATATGATTAAGTAACAACAACAACAATTTCTCAATAACAATCATGATTAACGGATTGTTAATCATCTCAAATTAATCTTACAATCGTTCCTATGATCATTAGTTAATCATCTAAACGATAGACAAGGTTAATGATGAGTGAATATGGAAAAGGAGAAGAAAAAAGTTCTCAATGATTTTCAATACTATTTTTCATTTTCTTTCTTCTTGTAACTTTTTTCTTCGCCATTCTTATCATCATCTTCATCTTCATCTTTCTCATCATCATCTCTTTGTAAGGTTACATGTGAAAATTTACCGAACTGATGCAATCATCATCATCATCATCTTCTTCTTCTTCCTAATCATCTTTATCTTCATCATCAGAATAACAACAAACATCTTGGCAACTGAATTATTGCATAGATCATTTCAAATGCACTCATCTCTTTCTTTCCTTTATCATCCTTATCCTCTTATAGTTTTCTCTCTCTTTTCATCATCTTCCATCATCCTCATCATCTTCATCTTTATCTCCATCATCTTTTTAATCCCTTGTTATTAAAGAAAGAGAAAAAATTTGAAATATTTTCCTCATCTTCTTATAATTTCATATGTTGACTTGAAATCGCTCCTGATGTTGACATTTGCTCACAATCCTTTTAAATTGTTCACAATTAACTTATTATTACTTTGATTTACTAATCTACTATTAAATAACTCATCTAATTTGGTTCATTGTTTTGATTACAATCTAATATTAAATTGTTCTAAGAGATGTATGGACAATTTAATTGTCTATTATGTGAACATTATTAATTTGCTTTTCGTTGGCATTGATTAACTTTCCTTTGATCGGACAATTGAATCAAGTCTGGTTATTAATTTGATTGTTTGGGAAGGTAAATAAATCACTTTGGGTTTAAATTGTTCAGTCAATGACTTTTTCTCAACAATTTAAGTTAATTGTTACGGAATGTGTTTACCAGGAATTCAAATGATTGAACAATAGCCAAACCTGATTATGCCAAACAATTTAACATAGAAACTGATTGTTATTTAGTTAATTGTGGTAATGGTTAAGATGAGATAATGTTTACAATTTAACACTAACAAATTAAATCAAATTATGTACCATTAACTTGAGTAAATTGTTGATATAACGGTAACAACAATTTAAGATTGATTAGAATAACTAATTATGATTAGATTATCATTTAAATTAAATTGTCTGTCCTTTTAATTTCATTTTCAAACTTTTAATTAAAATGCCTTAATTTTCAAGGTAACAAATCAATTTGATTGATTGTAAATAATTAAGTTGATAGTTGAAAAGTAATCAAAGCAATCTCATTGATTCCTTATTTAGTTTTTGTTTTAATTTAGTTCAATTTATCGAGGTAACAATTAAATCAAAAATAATATTAAACTGATTTAGTTAAAAATTATCTCAGTTAATAATCAATTAATAATCAGTATTAATCATTAATTGTTACAGTTTACACTTTTAAAACCATTGATTATCATCATCAAGTTAATGAAAATCATTTTGATTGTTGTTGTATGATTAACAATTATTAAATTGTCTTAATCGTGAATCATCATGATGATAATCATTAACAAATTATTAATAATCATAGACCTTGAAAAATAATTTCAATTCACAATTAACAAACTAGTGGGTCGAATTAAATTAAACTTTAAATCACTGGTTAATTGTTAATTGTTGATAATAGTGAAAATAATAATAGCAATTAACTGTTAATCTATTGTTATCAAAGATGAGATGAGAAATTTATTGAAATTAATTAAAAACTCATAGAGACTTTAAATTTAGGATTTAAAGATGAATTTTGATGACAACAATTAACTAAATAACTGGTTTGATTGTTTAGTTTAAAATGAAAAAGGAGTTAACTTTAAATTGTTAGTTAATAATGATGACAATTAACTCTCAGGGCCTTTTACCTTCCCTCTTAATCATTTCCATTCAGGCCTAAACACTAGGTCATCAACCATTAAGCAAGAATCATTTATGATGATAATTGTTAATCATGATTAAGGAATCAAATATAAACAATCAAATCAAGGATACGTTTCTCAATTGACTCAATACCTTTTATTTGATTTTTTGCTTGATTGTTGAGGTACCTCAACAATTACTGGAGCAACTTTTTTAAATTCACTTCACTTTTCACTGTTAACTGTTAACAATCAAATGATCCAATCAAAGCTTAATAACGCCAACACATATTTAACTCGTTAATTGCTGTTCAATTGTTGAGAATCAGTTGATTGTAGATTTTGTCTCTCTCACTCTTTTTCTCTCAATTTTCTGTAAATTGTATTTGATTTAATTTTTTACTTTCTTTACATTCTCAGGCTTTGTTGTTGTTGTTGTTATTGTTGTGGTTAATTTGTCAATCAATTTTTGGTTTCTCTTGATTGTTTTTCTTTATACATTAAGGTTTCCTGGTGATTAAATCACTTTTCGTCAGATTTTACTAATTGGCTTGATTGTGAGTGCACTTTTAATACCTTGGTGATTAGTTAAAAGCTTTCAGGCTTAATTTTAACTCGGGAAGCACTCTTGAGATTACACAAAATAATTGCTCATTTTTTTGTAGCTTGTCAATTAGTTAGCAACACATGTACGAATTAAATTTGAGATTTGATTTAATCAAGAAAAAGAGCTCGATGTTGACTTGAAGTTTGACCAGAGAATTTGTAATAAGTCTCAGTAGATGTGTACATGTAAAGACACCAAGATGCGTTAGATTGTCGTAGTATCATGTTACTTTAATTGGATTGATTAAACTTGAGCTCTTCGTAATCTTTTGATTTGTTTAGCTTCTCCTGAACTATAATTCATTTGATAATGATTTTCGGCGATAACATTGATTATTGTTCCATCAGGTTGGCGGAGTTGTTCCTCTTTTTCGCTTAATTTAATTGTAACAATATCACCTAAATGTGGACAAGGATTTTCTCGTGATCCTCCCATGAAACTTAATATTAACGCTTTTTCCACTTTACCAACAGAATTTGAGTTCTTGAATAGCTCTTGAGCTTCCATTATCTGTCTCTGGGATAATTGTAATCTAGGAGCTGTTGTGTTTGTTGTTGGTGTTGTTGATGGTGCTGGTGTTAGTGTTAGACCAGAAGTTGGTGTTGTTGATACCATAGGAGTAGCTGAAGCTACTGGTGTAATTGATGTAGTGGATTGTTGAATAACAGATCTTTGGACTTGTTGGATCACCTGTTGATTAGCTGACTGTACCTTTAATTAGAAAGAAATGAAATTAGGAAAATTGATTGAAAAATTAAAAGAGAAAATACTCACAATTGTAGTTGATTGTTGACCTAGTGTTCTGTTTGGTACAATTGTGATTTGAACGGAATTTGATTGAGTTTTTGTAGGAGAAACTTGTGGATTTGGTACAATTGTGGATGGAGTAGATAAAGATGAAGATGAAGATGAGGTTGAGGTTGATGGAATAATTGTTTCATTCATTGGTATTGATGCTGTTGTTTCGACTTCTGATTTTATCTTTGTTGGTGATGAACTAGAACTTGATGGTTTAGGTTCTTCTTTAATTTCTTTTGTTTTAGTGATTGTTGACGATAATGTTGGTGTCGTTGGAGTAGTTGGTGTGGTCGGTGTTGACGTTGATGTTGCTGAGGTTTCACCTAAATATGGACCGGGTGTTGGTGGAACTGAATAAGCTGGGGCTGGACTTGGAGGGACCATTGATGTGAGACCCAAAGCATAATCAGGAGTCGCTGTTGAATCTTGTTGTCCATTTGTTTTGTCATTTTCTTTTTGTTTCGCTTCTTGTTCTTCTTGATTACGTTTCTTACGTTTAGCATCTCGTCCTAATGGTTGTTCACCAATATCCAATAATTTAATTCCACCATCACGACGAACTCCAGGTATTGTTGGTCTTGTTGGATTACGAACACTTCCCGCGCTATTGGCGGGATTGGGTGTTTTGTTGATTGTGATGATGATGTTGATGATGTTCCAAATGATGTACGACTTGGAATACCTTTTAGAGGAGCTTAAAATAATATCAGATAATATTAGTTTACAATAATTCAAAAGATGAAGTTATATGAATTGATACTTACTATTGTCATTTAACTCTTTAGATCCTCTGTATCTCGCAGCAGCAACAGGTGTTGTAGTGTTTTTCTTACTACTTGTTGCGACTTCGTTAGCTGTTAAAAATCAAAGTAATAGTAGAAACAGTTAGATTCAATAAATTCAAATCAAGAAAAGAAAAGAAAAGAGAAATAATCTTATAATTACATTTATGTAAAAGTTCTGCTCTTAAAGCAGCAGATTTTGGTTTTCTTCTTAATGTAAAATGTTTAATTGGTTGGTGGGGTTTCACTCCAATTTGTGCAATAAACGCATTTGTATTAAGGTAAAGTGATTCAATTGGTAAAATTCCAGGATCAGATGGTTTCTTTGCTGTCAAATAGAAATAAATATTTATTATGATCAGAGAAAATTATACTTAATTTTTGTACTAATAATCCAATATCTACAAACCTGATTTCTTTAATTCCCCAATTAAATCAGAAAAAACTGTTGCATTCTCGTCAATATCAAAATTTATATTACCAGTCTCAGGAAAACTCTTCAATAGTTCAGCAATCATAGTAACCCATTGATCGGTGTCAATTGTAGCCAATTCAATAATCTCATCCAATTCAGATTTCCACTAGAATATAAATAAAAATGATACAAATTAAAGATTAACAACAAGAAAATTGAAAAGACTCACTCACCAGTTCAACATTTTTCCTTGGTAAATGTAGAAAAGAACATAACAATTTCAATTTAACCAATGATTGTAAATCAGGAAAACAATCACGAATATTTTTCAAAACATCTCCATTTAATTGTGAACAAATTGAACCACCAGACCATAAATCATTAACATTACCCAATTTATTATGAAGCCACAATGAAGTATCATTTTTATTCAAATGAGTCGTCATAATTATAAAACATGAAACCGATAATCTCACCAACAATATAACAAACCAAAAGTAAAACCCACTAGACTTAACAATCAATCCAAGAAAATCCAGTTAAATCTAAACGATTTAAACATAATCCACAAAACGACTTAACAAAGGTAAAAAAGAAAAAAAAACAATTAAACTAATCAATTAAACGTCTTAAGAATTAAGACCAATAAAAGGAAACAAAAACAATCAAACAGAAAAGAGAATAGAAAAAAGTTTTTCTATTCCAACACAGAGGCCGCTGTGGATTCTCCGTTTCCATGGAAACTCTTGTCATTTTTTTCATCTTTTTGAAAATTTTTCTCATTTTTAGTCTAAAAATTTTAGATGAAAGTGTTTACCAAATTGACGAAATCAATTTTGTTTAATTTCTTTTCTCTTTTTGTTTGAATTTTTATTTGTTCTATTTTTTGTTTTTTTTTGTTCGATTGGACATCATGGAGAAACTGGATAAGGTGTTCTCTTTTAACAACACTCACGAACTTATCATGTCCATTAAATCTGCTTTGGACATTCCAAGTTTCCAACAGATCTTTTTACTGGTCGGTGTTTTTTTCTACTTGGTGACCAGTTTGGTGATCTCTTTTTTTCTCAACAATCTTTCATCTCCTTTGGTTTCGACAACATATTTAAATATATTGGCTAATAGTGGACCTGCAGTTCAAATAGTTAATAATTTGATCGATCGGGTTAATACTCTTTTCTATTGGACTGGTTTATCTTCCGGTTGTTTGGAAGCTCTTGTTTGTGGTGCTGGTAGATCAATGGGAACAGATTTTCCAAAGATTAGTGATAATCTTAGGACAACAGTTAATAGAATTGCATCTTCCACCATGGGAAATCAAACTGATAGATATACTCGCCTTCTTTTGGATGCAATGGTTGGCCAAGGAGAGTGTCAAGAACGTACCATCTTTGATTGTCCAGCGATTTCAAGTTCAGGTCAGCCAACTTTAACTACTGATCATGGAACTAAAGTGGCCGGTGTTTTGACAGACGATTTATTTTAAAACCATCTCTGGAATTGCTTTCATTGCTTCAGCCTCTTTCGTTGGAATTTTAACTCTATTCATTGGTGGAGTTTTACTTGTGATTTTAAAAAGAAAACCAAGACGATACCGTCAACTTATTCAATCTAATCCTTTTTATGAACAACATATTGTCGCTGAAAAATTATTCTCAATGGTCAAAAATTTAAACGGGTTGGTTACATACAAATCGTGTTAAATTGATGATGACACTTTTTTATTTTTGTACATTTAATAAAATTGACAATTAGTGAAGATTATTGAGCTCTTCGTAATCTTTTGATTTGTTTAGCTTCTCCTGAACTATAATTCATTTGATAATGATTTTCGGCGATAACATTGATTATTGTTCCATCAGGTTGGCGGAGTTGTTCCTCTTTTTCGCTTAATTTAATTGTAACAATATCACCTAAATGTGGACAAGGATTTTCTCGTGATCCTCCCATGAAACTTAATATTAACGCTTTTTCCACTTTACCAACAGAATTTGAGTTCTTGAATAGCTCTTGAGCTTCCATTATCTGTCTCTGGGATAATTGTAATCTAGGAGCTGTTGTGTTTGTTGTTGGTGTTGTTGATGGTGCTGGTGTTAGTGTTTGTGTTTGTGTTAGACTAGAAGTTGGTGTTGTTGATACCATAGGAGTAGCTGCGGCCACTGGTGTAATTGATGTAGTGGATTGTTGAATAACAGATCTTTGGACTTGTTGGATCACCTGTTGATTAGCTGACTGTACCTTTGATTGAAAAGAAATGAAATTAGAAAAATTGAGTGAAAAATTAAAAAAGAAAATACTCACGATTGTAGTTGATTGTTGACCTAGTGTTCTGTTTGGTACAATTGTGATTTGAACGGAATTTGATTGAGTTTTTGTAGGAGAAACTTGTGGATTTGGTACAATTGTGGATGGAGTAGATAAAGATGAAGATGAAGATGAGGTTGAGGTTGATGGAATAATTGTTTCATTCATTGGTATTGATGATATTGTTTCGACTTCTGATTTTATCTTTGTTGGTGATGAACTAGAACTTGATGGTTTAGGTTCTTCTTTAATTTCTTTTGTTTTAGTGATTGTTGACGATAATGTTGGTGTCGTTGGAGTAGTCGGAGTAGTTGGTGTGGTCGGTGTTGACGTTGATGTTGCTGAGGTTTCACCTAAATATGGACCGGTGTTGGTGGAACTGAATAAGCTGGGGCTGGACTTGGAGGGACCATTGATGTGAGACCCAAAGCATAATCAGGAGTCGCTGTTGAATCTTGTCCATTTGTTTTGTCATTTTCTTTTTGTTTCGCTTCTTGTTCTTCTTGATTACGTTTCTTACGTTTAGCATCTCGTCCTAATGGTTGTTCACCAATATCCAATAATTTAATTCCACCATCACGACGAACTCCAGGTATTGTTGGTCTTGTTGGATTACGAACACTTCCCGCGCTTCTATTGGCGGGATTGGGTGTTTTAAATGTTGATTGTGATGATGATGTTGATGATGTTCCAAATGATGTACGACTTGGAATACCTTTTAAAGGAGCTTAAAATAATATCAGATAATATTAGTTTACAATAATTCAAAAGATGAAGTTATATGAATTGATATGAATTGATACTTACTATTGTCATTTAACTCTTTAGATCCTCTGTATCTCGCAGCAGCAACAGGTGTTGTAGTGTTTTTCTTACTACTTGTTGCAACTTCGTTAGCTGTTAAAAATCAAAGTAATAGTAGAAACAATTAGATTCAATAAATTCAAATCAAGAAAGAAAAGAAAAGAGAAATAATTGGATTATTACATTTATGTAAAAGTTCTGCTCTTAAAGCAGCAGATTTTGGTTTTCTTCTCAATGTAAAATGTTTAATTGGTTGATGAGGTTTCGCTCCAATTTGTGCAATAAATGCATTTGTATTAAGGTAAAGTGATTCAATTGGTAAAATTCCAGGATCAGATGGTTTCTTTGCTGTCAAATAGAAATAAATATTTATTATGATCAGAGAAAATTATACTTAATTTTTGTACTAATAATCCAATATCTACAAACCTGATTTCTTTAATTCCCCAATTAAATCAGAAAAAACTGTTGCATTCTCGTCAATATCAAAATTTATATTACCAGTCTCAGGAAAACTCTTCAATAGTTCAGCAATCATAGTAACCCATTGATCGGTGTCAATTGTAGCCAATTCAATAATCTCATCCAATTCAGATTTCCACTAGAATATAAATAAAAATGATACAAATTAAAGATTAACAACAAGAAAATTGAAAAGACTCACTCACCAGTTCAACATTTTTCCTTGGTAAATGTAGAAAAGAACATAACAATTTCAATTTAACCAATGATTGTAAATCAGGAAAACAATCACGAATATTTTTCAAAACATCTCCATTTAATTGTGAACAAATTGAACCACCAGACCATAAATCATTAACATTACCCAATTTATTATGAAGCCACAATGAAGTATCATTTTTATTCAAATGAGTCGTCATCACATCAGAACAACAATAAACTTTCAAATTTGGCAAAGCACCAAGTATACCAGTCCAAAAATAGACCAATGCCAAACAATCAACGAAAAAAAGTCCACACTAATTAAGACAATTAAAAAGAATCAAAGAAAAATTAAATTTCAATCTAAAGAAAATCACAAACAAACCCAAAGGTAGAGTCGAACTTCCCGGCCAACAGATGGCGCAAGTTCCATTCGTTTCCATGGTAACATGAGTCGCATTGAGAAAAAGCTGAAGGATTTTTTTTTCCATTGTTTTGGTTTTTCTCATTCTTTGTTTTAATTGTAATTAATTTGTTTAATTGACTAATTGTTTTCACTTTAAAATTGTATGTTTATTGAAATTGTAATTTTTATTTATGGCTCATCTTCTAAAGAATAGTTTGATGGTGGATACTCATCATTTCTCTAAGACAAATGGTTCCAATTTAGGTGTTGCTCCAGGGGTAATCGAGCCAATTGATTCTCCATTGAAAATTTTTGTTCTCGCCAAGAGAAAGATTAATAATATCTTTGTGGCCATTGAAAGTTATGTCGATGAGAGTAAAATTTTCTTGGAAGCTTGTCGTAAGGATGTTCTTGAAACCGATGCTTTAACCAATGTGGTTAATTTATCTGAAAGAGTTTGTAATATTCGTGAGGTTCTCAGAAGGGATCACATGAAAGTTGCTTTCTTTGGACGTACAAGTAATGGTAAATCAACGGTTATTAATTCAGTTCTGGGAAGGAAAATTTTACCATCTGGAATGGGTCATACAACCAATTGTTTTCTACAAGTTGAAGGATCGGATACTGATGAAGCTTATCTTGTTTTGGAAGATGATCCCGATGAAAAGTTAAACGTTGAATCTGTTTCCCATTTGGCTAATGCTCTTAATTCAGAGAAATTGGGTGATGCTACTTTGGTTCGAATTTTCTGGCCTAAAAATAAATGTTCTCTTCTTAAAGATGATGTTGTTCTTGTGGATAGTCCAGGTATCGATGTCTCACCAAATCTTGATGAATGGATTGATAAACATTGCTTAGATGCTGACCTGTTTGTCTTGGTTTCCAATGCGGAGTCAACTTTAATGCGAACAGAAAAAGCTTTTTTCCATAAAGTGAGCGAGAAAATTTCAAAACCAAACATCTTCATTTTAAACAATCGCTGGGATGCAGCTGCAAGTGAACCGGAAAATCTGGAACGTGTTCGTAAACAACATACCGATCGAAGTGTTTCCTTTCTTTCCGATGAACTTAAAGTTGTCTCACGAGCTGAGGCACCGGAAAGAGTTTTCTTTATATCTGCTAAAGAAGTTCTTATCTGGCGAACCCAAGAATCCCAAGAAAATGTTAGCTCCACATTTCCGGAAGGATTTCAACATCGTTACTTTGAATTTGAAAATTTTGAAAGAAAATTTGAAGAATGTCTTTCTAAATCTTCGATAAAAACCAAATTCGATCAACATGCCAGACGTGGTTATAGTATAATTAATGATTTAAGTTTACTGCTGGATAGTATTCATAAAAATTCAACCAATCTAAAGAATAGAAAGTCAACTGACCGTTCAGAGGAAGCTAAACGCTTGGAGATGACCAATTCAAATATGTCAATGTTAACAAGTGAAGTTAAACATAAGATAATCAATATTGTTGATCAAACGGAACAGAAAGTTAATTTAGCACTGAAAGAGGAGATTCGTCGTTTATCACTTTTGGTTAGTGATTTTGAGAGGCCATTTTCAGATGATTCTAATTACCTGTCTACTTATAAGAAGGAGTTACATAGTCACGTTGAGAAAGGATTAGATTCAAATATGAGAGCTCGTCTTACAACCGAATTATCTAATTGTGTGGAATCTGCTCAAAAGGAGATGATCGAAAGGGTAACCTCTTTAATACCCGAAGAAGAGAATAAGAAAATTGACTTTTTAACGTTCAGATCAAGACAAAGTTTCGAGATTCTTTACAGAATAAACTGTGAATCACTTTGTGCCGATTTCCAGGAAGATCTTGAATTTCGATTCTCTTTTGGACTATTATCAATGATACGACGATTTCGAAGTGGAAACTTTTTCGGTAAAGGATCAAATTCAATACCACGATCTGTACCATCAACAGCACCACAAACACCAAGCAACGATTATAAATCTATTCACAATAATTCAACTGTATCTTCGGATGCTGATTTATTACCAATTATTGAAAAGTTATCATTTCTCAGTGGCACACAGTCACAAACAACACTTGGTGCATTGGCACTCGGCGGGTTTATGGTGCGAACCATTGGTTGGAGGGTAATCGGAGTGACACTTGGTGTTTATACTTTCCTTTATTTCTATGAGAGGTTAACATGGACTAACAAGGCGAAAGAGAAAGCCTTTAAAAAGCAATATGTTAACCATGCAACTCGCAAATTAAAGTTAATTGTTGATTTGACAAGTGCTAATTGTTCACATCAAGTTCAACAGTGAGTATATAGAATCATAATTATGAGAATGTTTGTTTTCACAACTAATTGTTTATTATTATTTTCTTTTATCTTAACAGGGAACTGACCGCGACTTTTGCACGTTTATGTCATATGGTTGACTCGAATATGAAAAATGTTCAATCAGAAATCAGTAAATTAGACGCTGAAATCAGACAATTAGATGAGATTGGAAACAGTTCGAGAACGTTGAAAAACAAAGCAAGCTTTTTATCCAGTGAATTAGATAATTTCACCCATGTTTATTTGCACGATGAAAGTTGACCACAAGTTGACCACAAATGCTAACGAGAAAATCCTTCAAAATCATCAATCTAATCAAAACCGTTCGTTACCAGTGAACAATCAAGAAAACAACTTCCCACTAAAATACTAATTGTTTTTAAATAGATGCAGATTAACAATTAACAGATGATTTACTAATCTCTATTGTAATTGCTTGTTATTGAAGATCAACAATCAAAGTTAATTGTTTCTCTCACCAGTTTGAAAACTTTATATTTATAGTAATAGTTATTGACTATTAATCAATTGTAACATAAAACAAAATTGAAATGCTATTAATAGTATTTAAAATTTATTGATTGAAATACAAATTTCGTTCAATTAATTAATAGAAAATTTAAAATCATATTTATACAATTTGGATGCAATTAAACTCCAATCAGAATGATGATTTATTTCCTCTCATCAATATTTCTTAATCATTTACTTCATCACCAAATCATTTGTCTCTAAATTGTTAATCACAACTTGTAGTTAATTGTTTAGTTATTCACTTGAGACTAATTGTTTTTAATTCTTGTTTCCTATTATCAATTTAATTGTGTCATCGTTTAATTATTTTACAATTAGACTAATTGTCAAGATAAACAATCGTAAATCTAATTACTTTACAACTTAATTAGATTATAAAGATTGATTGTCAATGAAGGTTAATCATAATTAGGTGAAAAATTTATAATCAAAAATTTGAAAGAAACTTTTTTATTACTTATTAATACAATCACAATTAAATTGTTCAGTAAATTGTTGAAAGGTTGTTGATTCAATTATAATTGTTTAACTAGAAAATTGTTTGATTGTTATGATTTAACATCCGGTGATGATGCAGTTTAATTGTTCCGGTTAATTTACATTCAGTTACAGTTATGATTTAAACCCATGGTCACAATTAACTTAATCAATAGAAAGTGATGATTAAGGTTAAGGGTGATGACGGATTTTATTAAATTGTTTGGAAACAATTTAATTTGATATTTTGTTAAAATGAAAGTTAATCAAAAAAAGGCCCACTAATCATAATTTGATAGCTTCGATGATAAATCAGAAAATCAATAAACAATTAACTTTAATTGTTGACAAGAAAAAGAAACAAAAAAAAGTTTTTTTAATTTAAAAGGTAATTTTTTATTTGCGAGTTTTTTTTATATTGTAATTGGTTAATTGTCGTGATTATTAAAAATGTATACATAGTATTAATTTAGATTAAAGCAAAGATACTGAAAATCAAATTTGATCTAATTGTAACAATTAAATCAGTGGGTCAGTCTTGAAAATTTGTTGAGTCCAAATGAATCAAAAAAAAGTGTTGACCTAATTAGTTGATCAAATTTACAAAACTAATCTGTTTTCGCGGTTAATTTGTACAATCAATTAATTGGGATGATAACAATTAGGTGATTTAACTAAATCACCAGTTGTGTGATTTGTTTTTGTTTTTAAAAAGAGAGTAAAATCAATTAAATATATAATCAAATTAATTAACTTGTAGAGCCAAACAAATTAAAGGATCAATTGATTTCGTCTAGAAAAAAACATTGACCTTAAGCATTAATTTAAACTTAATTGTTGGTGTAATTGAATATAACAAAATATAGTTGTAAACAATTGATTAGAGTGATTATATTTTGCAATTCTGATTCTAATTGTTGGAGTTTAATTTGTTTCATCTCATTGTAATTTCCTAATCAAATTGGTCAGAAAAACAGTAAAACAAAAACAAAACATTATCTTAAAAAGTATATTGAATTGATGAGGAAACCGGAACAGGAAACACACACAATCATCATTTTTTGTTTATATTTTGTGTATATGAGTGTGTAAGACTTTTAAATATCTATCAGGTTAAAGGTCCAGCCAATGGTCAATCAGATTGAGTTATAAGCTTCTTGTTGTTCCCAACAACTTTGAACAAAATTGATTTCGATAAGTTGGTAAAAAGTAACCAAATAATTCGAGCGGTTCGAGTTCGCCGTAAGAATATATTCCAAATTCCGAGCATCAAAAAAAGGTCAAGTAACCTATTCAGATAGTACAATCTGAATCGAAAAAAAAAGAGAAGAGCAAAAAAATTAGAATAACAATTAGATTTGATTAGCGATTTAATTATAATGTTATTTAGATTTTATTACCGTTGTAAATTTCGCCGTGCGAATGGAAGTGTACTGTTCTCCTCTTTTAGGACGTACTTTCGAATACCCAGAATATAATCTTCCCAATAGGTCGGCCAGTGAAGGTCACGAACATCGAAGTGAAATAATTGCTTGTCTACTCCTTGGAGTTGATCACAGAGCATTAGGACATTGTCCACCTTAAATCGCCACTGGCGTGTTGTGAAAAATTCTAATGCTCCACTGGCTCTATGAAGTTTCGAGTAAATTTTAACCATTTTACTATTTTTTCCCAAAAAAAAAAATGAAACAAAAAAGAAAATTATTAGACTAAAGTGATACCTTACAACAAAATGAATGAATTAATTGTGATATTAGTTTGGAAAGAATTAAGAAAGAAAAGAGTAAATCAATATCAACACTTTTTCGAATGTTCTATTTTCTCTTTTTAGGATCACACCTTATTTCCTACCTCACAGGTTATCATGAAAATCAATCAACTGATCAATCAGATTGAGAGAGAGAGAGAGAGAGAGAGAGAGAGAGAGAGAAACAATCAAGGTGGAGGAAAAAGTGAATCGATCAAGTTTAGTTACGATTTTCTATGAGAAAAGTGGACACACTGAGGAAAAGAGACTTACCCTCTTTGACGACCTGTAAGGAGGGCGAAAAAATCGGCCAAATAGGAAGGTACATGATGTTCGAAGAAGACGGAAATTTCGTTGGCAAGTCGATTATTTTTGAAACATCCACCAGGATAACGGAACATTTCAACCGACGGATATTTTAATAGAATGGGAAAAGCGATCCGTTCAATATCACCCCAGGTGATTGGATTGAGCATTCCCGATGTACAATTATAAATAATTATATTATTCTGTGGACGGGTGGCCGTGTACCAAGCAACGGTGATCATCAGGTTAATCACCGTGTCAACAGGTATCAGATCAGCAGTTGCCTGTGAATTAAATAACATGGTTCTCAAGATTCCCTTGGAAGAGGCCAAAACCAGGCCGGTTGGACCATTTATATTGTCAACCCAACCTGCACATGGTTCCCTCCAGGCAGCGGTCACTATAGAGGGTCGGACAATGGCCACAGGTAAATTGCCACACTCTTCTGTTAATAAAGTCTCAGCTAATGCTTTGGTATATGTGTAAGTGTTTGGACGATCGCCAACTAATTTAGGTGTAATCTCGTTAATTACTTCCTCTGACATCCATTCCATTGCATCGATTACCTGTTGAGGTTTTGCCGGTGATTCGTATAAAACTTCATCAACTTCATCGCGATTACAATTAGCATAAGCGGTTGATACATGAACCAAGGCCTGAGAGAGTAACAATTAAGAGGAAACAAAACAATTAACATCCATTGAAAATTTACATGACAATTATCTGATTGATTCCAGTGTTTACCAAGGTAAATTGATTTCACTTTATTCAATTGATTTTCATTCAAACAAATTGTCAACAATTTAGCATTGATTTTTTCTCTGTTTTTATGTTAACTAATTGTAGTCGATGGTTACATCGATTTAACAATTTAACTTACCATTAATTTATTCAGTTTATGACAGAACTGAATTACTCTTCTGGTTCCAAGAACATTAAACTCAATGGAAGCTCTGGAAATTAAGAAGATGATTAAAGTTAATTTAGTTTGAAATTAGCGAGAATTCAATCCCAATTCTAATAAAATTAAGAAATTGAGAAAATAATTAATAATCGTTGTTGGAAATTCAATTGTTTAAAGGTTAATTGTGATGAAAATTCAAGAGGGAAGATCAAACAATTAGCTAATTGTGATTGAATGACAACAAAAAAAATACTCATTCAATGTAATTGAAATAAATAATAAATTGTTGATGATGAAATGTTGACATGTTTTAAAATTGATTAATTGTTTGAGTAATTAATTAATTAAAATGATGAATCAATTTTAATTTACCAATTTAACTAATGTTTGTTTCTGTTGTTAATTGTTTTAATTGATTGTTGAGTCAATAAAATAAAAGAGATGATAATTAATTATCATTGACAGAATAAGTTAATCAGTGAAAGTTGATTAAAATTTTCCTTATATCATCGCAGACTTGATTAACATGATTAACTAATTAAAATTGTGAACAACAACAAAAGTAAACCAGTCGTTGACCTAATTGTCCACTACGAATAAAAAACCAACAAATGTACATTAATAGTGGCTTTTAAATCAAATCAAATCAAAGTAGAAAATTAAATAATCATAATAATCATTAAAGTTTCACTTTATAATAATAATTAATTAGTAAATTGAGTTAATCAAAGGGAATCAGCTGTTAATCATAAATATCTATCAAGAAAATGAGCTGACCTAATTGTAGCTAAATGACCAAATTTAAACAGTAAAAAAAACAAATTTGTTTGGGTTAATAATCAATTGATTGGTAGATACATGATGAAAAATTAACTAAATCAAAATCAAAGTTAATCATGAAATGGTTAACAAGTGAAAGTTAATTGTAAATAAATCAATGAAAAGTTTAACCTGATCAACAACAAGAAAAACAAAACAAACCAAGAATCAAAACAATTTCATTGACCCAGAATAATTTAAAGTAAACATCATAATCAACTAATCAACTAATCATCATCATCATCATGATAATCATTAACATTAATCACGAAATAATTTAGGATAAGATTAATTTCCGTCTTTCTAACATTAAAAACATTAACACTTTTTCAAATTTTCTGCTGATTGTTGATGATTTTAATTAACGGTCAAGGACAGTTAAGGTTAATGAATTAAAAAGAAAGTGACAATTACATACTCATTAACTTGTTACATAATTAAAGTTCAACGACAACAATTATCAACAATAATCTTAAATACGATAATCTGTTTCTCCAAATCAATTAACTAATAAAAAAACGATTGAGAGACACAACAGAAGAAGTAGAAAGAAAAAGTTTATATAACAATTAGTTAATCACTCACCTTAATGGTTCATCAAATTTAACTGTTGCTGCTGAATGGAAAACAACTGAAATCTCCTTAATCAATGTATTCAAATCGTTATCCGATAATCCTAATCCATTAAGTGAAATATCACCGGAAACACCAATCAATTTGTTCAATGCTTTTGGATTCTCATCTTTTAGCCGATCAAATATCTACAAGTTGATTTGATTGTTGATCAAAACATCCAAATAATACACAAGGCGAATGGTTGATGATGATGATGATAATAATGATGATAGAGAAGAATAAAATTAATAATAAGATAATAAGATGAGGATCATGGTCATTACTCAGAATAAATGAAAAAAAAGCAAAAGATGAGCACAAATCGATGTCAACGGAAACACATATCGTTACTATCGATATCGTTACTAATGATATTATCGTTGTCACAATAACGGTTAATAATAACAATGGATAATTGTGATAATAATAGAAAGAAAAGAAAGAGTAATAATCAAGGATTTCCTTTTGTTTTTTCTGAGAAAATATAAAATATTTCTGATCGAATCGAGAATAATAATAAACTTTTACCATGGTAAGAATATGTTTAGTTTTGTTACTCTGATTATCTCTTGTTATTTTTTTTGGTAAAGAAATTAAAGGTTAATTGTTATTAGAGGGATTGGAATGATTAGTTGATTGTTCACACCTTTGCATCCAAAAGTTCATCCAATCGTTGGTGAGCATTCAGTCCCTTCTTATTTCGTAGTAGGACGTAAATGTTTTTTATCCCAGAGCAGGTTCGAAGTAGCTTTTCAACCAGAACCTGTGGAAATAATAATTAATTGGAGAGGAAGAAGAAAAAAAATTTACCAACAATTAACATGGTTAAGTAATCATGAGGAGAGAAAGAGTGAGGTGATAATTAGTTAATTACGACGATTAGGTTGATTGGATTCAAGATGATCCAAGGGTAAGAAGAAGAAAAAAATTGTTTAATATCAAAGATTAACAAGGTTCAATCAAGAAACAATCAAGGTAATAATCTAATAAAATAACTGATTAGAGATTAAATTATGAAAAGGGATAATAATTAAATACTAATTGCTTACTTTTCCCATAAATCCTGTTGCTCCGGTGATAAAAACACATCGATCATTAAAAAAATTACTAATCTGAGACTCATTACGAGGTAACATTGTAATTAACTGGTCCGTTTGTAATTAGTTATTAGCAATTAAAGATAATCAAGAAAAATTGATCGACACACTAATTGTGTATATTGTTTGTTGATTGTGTAAAGTTACAATTAGTATATTACACAAGAGAAAAACAAAACTTTCACTTTCTTTGGAACCTGAACTGTTGTTGTGTCCAAATTGACACCAACTTATAATAAATTAACAACACTGGATGGATACGTTGATTGTCAGTACGTTACTGTTGAAAAAATTAACTCTCAATGAAGGGATGATGATGATAAAGTAACAGGAAGAGAAAGAGAAAGAAAAGTGAGTAAGTTAGAGAGTGAGAGAGGGAGTGATGAAGAAATAATGACGAAGACGATGGATGACGATAGATGATGATGATGATGATGTATATCGACTGGAAGTTTCTGATAATTAGATGATGATGGTGATGATGATAACTGAAGGTATGATTAGATTCTGAACTCAGATTCGTTAAGCTTTTCAAGGCAGTTTTCTGGTCAAACGTCTTCCACCTTTACTCTCAAATATATTACCAGGTCACCTGAAGATGATAATGATAAACAAGAAGAAGATAAAAAGACATTAGTGAAAATTCATTAATATATAATATTATCAATGAAATCATAAGAAAATGAAAGAAACAATCAAGAGAGTGAGTGAGTGAGTGAGTGAGTGAAAAACAACAAGAAGAAAACAAAATAATAACAATAATGATTCAAATTTATGGTTCATTGACAATAACGATACAAACATCGTAATCAATTTGAATTGATGATGAGGTCAACAAGCATTTCTATGATATTGGATAATAATAATAATCATCGTCAAGATAATTATAAAGGTGAAGGATATTATTGAATATTCAATAGTTCACTAACATATTATATACTTTTAATGATGAAAGTGAAACTTATTCAAAATAGAGGTCAGTTAATTTGCCTCAATTGATTAACTTGAAAGAGTAAGAAAGAAAGAGAGAGAGAGAGAGAGAGGATAATCTAAATCTTTTTTATTCTTCTTCCGGTATTTCCGATCTTTCCACCTTGATTGTGAGAGGTATGAATTTCTTTAGGGTAGTTCCGTGCTTTTAAAGGCCATCATGATGATTATGATGATGATAGAGTTAAAGGTTGATAAGTGTTGAAGATTAGAAAGGAGGGGATTAAGGATATTTACCTTAATTTGTTAATCTTTTTCATATTCTCAAACATTTTCTTAGTCTTGGTGTGTGAGTTTGTTGTGATGGTGATGGTGTTTAAGGGAAAGTGTTTTAGGCTAAGCGTGGGTGGTGAGAAAAGGTTTCATGATGAATTTTCAATTGATGGTGAAAATCAATTCGCTTTGAAAATATTAATATATATCAATGAGATAATCTACTAAATCATTATCATCATGGTTTTTTATGGTTATTACCTTATTCTTTGAGTTATCTTTTCTTTCATCTGATTTTATCTTCAATCATCAATGAATAAGCAAAGAGAGGAGAGATCGGAAAGAGGAATAGAAGAAAATAAAAATGTAGAACAAAGTTTCCAAATGAATCAGAATAATTCATATGATGGTAAGAAGATGAAAGAGAGAGAGGAACAGGAGGAAGGAAGAAATAAACTAGATGGATGATAGAATATCATGATTAGAGAGAGAGAGAGAAAGGAGATGATGATTCTCTCTTCTTAATCTCTAACCTCGACCTTAAACCAGACTGAAAAAGAAAAAACACGAAAGTAAAACATTGGAAAAAAACATTAGGAAAATGATATGGCAAAGATACACTTTCATGGAAGATAAAATTACATAGATGATGGAGACAATTTCTCAGAGAGAAATAGACTCAGGGAGAAAGATGATAAGAGAGAGAGAGAGAGATGATAAAATGAAGGTAAACTGATGGAGAGGAAGAAAAAAATAGACAAATCAATTAGGTTACACACCTAAATTGTTGGTGTAGTTACTTTTTCTTGGTTAGTGATTTTCAGCAAGATTGTAACTATTTACAGTTAACGTCAATGTAATTTATATATAGACACAAGGATAGAGTGAGTGTGTGTAGCACAATTAGAAATCCATATCAAGTTAATTGTTGAAAGTTGAAAGGTCATCAATATAATCACAATTAGTGTGTTAGGGAGAGAGAGAGAGAGAGTTATACAAATGAAAGAGTAACAATCAAGATCTTATATTTATGAAGAGAAATGAATATTATTTTTGTGAAAATTTTCTCTCTGGCAGTGATTACCTTTATGGTGATTTACTAATTGTTGGGTGAGATTTGAGACATTACACAGGAAACAATTAACTCGCAATCAATGTATTGCACTTCAATAAAACAATGACCATAAACACAACATCAAATGATAGAGAAGAAGAAAAAAAAAATGATGATGATTTAGGAAACACTAGATTCTTTGTCTATGTTTAACCGGCTTAAGATGATGACGATGATATGATTATGATGATGGACGATAAGATGATGATAAAGGGAAGAAAGAATCAGTTGATGATGATGGAGAAAATGAAGATGAAAAAATCAGGGTGACATCGAATTGGGAGTCAACTGAATATCACATTAAGATGATGATGTTAACATTTACATGAGAGTAATGAAGAAAATGAACAATTTAGACTATTAACTCTATGGAATTAATTGTAGAGACTGTTAATTGTAAACAGTTTGGAAATTGTGAATTAATAAAGTAATAAACAGTTGAGAAGGCGAAGAAAAATAAACGATAGTAAACAGAGAGAAAAATTGGTTAACTGGTGTTGATGGAGAAAAATAGAAAACAGGTTAATTGTGAGAGAAGAAAGTTAATTGTTACTTTTGATTTACTATTCTGTTGACAATTAAAGGGAAGGTCACTTTCGGTAGAGATGGTGGACTATTCATTCGGTGGGGTTTTCTTCATCCCTCTCACTCTCTCAGTTCATTTTCTCTGAATTTCTTTTTTCTTCTTCTCGACTCAGCTCACTTCGAATTGTAAATGTTGTGTCTCGAATCTTGGGTTACACAATATTCAGAGAGAAAATATCAGATTATTTTCTCTCTCTCTCTCTCTCTCTCTTTCGAGAATTTATCTTCTCTGTCTACATGATTCAATCTTCTCTTTCTACTCTATCGATTTCACTTTCTTTTTTTCTCTTCCGCTCTAATTTTCTATGGTTTCTAATTCTCTCTCCATGAGCATGAGCTTTTTTCTTCCTCCGGTTTGTTTTCGTTTCTCTAGATGATATAAATATTTAGTCTCTTTCTTTTTTCTCTTTCTTTATCATCCTCATCCTCATCATCTTCTTCTCCAGGGTGAAAACTAATTAGACGGTAAGACAATTAAATCAACTAATCATTTACTTTTTCCTTTCTATTTAATGTTTTCCAAAATGAAACGATAATCATTTCATTGACTCATTGATTTTTCACTCTTTCATTTGATTTGATTATAATTCGTATCACTAATTGTTATTCATATAACATTGTATTAAATTGTTTTCTAATCATTGATTATCATTATTAACGTATTAATACAAATTGATTGTTTGTATTTCTCACGATTTATAACAATTTAACTTCCGATAAACTTTTCCAATACAACCAATTGATTATCAATGATTTTCAATTCACTGATTATTGTTAAACCAACGATAGGAAATTGATGATTATCATCAAAATCAAGTTTATAATTAAACAATTAATGGTTAAGTTCAATTAACTGATGGTAATTTGTTAATTTCTAATCAATTTTTTGATCAAAAATGATGACAATTAAATCCGCAGGAAACTTTATCTATTTAATTGTTTGCATCTGATTCGTATAATCTTGATTATCACCGACAATCAATAAATTGTTGAACAATTAATAGTTTAAGAAATCAAATTGTTTCAATTGAAATTGGCTCATTATTGATTTAACAACCAATCAAGTTCAATGATTAACATTGATTATTTCCGATCACTGATTGTTACATCAATCTGATTGATTGAATAATCAATAAGTTTTACAAGCAGATAATTAATTGTTACTCACAATTAAAGTCATCCGGTATTATATTATTAGCATACTCTTAATTGTTAGCAAATTATTTTTCAACCAATTAAATGTATTAAATTACCTTAAACTGGATCTTTGATCAATCAAATTTAGTTTCCACCATTTGATTTATCATTACAATTTAAATTGTTTCACTAATTGTGCCTCTTTTGGCTTTGCTATTGATTATTGATTGTCTCATTTATGAATATTGTTATTTGGTTAATTGTAAATTGGTTACAAGGTTGGATATTAACTGTTTCCATTGAATTATATTGTTTTTATTTCCAGTTAATTGTTGATCAACTTTATCTCGTAGTTTTAAATTGCAACAGTAAAAATAGTCATGATTTAGGGAGCAATTAACTTGCAAGGATAGTTGATTGGTTTGTATTAGTTTTTTGCTTGTTCGATAATTATTGTGATTAATTGTGATGTTTAAAGATTTTCACATTATCGTCATTGACAAAATAGTCTTGAAATACACATTGATTAATACACAACTGAAGATCTTAATTGTGATAATTAAAGGGATAAGAAGGGAAATGGAAATCAAAAAATGGGAGAGGAAAAAGTTACAAGAAGGACAATATAATTGTGTGATCCAATGAAGGGCAGGATTAGGACAATTAGATTAATTGATTGTTTGGATTAGGAAAATTTTCACAAAAAAAGATTTGATGAAAGTATCACACGTTGAGTTGGTTGTTGCAATTAAATGCGAGAGTGTTGATTGCATTCAGAAGGCAAATTGTGAACCATAAAACCTTTCAAATTATTTACAATAAGATTGTGATTATATTTAGAAGAGAAAATTTGATCATTGGGACAATTTAATCAACGTCTCAACTCTCTCTTCCTGTCAGAATTTCTTTTTGGTCCATAGAATCGTTTGATGCTTGATTGCCTTGATTGCGCTGATTGTCGTAATAACTCATGTTCGTATTTAATTTGTTGCCTTTTTTGGTGTTTATTTTGTTTGAATTTCGTCTTTTTCACTCTACCCGATCGTATGGAACCTCCTTTGATGTAATCACTTTCATTTACTTTCTTAACGGCCATGGCGACGGTCTCATCTCTGATCTTTTTCCTTCTCGCTTTCTCCTTTTGCTTCTTTCTGCGATTTTTAGCTTTTTTAGAGGAGGAATAGGAGCTGTTATCATTACTATTATTGCTGTAGCTGTTGTTGTTGTTGTTGTTGTTTTGATTGTGTTTGTAGTAATCGGGTGGTGGAAGAGGAGGTGATATGAGGGAGATCACTGGTGGTGATGGTGGTCGACAACTACTGGTGGTTGGTGGTTGATCAGTTTGTGATTCATTGGCCTCCCAGGTGAAATACCGTGGCCATGAATTGTGAGAGGACGATTTGCGAGATGATGATGATGTTGGTGTCGGTGTTGGTGTTGGTGTGGAGTCTAATTGTTTAGGTGTATGATCTTGATGATATTCTTGGGATAATTTTGGAGGTTGTTCATTTCGAATGGGAATAAATCCACCACCAAATGTAGTATTCATATCATACGGTGAACTTATTTCAATGGGTCGACTACGAAGTCTTTCACATTCCTGGAGGGAAAAAGAAACAAGCAAGAAAACAAAGAGTAAATTAGCAAAATCAATATTAACTCATCTTCTCAATATTCACTTGGTGTTTGTCATCATACACAAAACAATACAAGGTCAACAACATGAGTAACATGATTGACATCAACTTACAAATGAATAATGCTGATGACGTCGTCCACACATTGAGCAACTTTTATTGGTATTTTTTTCAATACGAGTAACACTTTTATCTGGATCAATTTGTGGATCAGTTGTATTAAAAAATTTCCTCCAATGGTTTGGACAAACATCATCTAGGTGACCATATTTACTGCATATACGACACTTTAACTCTCGTACATTAAGATTACACTTTGGGGTTGAATGAAAGTTCATACATCGTTTACAGTGTTGATTTTGACAGTGTTGACCCAAGTGTCCAGTTGCACCACAAATGTAACATATTTTATACTTTGGAAGGTGACAAAGTTTAACTGGATGATTTCCCTCTTTTCTACACCTTGAACACCAAATTTTTGGCCGATAAAATTTACCATAAACAGGATGAGAGACAAGAAAATCTTTATAATCAATATGCCATAAGTTTAATTGATTTAATTTAATCATCTTTCTCAGGCATATAGACCGAAAAACTAAACAACAATAACCTAACACGTGGTATTTGGGTAATGTTGTGATAAAAAGCTCCATCTGTTTGTATTAGTTCATTTGAGCGCTTTTTTCATTTTTCGCTTTCCAATTAATTTAATTGCTTTTCAAACTTCCAACCAACCATTTGATTAGCTAATTGTTGACAACAAAACAATCAAACATCACAAGTACATGTAGTTTCCTTTTAATTAGCGATTTCAATTTTCACTAATCAATGTCAATAAAAATTATCCAAACTATTAAATTGATTAAAAGACTGTTTGAAAGGCATGGAAATGTGAAAGTAATTGTTGTGAATTTATTGATTATTGTTTGGTTGTGTTAATTGTTTTGCAATTTAATTGTTAACTGATTTTCAGAAGAAAAAAAAATTTATTCAGTTGATGGAGACAAAAAGTTATTTCCGACGCCGGGAATTGAACCCGGGCCTCCTGGGTGAGAGCCAGGTATCCTAACCACTAGACAACGCCGGAGAAGTTGTGAATGAAGGTTTAATAGTGGAATTTATTTTCATTGATTTTTTTACTTGGAAAAAGAACCGATAGATGGAGTTGATTTTCTCTCTTTTTGGTTTTGTTTTTTTTTCTTCTCTTTTTTTTATTCACAATTAGATTGTGATCATCAATTGGATTTATTTCCTTTAATTAAGGTGGTTTGAATTAGTGATTACTTTGATTTCTAATTAATTTAATATTTATTTCTATTCTTGTAACATTCAACATTTACTTTTAATGTGTACAATTTAATCTTCAATTCTATTAACTAATTGATATTGGTTTTGTTTTTTTTTTCTCTCTTCTGTTGTTTATTGTGATTGATTGACTGATTGTCTGGTGTTATTTTTTTCTTCTCTTCTTTTTTTTTCTCATTGATATAGTTAATATATTGTTAATTTGTTCTTTTTCATTTTCTATTCTATTTGCTTTATTAGTGTGTATTTATCTATCTGTTTTGTTCTCTTGAAGATTTACTATGGTGTTAATTAAAGAGTATCGTGTTCTGCTTCCAATGACCGTTGAAGAATACAAGATTGGTCAATTGTTTGCTGTCGCTGAGGCGAGTAAAAATGAAACTGGTGGTGGTGAAGGTGTTGAGGTTATCAAAAATGAACCTTTCAGTAATAATCCACTTCTAGATGGTAAATACGGTGAAGGACAATATACATTTAAAATCTATCATCTACAAAGCAAGGTTCCTAGTTTTGTTAAATATTTGGCTCCCAAAGGGTCACTGGCGATTCACGAGGAGGCTTGGAACGCTTATCCCTATTGTAAAACCATTCTTACTAATCCTAGTTACATGAAAGATGGTTTCCATATAACCATTGAATCTTTACACCTTCCAGATGATGGTAAACAGGAGAATGTCCATCAACTTGCTCCCAATAAGTTAAAAAATCGTGAAGTTCAAATAATCGATATAGCCAACGATCCAGTCAGTGCCAAAGTAAGAAGATTATTAGATAAACAAATCGAAATGATTTTACTCTTTTTTATTACCTTTTCTTTTTTTTACTCTCCATCAATTACCGTTATATTTTTCTCTCTCTCAATCATTAGGATTACAAAGAAAGTGAAGATCCAACGAAATTTAAATCAATTAAAACAGGACGAGGACCATTAGCAAAAGATTGGGTTGTAAGTATTTCTTGTTGATTTGCTTTTGATTGATTTTCTTAATTTCTTTTCCCTTTTTTTGTCCGTTAGTATTAATCTTCTTCTAGAATGTGATTTTCTTTAATGATGAGATTTTAATTGTTTTTTCTAATATCCTTTTTTCCTCTCTCTCTCTCTCTCTTTCTCTTTTCTCTTTACCCTTTAAATGTTTTAATTCCAGAAAACAACGGACCATATCATGTGTTGTTATAAACTTGTTACTGTCGAGTTTAAATGGCGTGGACTTCAAAACCGAATAGAATCATTCATCCATCAAGTAAATTAATCACCATTGATTATGAAAAAGCAACAGAAAGAGAAACATTTTCTCTCCTCTTTTGGGTTTACAAAAAAAAGGCAGAAAATTAGTAAATTAAGCTGAAAACCATTATACTAATTAACATCACCTACATGAGAATGTATTTATTTCCCATCACTAGGACGATGGTGATGATGATGATGATGATGGTGATGACATTGAAAATGCTCCACTTTATGTAAACCCAAGATTTGCTGTCGTTGTTACATTTTCAATGTTAATTTTGTCGCACAAAATTTAATCTAATTATCATTGTTTCTTTCCTTGATTACCTTTTAATACACAGACAGAGCGACGATTATTTTTGTCTCTTCATCGGCAAATTTTCTGTTGGATAGATAGATGGTATGACCTGACAATCGACGATATTCGAGCGATAGAAGAAGAAACAAAAAGAGAACTCAATGAGGTAACTGATATTCGTTTCTACTCTTAAATTAATTTCCTTTTTCTTTTCTAATCAAGTAATATAAAACTAATAGATTTTATTTTCTCCAAAAGCTTCGAAAACAAAATCAAGTTCGAGGAAGAGGAGGCGACGAATAAAATGAAAACAAATCAACATCAACATCAACCTCAAGCAACAAAAACTACAATAATTACAATCAAACAACCTAATCAATAATTATAAACAACAACAACCCAATTACCTAAAAACTAACTAAGTTAATATAAAAATTGATGGGAACACAAAGAAAAACCAAATGATTGATATATAATAATTATATTAATAAACGTTTTTTTTTCTTCTTCTTTTACTACATAACATATACTTTACCAAAATTATCTTTTAGTTAATTGTTGATAAAATGTTTAAATCTCAGGTAAATACATCTAATTAATTTGAAACATTTGTTGCTCTTCACAAGATAAAAAAAAACAACAGAGAGAAAGAAAAAAAAACTGATTCAACAATTAAAACGAGAAAATGAGAGCATTGATTTCCAATAATCTTACTCTTAATTCACAAGGTTAATTAGATTGTCTATTTGTAGAATAATCTTTTTTTCCTAATTCACTAATCAACTAAATTAAAGATAAGATTTAATCAATTATGTTCTTAATCAACATTGGAAAATCAAAGAATCGTTTCCATGGAAAGGGAACGTTGACTAATCTACAAGAGAAAAGAATAGAAAAAAATAATCAGCTGTTGATAGAAATTCTAATCTGTCAATTGATTAGTTTACTTTTCCTTTTTTGATTGATTCCATTTGTGATTTGATTCTTATTATTTAATTTGTTAATTGTTAATTGTTTTTCTTCCGAAATGGATGTTGATCTAGAACGTGAAGCGAAGCAAAATGCTGCTAAATTGGTTTCTTCTAATCTTCAGAGAACCAACAATTTGGAGCAAATTAAACAGAGTAAAAAGCTTCGGCTTAATAAAGAGGTAAGAATATTTAATTTTCTATTCAACAAAGGGAACAATTAGTCGTTATTCTGATTATTTGTGTTGCCCTTGATCTATTAATTAACTGGTTCCATTTTGTTACAATAGAATTGGTAGATTGCTCTAGTGATTTGACATCCATCATGGTGGTTTTAATTATTTTTTTTTTCTTCTCTATTTTTTGTTTTGTTTTGATTTTTTTTTCTATCATTGAATAATTAGGCTGCTGGTGAGGCGATGTTGAGAACAGCAATGCAAACACAATTGGATGATGTTCGTAAAGGTTTAATTCATCTGCAAACATCATCCACACACGCCCAGTCAATCCGTGGATTGATTAAAGATATTGAACATGAACTGGCAATTATACCTAATTTGGTTGAGAAATTAAAGCGAGTTAGAGAGGAGAGTATGAAACATACCCAATTAGCAGCGGCTAAAGAAAATTTGAAACATATATTCAATGTACCTGAGAATGTGACCAAAACCCGTTATTATATTTCAGAGGGTAAATTACTTTTGGCTCATCAGTGTTTAACAGAATTGGAAAATTCTCGTGATGATTTACTTTATGAGATTCATCGTCTCTCATCAGCCAATTCTCAGGATAAATCAATGTTGCGAAACTATTTTAGTGAAGTGGAAAAATTATCCGAAGAATTGGGTAAACAATTATGGTTAATAATTCGATTAACGTTAAATTCTGTAAGGAAAGAGCCTTCAATCATTGTAACCGCTTTAAGAATCATCGAAAGGGAGGAAAGGTACGATTCGGCTGCTCTTACAAGGAAAGAATCAACTGATTTTATGCCACCCGGTCGACCGAAACAATGGAGAAATATGATATTCAAGATTCTAGAAGAAGCCGTTAATGAGCGAATCGTTGGTAATCAAATTGAGGAGAGAGCGCAAAACAAAATGTGGTTAGTTCGTCATCTCGAAGTGACCCGAATTTTGATTCTAGACGATTTGAAGGTTGTCAAAACCGCGTGTGTCCCATGTTTCCCTCCCGAATACAATATTGTCCAGCAAATGTTACGTATTTACCATCGGTGTTTAAGTTTACACCTTCAAGAATTGGCCTTACAACTGGAGGGAAATGAATATGTTACTTTACTTAATTGGGTTCAAAAATATGAGGGACCTGATTTAATGACTCATCCTCAGCTTAATTTTGATCTTAAAGAGGAAGGTCTCTTACCATTATTACCGAAACATCTAATTGATGAATTAACCAACAAATATCTTCAAACAATTGAACGTAATTACAAGGAATGGATGAACAATACAATTAATCGAGAATGGAAAGACTGGTCAAGTGCTAATCCACCAGAGACAGATGATTCTGGACATTATCAGACAACAACACCAGTAATTGTTTTCCAAATGATTGATCAACATGTAAGTTAATCATGACAATTTAAATGAATAAGAACAATTTTCTAATACAATTTAATCTTCTCAATTCAGCTTCAAGTTGCCAAAACTGTGGATCAAAAGTTAACCACTCGAGTTTTAATTCTTAGTCTTGATCATTTAGCGACTTTCGCAAAACAATATAAAGACGCTGTTCATAAGTATTGTGAGTCTCATTTCGAGGATCGAGGACAATTCAGCTCATTTACACCCTACATGGTAAATAGATTGATTTTAATCTTCTATCGATTGGTTTTAATTGTTTGTTATAATTACTATTACACTCTCAAGATCGCCGTTGCAAATAATTGTGTCAGTTTCGTTGAAATTGCTTGGAAATTTCGTCAAAAATATCCATCGGTCTCAAACGCTTCGAGTGATTCCGCTTTCGAAAACGTTTTAAATTCATTTGAAAAACTACGCGAAGACACGTAAGAAGATTAATCAATTTATATAAATTGCAAGATAATTAATCAATTCTATTCGTTATGTTTTCCTCTCTCAAATTTATTTAGAATTAAATTTTTACTTCATGAGTTATTCTTGGATTTGGATAAAGAATTGGTTAAAGTTGGAACTCGCGAATGGCTTGAGGGCAAATTCAGTGTCATCGAGAATGTTTGTCTCACCCTGGAAGATTATGTTCGTGATTATAATCATCTAAAACAGCGCAACTTTGACGTACTTAAAGTTGCATTGGAAACTAAATTAGCTAAAAGTTACATAACATCAATTCTGAAAAAGTAATTTACCTTAAATCTAAGCTAGTTTATCATTTTCCATAATAATAATGAGATGAATTAATCATCATTATTTATGGAGCAATCAGATTCTAATTGCTAAGTTTTTCTTTCTCATCATAATTTTGCTTCTTTACTCTTTGCTTGAATCAGGAAAATGACCTTCAAAGATCATGGACAGAGAGAAGCCTTCGGACGGAAATTCATCAAAGAAGGTGAAGTTCTCAAAATTGCAATCAGTAAATTACCAAACTATAATACCCTTAAATTAGAGCAAAAGGTTGGTTAATTTCTTTCTCAGATCAATTACCACTCCTATTTGGATTTTATTCTTTTTTTTCTGTTCTCTCTCCATCATCCCTGAGACTCATGTCATCATCTCTTTTGAAGAATCACTTTGATCTTTACTTAAGATTTAATTTTCTTTCCCTCTCTCACATTTTGGTTCACGATTTCTCAGAAAACTTCACCATTTGATTCACTTCCCTTGTTGGCAGAGTTTTTAAGACTTAAAGATTTATCCATGTTGTTTCTTGAAGTTTCGGTAAGAGGATAAACTTTTTTTCCCTTTCACATCTTCACCACAAGATGAATATTATTTAACTATTTTACTCCATCAATTTAGGGTTTAATTAAAAAATATCCTGACATATCAGTTGATCATTTAACGGCTTTGCTTAATCTACGTGAAGATATGGCCAAAACAAATGTTCGCAAGGTAAATTAACACTTGATGAGAATATGAAATTGAGATGATTTAATTGATGATCATTTTGTCGCTTATTTTTTTTCACATTCACAGCAAGTTACAGATATGATGTCAGAATTACCACAATCAGGAACGATCACAAAAACAGTTTTTTCAGAGATTGACTTAAGCTGATGATGGAAAACATTTTAACCGCTGATCAGCATAAACAAATCCAATAAATCGAACGAGTCGTTTTTCTTTATCTCGCATCAAAGACAATCACTATAATTTATATAAAAAAAGAAAATTATTAGAGTTAATTTAATATATAAGAAATATTTGTTACATATTAATCATGTTCTCTTTTTTGAACCAACAATTTGTTGATCACAATCAAAAATCTCAAGAGAAAGACAAACTCTTTGTAAAAAAAAATGATCAGAGAAAATTTTTCCTGTACATTCAGACAAAGATTGACTTGGAAATAAAACATTACCATTGACTTCGAGAACAAAAAATCTCTCATCATTTACAACCAGTAAGCCGTAAAAGGAAGGACCTAAAGTCCATTAGAATAGAAAATTTCTCAAAATCTTTTCTATTTAAATTGTTCTTTAAAATTAACAAATTGTGTTGGAATCAAACAGAAAAAAGGAAACACTTACATCTTTTGGTTCGTTTCTTATACATAATCCGGTAACCACATTCTCTGCATCTAATTGGATCTCTAGGTTTAATTTCATTCTCCTTATGACATTCTACAGAATGTACAGCCACAATATCCAACCCAATCACAGAAAAAAAAGTAAAAACAAATAAACAATTAAAAAAAAGATGATCAAATTGTAGGAAACAACCAAAAAAGAGATGAAACAAAAAAAATGTCAACTCACCAGCACAAATGTAAGTCATTGGTAATTTAATGACCGGAGCTTCTTTGGCCTCCATTACAATCGTTAATTGTTAAATTAACTGAAATAGAAGAAAAAATGAATCAGAAATTGTTAATTGTTAATTAGGAGAAAAAAAGAGAAAAGAAATTAAATTTCAAAAAGAAAACACATGACAGAATATCTTTAAGTATTCGATACTCGATTGATCGATTATTCCAAATATCAGATATTCTCTTTTCGGAAAAGTGATGAAAGTGAATTAAATTCTCGCTCATTTAAACGAGATGATTGTTACTCTTAACAATGAATTTAGTTAATCAGGAATGAACCATTTCGACAGGTTGATTGATTTAAATGGAATAAAATCAGGTATGTAATTTGTTAATTGTTACCTTTTTAGATTATGTGTGTAATTGATAATCTACATAACAGGTAACAAATGTTGAAGAGAATAGAATATGAGAAAAGAGAGTAACTTTGCCTCTTTCTTTTTTCTCTTTCTCTTCTGTGACCTGTCAAAATGATTTGAAAATTTCTTTTTCTTTTTCTTTTAATTGTTTATCTTCTTCTTCTTTTTTCTCGATATTTTTTTCTTTGTTTTAGCAGATTCTACGAATAAAACTGGACATGGTTGATCATTTTATGGATTTTCTATTCTACAATATCCATATTCTTCTCTATTTATCAATCCAGTGTTTTCTCTTCTACTTCATTCGTGATGATTGAAAAAAATATTTTCCAAGTGAAATTTGATGTTACCTTTTTCTATTCTATGTAGAAATATACACACACATATATCGTAGTAACTTATTGATTATTACTGTTTGTTTGTTTGTTGGTTCTGTTCGTTTTCTCTCTTCATCTCTCTCTCTTCTATTTTATTCTCTTGGCTGCTTATATCATTTGTGTACAAAGAAAATGCTGATAAAGTGATTAATGGTTTTATCTCTACAATTATAATCTCAACATTTTGAAAGATCTCGATTTTATATTCTCCTTCTGTTCTCTGTTCTATTTATAATTTATTCTTTTGGTGCAACCATGACTTCCTGGAAGGATTGGAAATATTGCTCATGTATTCGCCCTTGTTTCGTTTATTGTTTAAAACCTTGTTTCTCATCTTTAGGAGATGAATATGGTTTCAAAGATTGTAAACACCTTGACTTTAGTCATTGTAATTTGAAAGAAGTGCCCGATGAAATATTCTCTCTGGAAAGAACTCTCGAAGAACTGTTACTTGATGTTAATTCTATCCGTGATTTACCTCGAGTTGTTTTCCATTGTACTGGATTAAAAAAGTTATCCCTCTCCGATAATGAGATTGAAACTTTACCCAGTGCAATATCCTCCCTGATTTATTTAGAATATCTTAATATAAGTCGTAACAGTCTTCTAGTTATTCCGGATAGTATAAAGTGCTGTAAGTGCCTTATAGTTTTAGATTGTAGTGTTAATCCATTGGGTAAAGTTCCTGATTCACTGACACAATTAATTAATCTACAAGAGCTTTACCTTAATGATACCTTTTTGGAATACCTGCCTGCTAATTTTGGTCGCCTTTCAAAGTTACGAATTGTTGAATTACGAGAGAATAATTTAAAAATTTTACCTAAATCATTTCAACGTTTAATCAACTTGGAAAGATTGGATATTGGTCAAAATGAATTGGTTGAATTTCCCGAGGTACTTTGTAATCTAACCAATTTACAAGAATTGTGGATTGATGGTAATCGTATATCCTCCTTACCAGAGATAATTGGAAATCTGACCAAATTAACTTACTTTGATGCCAGTGAAAATCGTATTGTTACAATAGCCACAAGAATCTCTGCCTGCCATCGATTAACGGATTTACTACTTTCTGGGAACAAAATTGTTGAATTACCTGAAACTCTTGGAAGCTTAAAGTATCTCACCTATTTACGTTTAGATGATAATAAGTTGAATTGTTTACCTCAATCAATTGGAGGACTTTCCTCTCTTCAAGAACTTGTGATGAGCAATAATTATATTCAATCGATTCCCAAAACCATTGGATTCCTACGTAATCTACACAGTCTAATTATGGATTGTAACCTTGTGAAAGAATTACCAGATACTATTTGTAGTTGTAGTAAATTACGATTACTTTCCATCGCCAGTAATGAGCTTTCCGAGCTTCCTGAAGATATTGGTCGTTTAAATAATCTCCGAGTGTTAAATTTACGTAACAATCAACTTAAATTTTTACCTTACAGTTTTGCCAACATAACAAATCTACAAACTCTTTGGCTTTCAGATAATCAGCAAAAGCCAATCATGAAGTTACAACGAGATACCGATGAGACAACGAATAAAAAAGTGTTGACCTGTTTTCTTCTTCCCCAACAATCTTCCGTAAATTTCGATGAAGCTTATGTTTCAGATCATGATGAGCCTTCATCTTCGTCAAAAAGTGATGTTAAAAGTGGAAGTAATTCTGATAGTAGAATCAAATTTTATTCTGTCAACGGTGAAATTGATGAGAAAGATGATCAATTTATCAGTAAATTGGTTCGTAATCCAACACCTTACCCGAAAGAATTGAAAGCTCACGCTCGACATGCAAGAAATTTAGCATTAAAACGTCGAGATTCATTTGGTGTTGAAGGAGATGATGACAATAATTTAATTAGACCTCGAGATGCAACAACAATGTACCAACCATCAGCAAACACATTAACTAATCAAGGAACTGATCAGAAGACTAGTCATACCGAAATTAAAGAAGCCAAATTAACTCTTGCTTCTAAAAGTGAAAGGGACTCATCAAATTACAACGGTGAAGTTAATTACGATGATCAATTTCCTCATCATTCGTTGATCAACCAGGAAGAACAGCAATTTCGAGCAATTAGCTTACAGCAACAACATCAACAATTTAATCAACAGTCAAATTCACCTTTAACAATTGATGAACGTGAATCACCATCAACAATTAGACAAATCATTCCAAGTCGAATAAACGCCAATACTGCCCATTCCAATTCTGAGAATAAAACAAACTACACCAAACAATTTCCATTGTCCAGTTATGAGGGTTACTCATTTGATCAACAACAACATCAACAACATCGACCGATGACAATTTATAACAATAAACCAGTTGAAAATTTATTATCTCTTTCATCCTCATCACCCTCACCATCATTAAATTATCAGGGTAGTCAGGAAAACTCACCTCGGTCCAATCATCCATCTCCATCTTCATCAACTTCATCATATGCTACACATCAGCAACAACAACAAGCATCTCTTGAAAGACAAGCAATTATGAGGACCACAGTAACTTATACATCTAATCGAGAGCAACCAGTGATGACCACTCAATATGCTTCTCATCCTCCACTTAATCCAGATAATTCATCATCACCTCATAATCCATTGATAGGATTTAGTGATTCTGATCGTTCATCAATTAAAAGTTTCTCGTCACCACATGGGAATATAAATGTTAGTGGAAACAATGATAATTATGGATCTCATCTGTCAAATTACATGGGAACAAGCAATAGGAATACAATTAGAAATCAGCTTCAACAATTTACTATTAACCAGATTAATCAAAATATAACAAAAAACTTGCCAGATGAACATTATAATCATAAACATTATCCATTAACTACTAACCCATCTACTAGTCAACAACAACAACAACAACAACATACCATTCGTAAATTATTATCTAATGATGCCATTATTAACAATCATCAACAATTAACCAAGACAATGATGACACCGAGTACAATTACAACATCTTCATCTTCAACCTCCAATGAAAATGATAAATTAACTGGCAATAAAATTACACAATCAACATCATCTTCATCCCGATTTAATATCAACCCGTCCCAGGTTATTTATAAACAACAATTCCCTGTTACTCCTACTGATCAATTATTAACTGATTATGGAGGAAATATTATTTACCAAAATTCACCATCACCAGTTACAATAAACTCCTCCAAACAATTAAATCAACTTGACCATCAACTTTACAATCAACACAATCAACCACCTTCAAAACGTGATCAAAATCAATCTTCAATTTCCAAATCATCTCAACCACCTGATAATCATTTAAATACAATTGCAACTAACAATCCAAGTGGAAGTTAATTATCCCACCATCATTTAAATTGTTCCAATTTAAATTTATTCCCCATTCTAATTAATCATTTTTTTTTTCGTTTTTGAGAAAGTTTTGATTAATTTATGTTTGTCTTTTAATCATTTGTGTCTTTCTAATTGATTAATTATCTCTCTTAATTCTACTTAATCAAAAAAAAACATTACTATGTTTCTTTTTTAATTATTTTCATCCTAATTTAGTTAAAATTAATTTATTTCCCCTCTTATCTAAAACATATCTCCTTTATTGTAATAATAACTTAACAATATTTTAATTCTCACTTTTAAGGATCAAATCTTTAAATTATGGTTAATTGATTGTCAAACTTTTTTCCTCACAAAGTTAACTTTCAGCTTGTTAACAAAAGTAACAACAATAATTAATACAATTCTAAATTGTTAAATCTTTCATTCCCTTCACAAAAACACATTCTCACAATTAAGCAAATGAAAGCCAATCTTTTTGGTCCAATGTTGAAAAAATTTATATATCTAATTATTATAATATTGGAAAAAGTTATAAATTAAAAATATTAGTTATCTTAATTACAAAGAAATCAATTGGTTGTAATTTACATAATGGTAATTGTAAGAATTAAATAAAAAAAAAACTTTACCGAAACATGAATTGAGAAAAAGATGAAATTAAGCTGCGATCAATATGATTACGATTCCCATGTAACTAAATTATCTTCCGACGGTGTTTCCATTAATCTGACCTTTGGGACACTCCCGAAGAAATCGGTCAACGGAACTTTGGTTGCATCTCGAGCGAAAAGATCTTTGCGAACGGTGACCGTTGATCGGCACTTGTTCTTGGGACAAACTTCGAGAAACGATGAGAGCGATTTAGAGCTATTACTATGAACGGTTTCCAAAAATTCGAGAGCAAAGTAAGTGTATCGATCGATGACATAAACACCAATCGTTGGATCGCCGTGATGGGAAAGTGAATCTTCACCGATCTTTGAACTTCCGATACCCATGATGTTTGGTGAATAAATTTGCTGAGCCATTGATTCAGCTTGACAAGTTTCGGTGATCAAAAGGATCTCATTGTACCGCTGTTTCTGCCACATTTGTTCAAACGCATCGGCCAATTCAACACTAGTTATCTCTTCGGAATCTTGGAATTTAAGGAAACCATCACCTCCATGTCCAGTTAGATAGATGAGGATGTTACTTGATTCATCGGTTAACAATTGCTTCGATCGGGGTGTTCCCTCTTCCACCCGGCCGGTCAACAATCGGATGAAATTTTTCACCGTCACTTCATATCCTCTATAATCAACCTCAACATCATCACCGTAGACATTTAGTTGATATTGTGCGTTGTTGAATACGGTTCCTGGTCGTGTATTACGTGGATTACAGGCCATATCATCGGCCAACATTAAAATTATCCGACTGTCAGGAATTCCGAGTCTTTTAACACTCCGATAAATTGATAAAACGTTGGCAACATGTCGGTAATTAAACCAATACCTTGAAGAGCAAACAAGAACAGCCCAATTATTGGAATGAGATTTTCCATTGAGAAATTTATTCACCTCATCAGTAGAATCACCATTACAATGGACTATCACAGAACTGGAGAAAACAATTAAACAGAAAGTTAAACAATTCATTTCAGGGAAAATTAGTCAACAAACAATTTAAAAAGGTAAACAAATGATCAGAAAATTGGAATCGACAGTCACTCCATCTGTTGGGTAGAAAACAAACTTTTTCCGTAAATTGTAATACAATTATTGTATCACCGGTTGATGAGAAGCAATTGAAATTAATTAGGATTAACATTTACAATGATTAATTTTTGGTAACAATCTCCAAAATTTAATAGAAATCAAGTTTGTGGTTGAATTACAATTTAGATGGAAATTGAGTGAATTGTTTTACATATTCAAGCTTAGCTTTTAAACTGTATGATCGTAATTGTTTGTTGCTCATGAGAGTGAGAGTTGAAAGTGATAACACAATTAATGAATTGGATGAAAAGGTAATTAGTGGTAGGATTTTGTCGAGATTAATTGTCAACTGTAAGAACTGTTAATTCAACACAAATACATTAACAGGTTTTAACAATTTTTTTTACTATAAAAATGTTGTTTTGTTTTGGTAAATAAATCAACATGAGAATAAAATTGAATCATGTTGTTTAGAGCCCAAGAGATTTAATCAGAGTCGGAAGGTGTACTTGAAGCACTTCTCATTTCTTCATCGCTTTCACTTGCCGAAGGTGATCTACCTTTTTTCTTGGAGACTTTTGGTTTACGATCATCATCGGAACTTGATGAATCATCACCATCATCAATATATTCCTTTGATTTGAAGGAACCACTTTTAACAGGAGAAACTGTTTTCTTTTTTGATGAATCTGGTGTTTTACTTGGTTTACTTTTGGAAGATGATGAAGATGATTTTGATTTTGACGGCTTTGATTTCGATGATTTAGAAGACTCACCAGCTCCTCCGCCCGAAGCTCTGAAAGCGTCCATATCGATTTCATATTTTTTCTTCGCCTCTTGAGCCGCTTTTTCCCATCTCGCCTTATCCTCAACTCCATCTCTCCACATTTCACCGGCTTTTTTGGTCATTTCGGTCAAACTGAGGCCGGGATTTTCTCTCTTTAATCTTTCCCGACTGTCGTTAAGCCACAAGAAATAGGCTGACATGGGTTTCTTTGGTCTTCCATCATCGTGTTTAGATTTCTTTTCAGTTTTCTTTTCTTTGGCTTTACTTTTTTGTTTCTCTTTCTTTTTCTCCTTTTCGGCTTTTCTTTCACGTTTACGTCTTTCTGCTCCTGAAGAAGCCTCAGAATCGTCACCTGATGAACTTTCCGATGCGTTAGAGTCAAATTCTTCGGCAACATCTCCATCACTTCCACTACCAGCATCAGGATTAAACGATTCATCAGATTCATCAGAATCACCTTCTTCCTCTCTCACTTTACCTTCGTGTTTAACTCTAGCTAAGTAGGCATCAGGTTCTTTCTCTTCATCAGAGTCAACAAGATCATCATCAACGGTCGATTTGTTTGGTTCATTTCCAAGATTTTTAACACGAAGTTTCTTGTTAGAGACGAAATCATACAGTTTAGAGTATTCTTCTTTCTCGATTGAGCTGAAAGTGTGAACAACACCCGATTTTGTTTCGACTTCAAAATCGAAAGATCTGGTTGATCCTCCAGAACGAGCAAAATTGATGGATAAAATTTCATCGAAACGAATGTGAACCGGCGGCTTATGAATATAAATAAAACCTCTATCAAGAGGATACAATAAACCAGCTCCAGCTCGATAAGAACAGGATATCGCTGGATTCTGAGAACTGGGTCCACTGATTCCTGGAGTTGTGATCTTACGTTGAACCAGAACCTTCATAATTTGACCAAGAACATCATATGTTGGCCCAGCCATTTCTTTCTCAAGTTTATTCTCATATTTTTCCGATAATTCTCTATCGGTGATACTTAATTCTAAACTTGTTTCATCATCTTTGTTGAAGAGAAGAATTAAAAAGTGATAACGAGTTTGTCCTTGCTTAATCGGTGGATCTAAGCTGAAGACAAAGAAGACTTGACGACCATCCTTATGTGGTAAACGGAAAAGCCTGAGGACGGTGGTGAGAGGAATTTTGTAATCGAAAGTTTTACCATGAAGCTGAATGAAAGTGGGAAAAATTTTGATATCATAACGACCACGAGGTGTGAGACATTGTAATTCGGTGAATGTGACAATAGCATCACCAGTGGCTTGGATAATATTGGCCTTAGAAAGTACAGCATCGGTGAATGCTTGAACTCGACCATCAACAGTTTCACCTTGTGAAGGTAAATGGAACCTTAGCTCCATAAGAGAAACATTAGCAGCATCGTTTTGATGAAATTCAAGAGTAACTTCATTCTTAGCTGAAGTACAATGGGAAACATAATTCAATGGAATCTCAAATGCTGCCAGAAACAAAGAAAAAAGAAACGGAAATATTATAAAATGAATTAGAAAACAGAAAGAAAAAGAAAATAAGCTAATCTACTTACAGGGTTTATCATCGATATCAAAAGACAAAACAGTTCCTTTAAAATTAGCAGTTCCCCAATTCCAACCCTTAAGACACAATTCTTTAGGATTTAGAGAAAGATCAAGATTAGTTTCAATTGATTTCCTCAACTTGTCATAGTCGTTTTCCTGAAATCCCATGAACCTGAAAAGGCTTCCATTGTTGAGAGCGACCCGAAGACTATAATTGGTTGGTAATCTTTGCCAGTCAATTTCATCAACATCTCCTTTGAGAAAATGTTCAACTTTACCAGTCTTTTGGCTCTTGAAGATGATACTTTGATTACAGATCTTCATACGACCAATATTCTATAAAAAAAATAAAACAATCAACATTAAATGAGAAAATCAATTACTTGAGAGACCAAAAAATGAAAGAAAACACATTCTTACCATGGCTCCTCTATCTTCCTTGTAGATTTCATTATATTCTACCATATCATCCATGATGAAATAGAATCAATAAGATCAACCGATAGTCTAAATTAATAAAATTAAAAAATTAAATGGCAGAGATAATAAACTAACACAATGGAGTAAAAATTGTGCTTTGCAATTGAAATTCAATAATTGAATCAAAACTCAACCAAACAAAAATAAAGAGCGGTTTCAGTTACCATGGAAACAGAAAGAAAGATTGAAGCGCCAAATTCGAAAAACACAAACTCCTAGAATAATAATAGTCCAAAGTAAAAAACTTATTCGAATAAAAAAATTAATCAACAAATAAGCTATGAAAACAATTAAATTCTACAAAAAAACGGCTTAAATTGAAGGTGAAGAAAAAGTTGAGCTATTTAATTCAATCAGTAGATACTTATTACCCAAGTAAATAAGATCAACATTTAAAAGTCGAAGGAAAATTCAAAGACTCACAAAATTGTTACATTTATCTCTCTATCGAATTAGGTCATTTTCTTTTTTACAAATCTAATTGAAATCAAATTATACAATGGACTATTTTACATTTATAAATATCGACAGATTAAATTTGCTATTGATATTGGGATTATTAATCAGTCAAACTGTTCGGTCTTTTGAATCGTATTATCGGGACTGAGGATGGAACCACAGGTCCACCTGGTTCCTCGGGTTCTGGTGGGTCGTCTGGAGGTGGACCATTTGGTCAGAGTTCCTTTGGAAGGCCTGGTGGTTCCTCTGGATTCGGTGGGAGTAGTGGAAATGTTCCCGGTGCTGGAGGAGGAGGTGGAACCGGTGGCTTTGGATTACCAGATTTTAACATGATTTTTCTTTTGAGCCACAAAATCATATAAAATAGAATAATTCTCAATTTCAATTTCTTTGAAAGTGTGTGACACACCTGAGTTGGTTTCCACTTCAAAGTCGAAAAAGTCTCCTCCGTCTTTCATAAATTTGAATGACAAAATTTCGTCGAACTTGATTTTATCGGATTTCACAGTTAAGAAAGATGAATCTCTTTGCCAACTATACAACGAACCAGTTTCTTCGCTCGATTCATTACCAGTTTCTTGAGAAAAACGTTGTGAGTTGTTGAACTCATCACACAATCGCGAATACTCAAGACCATTTATGAAACTGAAAGTGTGAATCTTCTTCTTTGTTGTAACTTTTAAATCGAATAATTGGGTTAACGATAACGTTAACGTTCTAGAGCGAACGAATATGGCGGATAAAATTTTATCAAAGTTAAGCGGTCGATAAGAATAGAACAAACTTTCTGCTCTTAATTGCAGTGAACCAGATTCATTTCGATAGTTACAATCTATCGATTTAATTTCACTTTTCCTTTTTTTGGATTTACTTTTTTGTTCTTCCTCCTTTGTTTCTTCTTCTTCTTCTTCTTCTGCTTTTCTTTCATGTTTTCGTCTTTTAGCTCGAGGCGAGGCCTCAGAATTTTCACTTGACGAACTTTCTAATGCTTTAGAATCAAATTCTTCAGCAAAATCTACTTCATCATTTTCACCAGCACCGGATGATACATCAGAATCACATTCTTCTTCTTCTTTATCTTCATCTTCTTCTTCTTCTTCCTCGTCGTCGTCATCATCATCATCAGCTTCTTCTTCTTCCACTGAGTCTTCGTGTTCGACTTGAGCATCAGATGCTGTCCCTTCATCAGAGTCATGATCATCATCATCAGTGGTTGTTCCACTTACTTCAGTTCCACGATTTTCTACGCGAAGTTTTTTACTAACGGCGAAATTATATAATTTGGAATATTGTCCTTTTCTAATGTAACTGAAACTATGAACAACACCCAATTTGGTCTCAACTTCAAAATTGAAAGACCAAGTTGATTCTTTGTCTTGAACAAAACAAATGAACGAAATTTCATCAAATTCAACATGAACCGGTAGCTCATTAATACAAATGAAACCTTTCTCAAGGGGATACAAAAAGCCAAGTTTATCTCGATAAGAACAAAATACCGCTTGAGTTTTAGACCTCGGGCCAGTAATTCCTGGAGATACGATCTCACGTTGAACCAGAACCTTCATAATTTGACCAAGAACATCATATGTTGGCCCAGCCATTTTTTCTCAAGTTTATTTTCATATTTTTCCGATAATTCTTTATCGGTGATATTTAATTCTAAACTTGTTTCATCGCCTTTGTTAAAGAGTAAAATTATGAAGCGATAACGGGCTTTTCCTTGTTCAATCGGTGGATTCAATTTCAAGACAAAGTAAAATCCACGATCATTATTATGAGGTAGACGGAAAATTCTGATTACGGCGGTGAGAGGAATCTTGTAATCGAAAGTTTTACCAACAAAGTGAATGAAAGTCGAAAAAATTTTGATGTCATAACGATCATAAGGTGTGAGACACTGTAAGTCGTTGAATGAAACAATAGCATTGCCAGTGGATTGAACATCATTAGAAACATTATCGGTGATTGATTGAACTCGACAATCTACAGTTGCACTTTGACAGATATCAGGAGTAAACTTTTTGTCAACCGAAGTACAAAGAGAATCAGTAATAGATGGAATCTCAAGCGCTGCCAGGAGCAAGAAGAAAATATGAGAAAATAGAACGAATTTAAACAAAAAAAGTATTCGAATTGAACTTACATGGTTTTGAATCGAGTTTTTCGAAAGACAAAGTAGTTCCTTTCAATGCAGCCGTCGCCCAATTCAGATCGCTTTGAGAAGGTTCTCGATGATTTAGAAAAAGACCAAGGCTATTTTCTATTAATTGTCTCAACTTTTTAAAGTCCATTTCCTGAAATCCCATGAACCTGAAAAGGCTTCCGTTTTTGAGAGCGACCTTAAGACTATAATTGGTTGGTAACCTTTGCCAGTCAATCTCATCAACATCTCCTTTGAGAAAATGTTCAACTTTACCAGTCCTTTGGCTCTTGAAGATGATTCCTTGATTACAGATCTTCACACGGCCAATCTTCTATTAATAACAATTAAAAGAAACTAGACATTAACAAATTTTGCAGACGCAAAATGGGAACTGACCCAGAAAAAAAATATAAACCATGTAGTCAAGGAAAATAAAAATGGCGCGCTTATGAAAAATATAAAACAAAATTTGAAAAGCGCGGTTTTGTATTACAACAAATTTGTTAATTTTACAAATACGAAGAAATATTGAACTATCAATAACATTCAATATTTCAATGCTCATTTTATTTGGAATAATATTGTAAAAACAGATGAGTGATTGAGTATCTGCACAAGTCTCTCGTGGGGCACGGCCGCCAAGCGGCCGCAGCCCCACGAGAGGTCGATTGATCTCACTGAAATTGAAATTAGCGACTTTTATAAATTAAATTAGCTAGACTCTTTATCTACAAGTGGGGCGCGGCCGCCAAGCGGCCGCAGCCCCACTACTATCACATCAAAGTTACATGAGCCGTCTTGTAGAATAGTTAGCTTATATTATCGGAACTAGTTTCTTCTAAAAGTTTCTGGACAATTCGTCATGGTTTATAAGTTGTCATTGCTTATCAAACATATCAAATCGAGTCGGCTCATTTTGAAATTCATGATTATTAACTTTAATTTTTCTATTCTAAATCATGGCAATTGATTTCCAATATTTGAATTGAATGGATCAAATAATTGACAATTAGCAAAGTATATTGTCAATAATTAAATCTTTTGCTTCTCAATCATGAAGAAATAAAGTCAGACCTCTAAAACTTTAGCAAAACGGGTATTCAAATCCGTTAGATTTAACTAGTCTTTTTAGAGGTTAGCTGAAATTAATAAGGAATATGTGTTATTTAATTTCCCATGGAAAAATATTGAGGACAAAACTAAAATTCAATAGATGAAGCGAATTTGTCAAATACGAAAGTGTTAAAATATGACAATTCTGACTGTACTAATCATTGATTCATAATTGTGTCTATTGCTTTTTGTCGGTGAAGAAATGGATTTGAATTGATCATAATTTAAATCCATTGCTAATCACTGATCAAAGTCCCTCAATGTATTTAATTGTACTCGAAGTGACACTTAATTGTTGATAACCATTTAGCGCTTTTAGATTGAGAAGCAACGTTAATAATCAAACCATTTGAATCAATTGCTTCTCAATTCAATGTCAGTGTATAATGATTAACCTAAGTCATCAATGAACAATTTGATTATCTACTCTAATTTACATGTCTTTTAATTACAAATCATCTATTGAAAAACTATGGATTATCGATGGAAGTAGGTCTAGTTTTAATTGCAGAGCGAAGTGTCATCGCTACAATTGCAGCAATCAAAGCTAAAGGTGAGTTAACAATTAGATTGAGATAAATACTAATTTTTGAACTTAATATCGCTAGATGGTGTTAGTAAAACACAAAGCTGTGTTACAAACGCATATGTAGGGACCTCATAGTAAAAAAAACTAAATGGAATGAAGAATGAATACAGTGAATGACCAGATAATGAGACGAACAGATAATGGGACTAATTTTTGAGATGGTCCCTTAAGTAGGAAAGAATTAGTTTGTTTACATTTTTTTTCTAGTTAATTACATTATGATTGTGATGTTTTCTTATTACGCCGCAGAAATTTAACAATTAAAGAGAGAAATCAATTGGTTACTTATTCTGAAAATGGTCTGAATAAGTTTGACTTACAAAATCGGTCGGTCATCTGTATTAAGATGTTTAGATAATATTGATTCAATAAAAGAAGCAATTGAAAGTGGATTAGGTAAAAGAAAAAGGTAAGAATTTTTTGTTCCAATTATTGTCAAGCTGAACTAATATTTTTTTACTTCATTTTTTTCAGATTAGTGAAAAAAAATGAGATGAGAAAACATGATGAATCGACCAATGGATTTATTTTGAAGTATCAAGAACAAAGAATACCACTAACACCAGTTTTAAAAATGAACAAGGCAAAGTTATTAGCTCAAGAAATAGGAAGAGATGATCTCGATTGTTCAACTGGTTGGTTGAGAAGATTTAAAGAAGGAGTTAATTTGAAACATGGAAAATTATCGAGTGAAGAAATTTAGTGAGCCCAGTGATTATTGATCGATGAAGAATTGAATCTGAATTGATTATGACTGAATTCAGACCCATTACTTCTCAATTGAAAACAAGTAGATCACAATTTGAATCAATAATTAGTATTGATTTCAATTGAGAAGCAATGGATTTAAATTATAATCAATTCAGATCCATTGCTTCTCTATTGAAAACAATACTTATCATTTATATAGAATTGTGATCTACTAGTTTTCAATTGAGAAGCAACGGATTTGAGTTGGTTATAATTTGAATCCATTGCTTCTCAATTGAAAACAATACTTATCATTTATATAGAATTGTGATCTACTAGTTTTCAATTGAAAAGCAATGGATTTGAATTGATTATAATTTAAATCCATTGCTTCTCAATTGAAACATACTAATTATTGATTCAAATTGTGATCTACTTGTTTTCAATTGAGAAGCAATGGATTCATATTTATTATAACTTAAATCCGTTGCTTCTCAATTGAAAACAAATCTAATTGTTTATTCTTAATTGTAATCTACTGGTTTTCAATTGAGAAGCAATGGATTTGAGTTGGTTATAATTTGAATGAATTTGTCTAAAAGAAGAAAATTACTCTCATTGGAAATATTTCCATTGCTTCTCAATTGAAAACAATACTAATCATTTATATAGAATTGTGATCTACTAGTTTTCAATTGAGAAGCAATGGAAATATTTCCAATGAGAGTAATTTTCTTCTTTTAGACATTTAAACAAAGAGTAATAAGTTATTACTCTTTGCATTTAAATGACCATTTAAACTGTAACTCGAAAGATTATTGGTCAATTTAAAGTTAAAATTAATCGTAATTAAAAGAAAAATTAAACGTCTCTTGGATTCTAATCCAATGAACATAAGCAACAATCAGCTGGAGTTGGATTCAACTCATGGTTTTCAAGTGAAAAGAAGCCAAAAGGGAAACAACCTTAATCAAGGTGAGTTGTTTTCTCAATTGTTAACTAATTGATTGTTTTGTATTCTTATTCTAATTGTTTTAATTGTTCTTGTTTAAAGTGAGATAATCATGACCAACGATTCTATTCTCGAACTATCGTCGTTCTGTTAAAAATGATAATTCAAGTAATCAAGTTGATTCACCGAGACCTTTACAACTAGTTCTTAATTTGGATGTTTCCAATCTTGATGATAATTCATCATCGGCTTTAATTGCTGCTGAAGTACCGCAAGACAATCTCTTTTCACCCTTTACACCCTTTTATAAGATAAAGTGACCAATGTCCAGAAAGATGAAAGAAAACGAACTCTTGATTACCAAGAGCTTTGTAAACGTTTGCGACAATTGGGATTCAATTGAGAAGCAATGGATTTAAATTATAATAAATATAAATCCATTGCTTCTCAATTGAAAACTAGCCGATCACAATTAAAAATCAATAATTAGTATTGTTTTCAATTTAGAAGCAATGGATTTAAATTATAATAAATATAAACAATACTAATTATTGATTTTTAATTGTGATCGGCTAGTTTTCAATTGAGAAGCAATGGATTTGAATTGATTATAATTTAAATCTATTGCTTCTCAATTGAAAACAATACTAATTATTGATTTTTAATTGTGATCTAATAGTTTTCAATAGAGAAGCAATGGATTCATATTTATTATAATTTAAATCCATTGCTTCTCAATTGAAACATACTAATTATTGATTTTTAATTGTGATCTAATAGTTTTCAATAGAGAAGCAATGGATTCATATTTATTATAATTTAAATCCATTGCTTCTCAGTTGAAAACAATACTAATTATTGATTTTTAATTGTGATCTAATAGTTTTCAGTAGAGAAGCAATGGATTTGAATTGATTATGATTTAAATCCATTGCTTCTCAATTGAAACATACTAATTATTGATTTTGTGAGATAGTAATTGAGAAGCAATGGATTTGAATTGATTATGATTTAAATCCATTGCTTCTCAATTGAAAACAATACTAATTATTGATTTTTAATTGTGATCTAATAGTTTTCAATTGAGAAGCAATGGATTTGAATTGATTATAATTTAAATCCATTGCTTCTCAATTGAAAACAATACTAATTATTGATTTTTAATTGTGATCTAATAGTTTTCAATAGAGAAGCAATGGATTTGAATTGATTATAATTTAAATCCATTGCTTCTCAATTGAAAACAATACTAATTATTGATTTTTAATTGTGATCTAATAGTTTTCAATAGAGAAGCAATGGATTCATATTTATTATAATTTAAATCCATTGCTTCTCAGTTGAAAACAATACTAATTATAGATTTTTAATTGTGATCTAATAGTTTTCAATAGAAGCAATGGATTCATATTTATTATATTTAAACTTCTCTGATTTAAAAACAATACTAATTATTGATTTTTAATTGTGATCTAATAGTTTTCAATAGAGAAGCAATGGATTTGAATTGATTATAATTTAAATCCATTGCTTCTCAATTGAAAACAATACTAATTATTGATTTTTAATTGTGATCTAATAGTTTTCAATAGAGAAGCAATGGATTTGAATTGATTATAATTCAAATCCATTGCTTCTCAATTGAAAACAATACTAATTATTGATTTTTAATTGTGATCTGCTAGTTTTCAATAGAGAAGCAATGGATTCATATTTATTATAATTTAAATCCATTGCTTCTCAATTTAAACATACTAATTATTGATTTTTAATTGTGATCTACTAGTTTTCAATTGAGAAGCAATGGTTCGTAATTGATTATAATTTAAATTCATTGCTCCTCAATATGAGATAAAATTTCTATAAATAATATCACCAACTTCAAAAAATCAAAAACTTAAATTCACTAGATGGCGTCAGTAAAACATTAAATTTATGTTACAAACAGATGCAGGGACCGTATAATAAAACAAAAAAGAAATAAAGTATTAAAAGTAAATCCTTATCTTTTTTGAAAAATTTTTATCAATTTTCTAAAATTTTATCACAAATTAGATTAAATTAACACTGTTTTATTCTAGGCAAGTGATAAAAAAACACTGATAAGGCGAAACTAAACCATATATACACATGCCCCTTACAGGGTCAGTTCCAAACACTAATTACATTAGCAAACTTCAGATCCAAACATGAACAAAACAAATTCTTACAATGATTTTTTCATGTCTCTTGTGCACGTAAATGTCCCAGTAATCAAATGAATCCTCCATCCCAATTAGGTCCTCTGATTAATCCCGAAATTAATGAAATTTTAATGTAAATTTCACATTAAACAAGCACAATTTTATACAAACAATAAAGAGATTAACTATAATCAAGTAATTTACAGTATTAATAATTTTCACTGAATAACATATTTAAGCGATAATTCAAAACCAAAACACTGAACTATTAATTTCAGAGGTGAATAAGTGAACATCTAACGTTGATTGGTTTTAACTGATCAATTACTAATTAACTGATGATAATTTATTCTAATTAATCATAGTTAACATCTCAACAAGTACTTTGATCGTCTCTATTATTTTAATCAAGAATAATATCTTTACGTCATATCTACACTCGAGTATCAATGCAAAGTTTCATTTAATTACGAAATGCGAAGATTGAATGACAATTGAAATCAATGAGTGGATAGAACTAAACAGTTCGAAGGTGGATAATTGTTGAAAAAGTCTAAGCTATTGATAAGCATTGGAACAATTAACTAATTAAGATGATTCAACAAAAGAGCGACTTCAGTTTCCATGAAAATAGAAAGAAACAAATTAAAGCGGCCAATTCAAAAAAACATTTTCCACAATGAAAACAAACCAAAATTAAGAAAATTGATCAACAATTAACCAATAAAATCCATTAAAATGAAAACTGTTCAAATAAATTCGAAAATTATCTTTAACAAAGTGGAAACTCAATCAAATTTTAAAGAATTATTATGCAATTAGACTAACAGTTAAGTAATCGAAGCGAAATTCATTTAAAATTGAAATTAGAAAATAAGATAAATGCAACAATCGACAGAGAACAATTTAATTAACAATAATCTATGGAAAGAATGACCAATTATGATTAATTAATCGTCTCCACTAGGGAAACAATCAAGAAAGAAATATCTGATAGTGAGAGAAAAAGGAGAGAATAAATTTAATTAGAACAATTAAAAAATCTAATGTTATGAATTAAAAAGGAAATTAAAAGGAAAAGAAAAAAAAGTTTCAAGTTATCAATTACTCTTCCCAGATAATAATCATCGTATCAATGTTATTCATTATCATTTGGAGCATTATTAAATTATAATCATGGTAATGATGATGATTGAAGTGAGAACGCATTCTCATTGAAACAATTTAATAATGATTATAATTCTGACAACAATATCCTGGAATAATGTTGAACCATAGGAATCAAAAGCTTCGCAGAAAAAAAAAGGTTACGATAAAATAGGAAAAAAAAAATTCGAATCACATGTAACCAGAGAATCGACCAGCGCCTGAGTAATAATCTCACAGTTTAACTATTTCATCAATTCCACTGTCAGTGATCATGATGATCATGGTGAGATGATGATGATGAAGATGATTGGAAACAAAATCAAACAATAACAACAACAACAACAACAATTAACCATCAAATGATTAGAACAAAAAAGTTAACAATGTAAATATTATTTTCCAAAGTGAATTAAGGAATCATAATTTTCTGTTTCATCTCACAATTAATCATTTTATCTCCATGCAAGTTAATTGTTAAAATTAACAGTTGATAATCAACGTGACTTCAAAGATAAACAAACCAATACAATTATAATCAATTTGATCACAACAATTTACTTAATTATTATCATCTCTTGGTTTCAGTTTTCCATTTGCACCATTTTAATTGTTTCAACTTCATATCCTTTTTATGTGTGAATCTTATATAATATTTAACCAATTGTCATCTGATCATTTTACCAGTAATTAAGTTAATTATCTGATTACAATCAAAAGAAAATTTAAAATCAATTGATTTCTATTCTGTTACAAATTTAAATTGGTTGAAACTTTTTTCTTTTCTCATCTCGAACCCAATGCCTTCAGTGTCTACAATTGTTTCTCTTATTTTGATTATTTTTGCTCTCTGATTAGATTGATTAAATTGTGATCATTGATACTCACACCAATCAACTTAATCAATTTACCTCGATTATCAACAATTAACTAACCAAAGGAAAAAAGAGTAACCAGTAACCAAGAACAACGCGAAAAAAATAATAATAGAAACAGAAACAAATCGAATGCAATTTTTTTCTGGTTTTTTCATTTCTCTCTTTCTCTTTTTCTTTACAATTGATTAATTTTGTTAATTTAGTGCCTTCCAATATTCAAGCAACAATTAATTAACCAAATTTTCTCACTGGTTTTAATTAAATTATCTTCACATTCATTTGATTTGTTTTCTTTCTCTGTGATCACCATTGTGCTCTCTCCATAAACAACAAGAATCTGGTTCATTGTTTACATGATTTTCTGGTCTCAATGAAAATCTCTGCTAATTTCTGGTTCAAATTGTGATTACAATCGACTAATTATGGACAATTAATTAATCTCTTTGTGTGTTTCCATCTTCTAACCAAATAACATCAAGTCTTTCTCCATTTTCGTGTGTTAATATTTTTCTGTGTTCATCTTTGTAACTCTCTCTCTGTGTCTCTATCGTGTGTGTAATTATAATCCTTAATTGTTAGTTAATTATAACTAATTAATCCTTCAATTTACAATTTTATGTTAATTCAATTGATTAGTTGGATATTATCACCCTCTCTCGAAGAGATAAAGTGTTAATTGATTGATTGATCTATTTTTCCTCCGGTAATTAGTGATTCTTTTGGTTACATTTATATATAAATATTGAAATTGGAATTATTAATCAGTCAAACTGTTCGGTCTTTTGAATCGTATTATCGGGACTGAGGATGGAACCACAGGTCCACCTGGTTCCTCGGGTTCTGGTGGGTCGTCTGGAGGTGGACCATTTGGTCAGAGTTCCTTTGGAAGGCCTGGTGGTTCCTCTGGATTCGGTGGGAGTAGTGGAAATGTTCCCGGTGCTGGAGGAGGAGGAGTGGGTTTTGGAGGCGGTGGAACCGGTGGCCTTGGATTACCAAATTTCAGCCTCTCATCACTCACCAACCAAGACCCACTCCAGGTCCAATGGGCGGGTCACCAAGACCTGGTCTTGGGGGATTCGGAGGTAACCTGGGAGGAGTAGGAAGTGGTGGAGTTGGTGGTAGTGGAGGTCCAATAGGTGGAAGCCTACCAAGTTTAGGTATATTCGGTGGTAGTGGTGGACCTAAAACTCAGGGTGGTTTATCTGTCGGTGGTGTTACCAGTCTATTTGACCCACTTCGTCCTTCACCCACTCCCTCATCCTCCTCCCTAGGACCATCACCTCATCATCACCATCAATCATCCACAAACCAACCACCCCCTGTACCCGAAGTAGACATGTCCGGATTAACGGAAGAGGAAAAAGCAATGATTCAATCCGTTATGATGAAAGCTCAAGAATTTGAAAGTAAGAACATTATTCTAACCTCTAACCTTCACCTTAACCTTGAGAACAAAAAATAAAATCGAAATCATTGAAACAATCATTTTCATATTTCATACAAATATCACCAATTCATTAATATAAATTCAGGATAAATTTTCAACCAGAATTAACCACAACTCTAGTAATCATTATTCACCCAGAATCAGAAACATAAAATAATATTAACCAAACAAAATGTTAAGTTTGCATTTCCTTTGCATATTTTATCATCTATTAATATTTAGAAATGTTTTTCTACCTTTTTTCATCTTCATCATTTCCTCATCCTCTTGATTTTGAAAATGAAATTTAATATATTAAAAACCCAACCCTAACCAAAGAGTAATCAACTGATTCAGTTGAAGGTTTACAAATTATTTCAACCATGATTTATGTCAATGAAGATTGATCTTGATTTGAATTTGATTACGAAACCTTTGAATACAATTACAATATAATCTGTGTACATATAATATGTATTGATACAGTTACTAAATTTTAATCAATAATTTTCATTTCATTTCTTTCATAATAATTTACAGAGGGAACTACACCAACTATGGCAAGTCCAAAACCACCACCACCACCATCATCATCATCATCAATTCAACAACAATTAACTGCACCAGCCCAAGGATTTCACAGTAGACCAACACCAAGTTCATCATCAACCACAACAACATCATCACCATCAAATCAATCCCAATTGAATCAACGTTTTCCTGGAGGTGGTGTTGATGGAGGACTACAAATGAAGGGAGTGGGTGGACTGAATCAAATAACCTCCGGGTCTACGATTTCAAGTTCAAATCAATCAATACAACCTCAACAACTTCAACAGCAACAACAACAACAACTTTCATCAGATTCAAATTTCGGGATTAATCAACAGCAAAGTCAAAACCAAAGACAACAGCAAATCCCATCTAATCAATCCCAATCTCAGTCTATTAATCAACAAATGCTACCGGTTTCATCATCACAACAATTACCACAATTAAATCAGCAAATTCAGAATCAACAAAATGTTCAGCAAGATTTACTTTATCAAAATGGATCTGATTTGAATCAAATGAAGTCCCAACAACAACAACAACAACAAGACTTTTATCAACAACAACAGCAAAAGTCTCAGCAGCAATCAGGGGACAATTTGTTTAATCAACAACAAGATGTACTATTGAACAATACATCTCAGCAATTTAATCAGCAACAACAACAAGGATTATTACAAAATCAACAGCAATCAAATCAGCCATTCATGAGGAATCAAACCAATCAAGATCAAATTAATCTTAATAATAATCAACAACAATCAGGTAGACAGCAACCTCAAATACCTCAAGGGCAACAGCAACAACAACAATTAGGATTAAATCAATCTCAACAATTACCAAATCAGTTAAATCAACAGCAAACATCATCAATGAATCAAGAAAATAGTTTCATGTTCAATAACAACAACAACAATCAAAATTTACAGGTAATCATTTGCAACTTTTTTTACTCTCTCAAGATCATCACTCAATTGAATCATTAAAAAACAGTTATAATCATCATCATCATTAATAACAATCAAAAAAATATCATGATAATAATCAAGTAACAATATAATAAATGATTGATAGAAAAATGAAAAAAAAACTTATTACATTGACAAGCGATTAACAACTGATTGTTAATCATTACAATTCTCATATTGCAACAATTATCATTAATTAACTTGAATTTGAACTAGTTTCAAATTTAATTGTTACTCTGAAATAAATTCTCAATCGATAAATATAACAATTTAAATAACAATCAATAAGTAAAGTTGATTAATAGTTTTGATAAAAATATTTACCATAAACACAATCAGTTAATATAAACAATTAACTGACAAATACAAACATTATTAATGATTGATTTTTAATTAAAATTAACTTTTGAACCATCAATCCTTGTTAATCATTAAGGTGGTTAATCAAGTGATTTAATTTTCTCACAATTTGATAAATCACTAAATTGTGATTGTGAAACAAAATCATCTCAAAGTGTTAATGAGATGAAGACTAAGTAAAGTTTTTTTTTTGCTCATCTTCCTCAAGGTAATCAGTTGATTGTCATGATGATGATGATGATGATGATGTTGAACCTTGAGATTCCTTATCATCATTTTCATGATAAATAAAATGAACTGAATACCATGGTAAAAGTTAATGGATGAAAAGTTCCTATTCATGAATTCTGATAATACCCTGGAAAAAGTAATTTAGTTCAATCTGTTTTGATAGAAGAAAATTTTTTTCCTTCTCCCTGATGATGATGATTAAATTCCTGATGATTAAATTGATTATGATGATACGAGAATGATAAAATTACATATTATGTTTATCAATTGATAACATTGTCTAATTACAATCATGATTAAAATTCATGTTAATTGTTATTCTGTTTTTCACTTTTCATTGTAAACCAATAGGACTTTTCAATGTCAACCAATAAGATTAATCAACAATCAAATTGTTTGCTCGATGATAATAGTAATCAATTTAATGATAATCGATTTAATAATGATAATAATGGTGTCGCTGGTAATCAATTAGGGATTGGAGTTAATTCTGATGGATCAACAATTATGTTTGATGGTAATAATAATAATAATCTTAATTGTGGACCCGGTGGAAACAATTTGTCTAATCAAGAGCAATTAACTGATTCTTACGGTTCTAATGATATAAATTCGGGTCAATTGATGCAGGTAAGATTATGATTATTATGAAATATGATCAATTAATTAATCACTTGAGTAACAACAATTTACCGTTAATCACTTTTATCCTTTGCTTGTTTAAGCGTGAAAATTTTTTCCATACTCAAATATGTTAAATGTTGTCATCTTTTGATTAATTGTGGTGATGACAATTAATCAATTATTATCATGAGTAACTTAATTTGCTTCTCAATTAATTGTCAGTCCGAATCAATTAGCTAATCAACTTGTTAGTTAGATTATTTAATTGGCTTTGATATTTGATGTTGTTAAACATGATAAATGATCATTTAAAAGTTTGATTAGTCTTTTAATTATTATAATCAGTTAATTAAAAGAAATTGATAAAACCAATTATTAGTTTTCTATTAATTTGATATTTTTTGTTTCTTCACCTTCAATAGGAAAATAATTACTCAGATAATAATATGGATTCAATGGATTCTATGTATCAAGATTCACCCAATTGTTTAAGAAATGATTTAGTTAATAACTCAGGTAACAACAATTTAGGTTTAAACAATCAATTCAACCAACGTGATCAGCAATTTGGTAATCAACAGCAGCAATTTAACAATTCTGGTTTCTCCTCTAAATCACAATCACAAGGACAACAACAGGTAAGATGATTTTATACAACAATTAAGATAATTGTATTGACACGTTGATTTATTTTTCTCACTCGCAATTGCAGCAACAACTCAATAATTTACCTAATCACTCATTACAATTACAACAACAACAACAACAACAACCAAATCAACAGTCCCAACAACAACAATCACAACCCTTTTCGGGTTCAACAATTAATAGTCAAAATCAACTACCAATTCAACAACAATTTCCAATACAATCAGATCAATTTTCATTACCTTCCCATTCCCATTCACAATTACCTCAACTACCCCAACAATTAGGTGTATCTTCAGCATCCAAAATATCCTCAAACCAGCAACAATTAAATTACTCCCAACAGCAACAAGGAACTGGATTAACCAATAAGCCAGCATTTCTTGATCCAGCTTCACTGTTCAGTCAAGACAATAACAGTAACAATAATAGCAAGTCCAACAATTTAATTCAATCAACATCCCTTTCGTCACAAAATCCAATGATACAAACCTCAGCATCGACAACAGTTTCATCAGCAGGAACATTTAACCGACACTTACCAAATCAGGGAGATATAATCTCACATAATCAATTGAAATCAAATCTACACCAACAACACCACCAGCAACAGCAACAGCAGCAGCAGCAGCAGCAACAACAACAATTAACACAACTACTAAATCAACAACAGCAACCATTTCAACAATTACAACAACAACCACAGCAATTATATCAACCAACTAGTTCCTATTCATCAAATCAGTTTGATCAATCCATGTCTTTCATGAGATCCAATGAAAATCAGATTAACAACAGGTAAATGACTTAAATTTACATCATTTTTATCAATTCACAAAATGATTATTAACCTAATCGAATCAGTTAATTAACCTTCAACCAAATGATCAATGAAAATGATACAAGAAAAAAAATTGTTTCCTTTTTTACCTTTAATTTTGAGTCGATTTTTTTATTTGTATCACTTTTTCAACAATATAATCGATCATTTTTTCTGTTAATTGTTATTAACTGGATGTTTATTTGATTATTATCCTCTAATCATTCAGGGATTTTCAAGAAGGTATTCAAGCAGATCAACTAAATCAACAATTAGGAATAGGAGGTTTAATCCAAGGCCAGCGAATGACAAGTAACTCAATGGGAGTTAAAGTCTCCCCTGTAACATATCAACAGTCCCCTCAACCTCAACAATTGACCCAACAACTTATACCACACCAACACCAACATCAACATCAACACCAACAACAACAACAACATTTACACCAACAATCAATGGAGACAAATTTGAATGATACTAATCGTTTAGTGTCAACGTATCAATCAACCAATAACTCACCAAATAACATCAATGTTATTAGAGGTTCAATGAGGCCTAATTTGTTACAAGGGAAATCAAGTGATCCAAATTTATCTTCAACATCATCACCATTAACTGGATTAATACCAAGAACTGTACCTTTACAAAGTGTTAGAGACCAATTATCATCATTATCATCATCATCATCTGTACCTACAGCATCAATATCAAATGTAGCATCTTCATCATCAATTGTTACACCAAATCATCATCAATCGATTAATAATATTAATAATTGTTTATCACACTCGAGTCCATCTCATTCAACCTCCTCACCTCAACATAAAAGCTCATCATCGACCCACCATGTTAATTCATTAACTTTAGGAACAACAATTAACTCAATAGGCACACATGAATCAGGAATCAATGTTGGCTCTAGTGTAAATAATAATAATATGATGACAAATAATCATCATCAACAACAACAGCAACAATTAACTCATAGCAATAGTAACAAAAATAATAATAATGTAGTTATTATTGGTAATAATAGTAACAATACTGGACCAGCCAATAATAATATAAATAGTTACACTCAACAATTAATTCATGCTCAACAAATTAAACGTATGGAAATTGGTGAATGCTGGTCCCCTGTATCTGAATTATCACCAATTCAGGATGTTTCACCATCGATTGAAGCTGCTGAACAGCATAGTATGCAATTACATCAACAATTAGCATCCCTATCATCAAACCAGCCCACATCATCATCATCATCATCTTCATCTTCATCGTCTTCATCAACCTCCATGCATTCAAATTCCCATCTATCCAAACAATCAGACGAAGTAAGTGAAATTTTTATATTATCATTTCTAATTATCATAAACTAGACGAGGAAACAAAAAGTTCTGACCAGAATTGAGATTAATCTTCATGGTGAAAAAAAGGTGTTACTATCATTGGGATGATAATAGTCTGTGTTTATTATCATTATCATCTTAATTCATTTCGTTTTAATCACAATGCGCAGTTAAATTTTATCGAATTGTGAGTTGATTATATGGGAAGAGAGAAAAGAAAATCTCTTAGAACTTACAATGGAAGAGAGAGAATTTAGAAGAATAAAAGAAACCTGGGAGTTTTTTTTATTCGAATCTCTATCTTTGATAGTCTCTTCTGTGGTTCCTTCAACTCCCAGACTTTTTTTTCGAAGTTCTGGTTATCAGGTTATTCCTTCATCATGATAACCGTCATTTCTCTCTCTCTCTCTCTCTCTCTCAACCATGGAAGAGAAAAGATTATGAAGAATAAGAATTACAACAGTTAACTAGATCAATGGCAATTTTTTATTCTCTTTTTTTCTTTTTTCACTTTCTATTTTTATCGATCTCAATTCTGAACTAGTTACATGTCGAAATTATTGATAATATAAGAAAGAAAAGTGAGTGAGTGAATTGCATGTTCGACTGAATTTCTCTCCGTTAGAAAAGTTCAGAATCGAGTTGAGGTTCGAGTCTGAGTATCAAGTTAGTTTTTAAGTTTCTTTCGGCTTTTCTTTTTTTCCCTCTATCATCATGATTCCACAATCTAATCAATATTTATCATGAACGATTATTAAATCAACTTATAATTTAATGTGTACCATCAATCAATTGACAATCAATTGTTTCCAATTATATCTTATTGACAATTTGATTGAAATTAACTTTTTGATTTGTTTCCAGGTCAAATAACAAGACTCAATGTGTTTACATGAAATAAAATATCAATTAATTAATAACATTGTAAAAAATATAATAGCAATTACATTAATTATTCAACTACTGACAATCAATATTTTCGTCAAACTAAATAATTTACCAGCAATAATTAAATTGTTGCCATTACCAAGGGTCCAGTGTTAATAGACTACAATCAGAGTCGATTCACTTTACAATGTTGATTATAAATTAACTTTTCGTGACTTGATTAACATTTAAATGGTTAACTAAATCATAAGATGATCACCAAATTATCATTGAATCTCAGTTTTTATTAAATTGCCAACAATATACAACCAAAATGAGCCAACTCCTTAGTGAACAATTAAACTGTATTGTAATGGTTATGATTAAGATGAGAATATGAGATGAAAGTTAATTGTGATTGGTTTCAAACAGTAAATCAATCAATCCAGTTGATCTAATCAATCAGTTTATTGTTATTGTTTATTTATTGTCAGATTGAATAGCATTTCAAAATCGCAATCCTATGATCATGAATTTAATCATGATCATGATTGACTTAAAAGTGAGTCTTAAATAATACAGTTACTTTATTATTATTGTATCTCCTTATTGATGAACTCATATCATGATAAAAGTTACTAACAATTACCATTGATGATCAATATTATCCGATTTGATCAGATGATTATCATGTTTGAAACATTTTCCTTCATGTAATCAGAGTTTTTGGAAGTTTATTTTTTTCTTATCATGAAAATTATATTTTTCATCTTTGATTGAAACTCTTTATATTTAACTTTTCCCTCTTAATGATTGACTCAAATAATGATTACTTGATTATATATAAAGTAAATACTATTAGTACAAAACTACATTAACCTAATTGTTATTTACCATTCAATTATTAGTGTTAATTGTGATTTGATTGTCATTTTATTTAATAAACTCTATTGAAGATTGATAATGATGGAAAAGAGATGAAAAGAAATGAAAATCATCTTAATAGAAGTGAAAAGATGAGGATGATAAATAAGAAAAAAAAACTGGAAGAGAAAATCATTTGGAATATTGAAGAAAAGGTTATTAGAATAATATCATTGTGAAAATTTTCTCTCTCATCATCACTCTCATCATTTTATCATTCTAAGCATCTTCATCATCTTAAGAATCTTCAAGTTTCTCAACAAGATAAAAGTTACATCAGTGAATGATTATGGAAGTGAAAATGAATCAGGCTCCAAATAAGAATAAGTTTTTCATGAGAATGATGATGTTCATCATGATGAAGATGATAAGAAGGTGATGCAAAAAGTGATGAGGATGATAGAAAGTGAGAGAGAGAAAAAGAGAAAGGAAAAAAGTCTTCATCTTCTCATAACAGTCATTCGAATGTCATTTTTGTTCATTTTATGTAAGAACAAGATGATGATGAAGAAAGGAAAAAAAAGGCTATTCGATCGTTATTGATTACGATGATAATTCTGATGATGAAAAAATTCTGATGAGTAAAATGCTGCAAAGACCAAATAATAATATCAGAATCTTCGTCCATCAAAATGTTATCATTATATTTACATATTAGCTGATTGCTCTGAATTGATTGTAACCAAATATCAGAATTGTTAATGTTTATCATTGATTTTTCCCTTGTTCATTTTATCATATCAACAATTAACTTAATTTTTTTCTTTATTCCAATTCTAGTTTGGTAATGGTCTACATCGAGTTACCTCAGGTACGATATCGGGAATGCTGGCAGATTTTAATAAACAAATGGAGGCACTGGGAACAGTTTCACCGACTGATGATCGAGCTTTAATCCATCAGAATTCATCTCGACGAAGTTCATTGTCCAGATTATCCCAATTATCAACAACAGGATCAACATCGGCAACAATTGAACCTCGAAGTCGATCAGGATCATTAACTACAAACGCTATTAATCCTTCATCTTACTCTTCATTACTTTCATCATTATCACAAGCTTCAAACACCACCACAACAACAACAACAACTTCATCATCAACTTCAGCAACAGATTCTATTAATTTAATTAAATCTTTACAAACTTCACTTCGCTCATCATCATCTTCGTCTTCACCATCAGCTACAACAATTACTACAACCACAAGTTCATCAATGATTCCTTCAAATAGATTAACATCTAAAGGTAATTCAGAGACTGGAAATACTAATAGTAAATTATCATCAGCATCCACATCATCAGATGCAACATCATCAACTACAATTAACGGTAATTCAATTCTGGTCACTCCAGGTAATCTTCAGCTTCTTGCTCAATCCTTACCTCCAGCTCAATTATCAATACCAAGAACTGTAACCCATCAGGTTGAACTTGCAGTATCTCCGGTTGTTGAACAAACTTTACAACAGCAGCAAATGTTAATCCAACAACAGCAACAATTAATTATCCTACAGAAAGAGCTATTTGTAAGTATATACAACAATTAACTTAATCTACTTAACATTTTAATCTAATCAAATCCAATCCAACATTGATAATCCCTACTGACATTGTTTTCCCTTTTGTTGTTTATTGTTTTCATATGATAATATTCACTTTTTTTTTAATTCTTCCGTTAATTGTTACCACAAAACAATCAAAATTAATTTAAGATTTAGTAATATTTCCTGATTACAGATTAATTATCAATTTAATTGTCATTTGATTTGATGATTTTTCTTTTAAATGATAATATTTCTGAATCTGAATAATGAGATTGTATTCACAATTGAATTTAATTGTCATATGTATCCGTTTTGTGATAATAACAATTTAATTGTGATGACTTTCAAATACATTAAGTTTATTGTTAGCAGTCATTCAATTGGTCTTATTGATTAACAATCACAATTTAAATTGTTGACAATTGTTATTGTGATTAAACAATTTGTAAGGTTAACCTTTTGATAATTTAATGACATGTTGACAGTTAATTGAAACAATTTACATTTTGATTAACGTGCAAATAAGTTCGTTACTTGGCTTGGCTTTAAGTCCATGTTGATACTTTTTAGAGGCTCTCGTTATCCATCTTTTTCGATGAATTATACTTTGGTCTATAAAGAAGTTTTCGAGTGAGAGTACTGTTTGTCGTTGGCAGTTGTTTGAACCCATGTCTTCGTCAACTTGAAGATATGCTATTAATAAAATTATTAGAAATTTGATAGTTTATTTTTGTGAAAATTTTCAAATTGATAAAGTCGATCCAAATTCAGTCATTACTTCAGCTAAAGTTTGCATAAACCAGAATCGTTGGCGAGTTCTGAATGATTTATATCGAAATCTGTTAAAATAAGCCATATAAAAATCCGAAGTAACTGGAATGGTTCCTAGAGTTCTACAGGGCATTTCACCAACTCATTGTTTGAGTACATTATTCTTTACTAATTTGAATCGATTCGCCCCTCAAATGACCTTGTCCCAACAGAATGACCGGAATGACCTTGGTATTGAGTAGATCAACAAGTTTTTGTTGATCTACTAGAGGTCAAAAATCGACAAAAAGGTCTGACTTTATTTTCTTTATCTACTGCCTGAATTCATTTTCATTTTCATTTTATATTTAAAAAGAGGCTGAATTTGATAATTTACATCTTTAGAATACTTCCCAACTTCCATGTGTCATAACGTAAACAACAATCACAATTTAAACTGTTGACAATTGTTATTGTGATTACACAAGTTGTAAGGTTAACTCTTTGAAAAATTTTTTAATGACAATTTGAGACAGTTAATTGAAATAATTTACACTTTGATTCAACTAGTGTTTATATATGCGTGTATCTGGGCAATTTAATAAATTGTAACAATTAAATGATGAAATTCATTAAATTGGTTTATCTTTCACCGGCTGATTATAAATAGCAATGTGACAGTAAAATTTGATTTTTTCTGGCATTGATTGAAGTTAATTGCTGTTGATTAGCTTTCTCGTCAATCAAGTTAATCAACTCAATTTATTCATCTTGTAGTATAACAATTGAAGTATCAACGATTAACTTTTAATCATGATTAACTAGTTTCATCTTAATACTATTATTATCATTACACTGACTGATTGTAATGTTAAATAATGTTAATGATGATTAACAGAATGAATTGATTATAATAAATAATAGTAATAATAATGAGAAAAAGTCTGATTGTAATGATGATTAACTCAATGTGAAACTAAATTAACTTAATCATAATATGTATCATTCATGAACCCGAATCAATTGATAGTCAGTAATTTGAATTTCAAAGTACAATCAAAATAATCAAGTTAATCTACTTTGATGAAAAGTGGTCAATCCAATACAATCAAAAACAAATCAATTTTAATTGATGTGAATCAGAATCAAACTTAAATTAATTGAAATTGAATTTTTTTGCCAATATAAGTAAACAAAACCATTGAAACAATAACAAAAATTAATACAATTGTCTAATAATATGAGTAAATTGTTGTTTATAAGTGAAGACAATTTGATTGTTATTAATTTTCATGATATCTATTGATGCCCTGAGGGCTATATGAATCTCACCAAGCAATAAAAGTATTAATAACAATAACGATGATAATAATAATCGGTCAACCTTGAGCTGACCCAGATTCGGACACTGTCCAGTTGAATCAACAATTTAATAACCATGGAAACTTATGATTTACAATTAAAGTATCAGATGTATATTCTGAACAATATGATTAATATATTATAACCAATTTACCTGAACTTGATCATCATCTTTTCAAATTTTATCGTTGGTTGATTTTTATACTGAACAAAAAAAAATAGTAAAACAAAAAAAAAGTTCATTGTATTGAGCAAATTTTCATGAGTAAAACTCACGATCTCCCCTGATCTTCATGGTTCAAGCAACTTATCTCAAAACCAGAAATATTATATTACCCTGGTTGAGTAAACAATGTATATTTACCTGTGTATGTTAAGTGTATCCACCTCACCCTGTAAGTGACACAGTTATTTGTTGTTGTTAGTTGATCTTGTTGCTTTACCTTTCGTATGCAAATTAATATCAACAGTATCATCAGGCTGAATTATTAGTATTATATTTATCTCATCATCCTGGTGATGAAATGTTTTCACTTTGTTACAGGAAAAGAACAACAATAAAAAAAATATTGCCTCAGGCGATTTCAAGTTTCATTTCTTTTTACAGGACAACTTGAATTCATCGATCACAACATAATATTTAATAACATGAAGTTTTCATATTCATTAATTTTCACTGAATTTTGATTCATGTTTAAATTGCATGTTGCTTATTACTATTATCATAGTGGTAATTTTGATGCAATTTCAATAAAGTTCTGATGGTAAATAAAAAATTTGAAATTCTACTGAGTAAATATCATGGTAACAATTGAAATTTCCTCATGAATTTCCGATAAACTTGAGGTGACGTTGGAAACTGAACGAAATATGATGAAAAGAGAGAGAAATAAAGTTCTGATTAACTGAAATACTCAATTCTCCATGTGATAATTGACTGAATTAATATTCCAATTTTTTGACTCATATTAATTGTTAAAGAAAAAGTTAATTCTCTAGTTGCAAGTTAAATTTTAAATTGTACAATAATAGTAATGATAATTCATTATCACTATTGAAATTATCGTTCATGATAACATTTGGATGAATCAGTTTTTTTACCGTTAGTTTGTTTATCTAATGTATTTTAATGGATTAATTTAAAAATCAAGCCCCAGAATCATCAGCATCCTCATCCTTATACAATCACCAGTCTGACAATTTGATTCAGTTGATTATCCGATTATCATGTTTACATTAGATATTATCATGAAAGGAAATGAACTAACATTTAATACCAATTGAAATTGTTAATCTAATGAGTAAATATCAAGGATGAACTTTTTTTTACTTCATCATATTGAGCAATACACTAATTGCTTAATCACTAACAATCAGTTAATTATATTTTGTGTGACAAAAGTCAACGTTGAGTTAATTTATTAACCAATTAAACTAATCATCAACGTATCAACCAATTGCAAATCCAATGAACAATTTAATCAGAATCATTGATTATTTATCATATCAATTAAAGATTGAGATATAATTGCTTTTCTTTCAGAATTAATCAGTTTTCATCATCGATCAATTTTAGATCAATTAACTAAATTTCAAAGTTTAGGTTAATTGTAGATAGATTTCCACGAATTTGCTACTGAATTAAATTCTCAGGTAAAATTATGTTCTTTTTTTTCCTGGAGAAAAAAAGTTCTTCCATTTCCAAGGAATTCTGATAATGGAATTTTAACTGGAATTTTTTTATTCTATTCTATTGTTGTCTGAAATATTTATCATGTAAATTGTTCCTTATTCATATCATCATGATCATCACGTCATCAGTGAGTTATAATCAATGTATCACAATGATATTTACCTTTAACCGTATGGATTGTAATTGTAATCATTTACAACAGTTTATACAACCATTTAAATGATTCATGTTAATTCATATTTCATCATGAAAGTATCATGAGTTTTTCACCATAAACTTTTAATCTGATACAAGGATAGAGAAAATGTTTCAACTGTTTACCTAAAGGTTACGTGCTAATGATAATACAGAACTGAACCTTTTTCTTTGTCTGTTTATTATTAGAAAATTTCAATTGTTACAACCAAATTAAATTGTGAAATCTCAATTTCCCTTGATTGTTTCAACATTGATTCAGCGTTTCAATGAGAAAATATAATGGAAAAAATGAAAACAAACAAAAAAGTTTCTGAATAACCTCAAGTAGAAGAGAAAGAGAGATCAGAATTTCAACATTCTTTTTGCAGAATTTTTGGAAATTTTTTTTTTCATTATTTTAGCTCCACAATTGTGTCAGAATTGAATTCTGAACTATCTATGAACACGCAGAAGCTGAAAGTATCTCAAGTGGCGAAGCCATCAAGTCAATGATGATAAAATTTTTTCTCTCTCTTTCTCTTTATCCTCTTTCTGGATTGAAGGAGTTTCCAAAAAAAAAGTATATCTCATATCATGTATCATGTAAGGAACCAGAATCAGATCCTTTTTCTGGCCTTGCCAAAAATTTTCGGGCTACTACTACGCGGAACCAGAATGTTTCTCATCCTTGTCTTCCATTTGTACTTTGTTTACATTCATCACAAAACCTTTTTGTCAACTCCCAATTGTCCTTCCACCACCACCACCACCTCCTCCTCCTCCTCATCCCACTCCCACCACCATGAGTAACTCTATCATTTAGATTGCTTTTTGTTTTCATTCATTTCCATTTATATTTGAATAGTTTTTGCAAATTGCATTTGGGATCATTAAATGCCCGTTGATTGTTGTTGATTATCTTGATAATAATTAATCATGATGACCAAATTCTGGGTTCACCATCTAAAAGACAATCTGATTAAATATTAAATTACTTTCAACACTTAGACTTGATTATTAGCTATTAAGAATCTGAAAGTTAATCTTAACCAATTTCATAACAAACTGATTATTGATTTTTTAATTTGCAAACAAATTAAATGTAATTCAATCACTGTGAGTTAATTGTCATATTACCAGCTAATTGCACATAGAAATAGTCACTAATTTAAATGGCCATTGGATTACATCACAATTTAAACTGTAACAATTAATAGGTCAATGGTTGTAACTTTATTAATAATTAATTGTATCAGTAACATTAACAATTGATTGTCAACATTATTTAATTTTGTTTCTTTTTTTTTTGTTACAAATTAATCTTGTCACATTTACAATATTAAGTTAAATTGTAAAGATACAATATTGATATTAATCTGTTGGATTTTTGATAGCAATTAACTAATCATTGGATTGTCTTCCTAATTGTTTACAGCAACAACAACAGGAACAACGAGTTAAACAAGAGCAATTACAGAAAGAGCAAGAAAAGACAAGACAAAAGGCCAAACAATTAACAGTAAGTATGATAATTACAATCAGAATATTGAGTAAATTGTGTCAATCAAACAGCTCGAGATTTAATTAATCAAATTGCTGAGAAAATAATAATCAGTGAAAACGTATAATGAAACTTTGAATAACATCCCAGTTGATTAGAATTAGAATCAAAGTTAATCAACTATTAGAATATGAAGATTTCAATCAATTTACAGTTATATTATCATCGTCATCATTTCAACCTGTCCAAATCAACTGAATGGATACAGTTGATGAAGATAAAGATGATGATGATGATGATGGACGCAAATACTTTTCCTGCTTTCATTTCCTTTGACATTTTCTCCTTCTTTTCATATTAATATACATTCACTATACTTATCCATCAATTCATCATCTTCCATCATCATCACCAACACCTTGTTCAACTGATTCAATTCCAGGGTTAATATCAGTGTGTGTGTCCACCTCTTTACCTTTTCACTTTGTTACACTCCATCATTTTCCTGCATCCAAAGTAACACATACATATGATGATGATGATGATACATTTCAGAAATGTTAACTGAATAACATTTATATTGATCCAAATGATGATTATGAGATGATGACTTCTGGTCATTATCCTTTTTCCAGTGATACAAATAAATCATTCATTTCCATGGTTAATACATCAGGTTTAGCAATTCAGGTTGAGGATTAGCTTAATTATCATGGATTCTTAATTGATCAAGTTGAAGGTAAATATCTTGTTCTTAGCCAGAAACATATTGATCAAAAAGTGTATATAACAATTAACTGTCTTCAAAGTTAATCAATAATAATGATAACAATCTGATATAATATTTAGCTGAGTTTGTATTATTATTATTTGTCCATTTCAATTGTCCTTTTCCCTTTGAGATTTGTATTGGACAGGAAAGTCACAGTCAATGGATCATCATCATCATCATCATGATAATATCTTGTTTAGTTGATTGTTGATCCTTTTGTTTCCTTACAATTGAATCTATTTCAACAAAATTTACAATTTAATAAGGTTTACCAAACAAACTACAACAATAAACTTGATAATGGTGATAACTGATCAAATCTATTTCTATTTTCATTCATTTCATTCAAGGAGATTCAATCACAATCCTCTCAAAGTTCATCACAATTACCACCACAACCACAACCACCATCACAATCAACAACAGTAACAACAACAACAACTTCATCCACATCATACTCACATCAACAGCCTGCAACATCATCTGGCCATCATCATCATACACAACAACAACAACAACATCGCCAAGTTCAAACAATTGCAACAACATCAATACCAATAACCACACCAAACACATCGATAGTTTCAAGTCACCATCGACATTCAAAATTGGCCTCATCATCAGCACCATCAACACCCAATCGAAAGGATCGTCGTCGATTACCCCAACCAACCATTGAGGAAATGCAAGGAGCAGTTCAAGCGATTTCCAATCAAACATCAGCATCAACAGTTCATCCTCATGGATCCAGGTAAGGATAAAGAAACATCAATCGGATAAGATGAAGACGAACAAGAAAAAAAAATAATGGATAACATTAGTACACCTTTTTCTTTGTCCATTTCGATTTATCCTCTTTTTGTCTTATCTTCTTAAGATGATGAGAAATCTAGAAAGGCTTCTGTAAGATCAATACCAAAACAAATTCTTCAGCATTACAAATAGAGAACCTTCATCATCTTCTTTACTTTTACTTTCTCTTTTCATCTTCCAGATTCTGTTACTTTAACATCCCAATGAATCAAAAAATGCTTTTCCTTTTCCTCTTCCTTGTTCGTCTTTTTTTTTCCTTCTCCATTCATCCTTTGTAATAGTTTTATCTATTAACTTTACTCTTTCTCCAAGGCATAGAAGAAGGATAAAAGAGACAGAGAAGAGACGAGAGGATGATGAAGAGAAAATCGAGTAAAGGTTAAATCTTCTCTTCTCATCGCCATCAAGTGAGCTTTGGATTGATGTGTTCTCTCATATATTACATGAGGGTATCAATTTTTAGTTGAAAGATGAAAAGGTAGATGATGAGGAGGATGATGAGTGAACAGATGATTGTACTTGCAGTCCCAGTGAGAGGTAAATCCAAGTTAACAAATAAGCTGATCCAAGTTATAATCTTTTCATTTGGAGGCAAGAAAATGAAAATATAAGATGAGAAATAGAGAGAGAGAGAGAACATAGGTTAATGATGATAAAAATGATGATGATAATGAGAAAAGAAGACAAGCAAGAATAAAAGAATAATTCAGACATGAGCAAATAGAAAGAGAAGAGAGAAAGAGAGAGAGAGAGAGAGAGAGAGAGAGAGAGAGAAAGGAGGAAGGAGAGTGGATGGATGAGAGAGTGAGTGTAATACATAAAGTTGAAAGGCAACACGAGAAGGTAAATGTAGAAAGAGAAAAAAGTGAAATTCGAAAGAGATAAAAAGAAAGAGATTCTGAGAAGCGAAACTTTACTTGACATTGCAGAATTCATTCCATCATCCTTCATCACTCTTTTTCTTCATCCTCATCATCCTCATGACTGCCTTGTAAAAGCTTCTTTCTTTTTCTTTTTCTCTTTCTAATTCCCTGTTTCCCTCCAGAGTTTTTCGATTCTCACTCCAAACCCATTTTTCCTCTTTCTTTTTCTCTTTCGGTAATAATCATACATGATTCTCAATGAGAGAGAAGACAAAGAAAGAGAAACAATGATGAAGATGATAATCTAAAGAAGATACAAGAGAGAAAGTGAAAATAAACTAACCTTGCTTTTTTACTTTCTTAACGTTTTCCTTTTGACTTTCATCTTCATCTTATCCTCCTCATCCTCATCCTCTTTCTCAGTTGTTTTCATTTAATTTATCCTTCAATGTGTTTAATCAACTTAAATCAACTTGAATATGGTTACCAAAGTTACGTTAACCCTTAATCTTTGTATCATTAATCGGCCTCCTTGATTGTTGATGTTGATTCTAATGATACAATAATAATCATTTCCATAAGTTATCAAATATCCAATGTTACCTTAATCTCATCAACAGTTAATAATTAATTCTTGTAACTTGTAAAAATATAATTACTATATTATATCAACGGCAAACTAATTAGTGATGATAGTTGATTGTGTTTCCAATTTGTTATCATTTTTTTTATGTTGATATTTTGATTGATGTTTCCATTTTTTCAACTGTGCCAATTATTTTGATAATTTAAAATTGTTTCCTAATTGTAATCGCTCATTAATCCAATTAACATAGCCTTGTTTCAAGTCTTTCGTCAATTAATTGATACAAATTGTTACATATAAGTGATAATTGATTAATCTTTTCGTCAATTTCTTTGTCTTTCATTGAATTAAGTTTGACCACAAGTAAAGTGTCTACTTCGGGTGTTAACTCGCAACTTTTTGCAAATCGACCAATTTCACCGTTAATTCCGAGGAAAAATCAAATAATCGGTGTTCCAATCATACCTCCCATGAGTCGTGCTCGACCCACTCCCGCTTCAACCACCTTAACAATGGCCACGCCGACACTTGTCTCATCATCTATTGCAACAGCTTCATCTTTGCTTGATCCAAGGCACGGGTTTACCGCTTCGTCTCTTGGCCTTATTCGTGGTATCTCCCCTTTAAGTGTAAGTAAATTTATCCATATTTTTTTGTAACATGATTGATTATTTTGTCCTCTTATATTGATGATTGATTTTTTGTTCATTTTAGATGTTGGATGAAACACAAAGTGAAGCTGGAGGATTGAAAAATAAACGGCGATTACCATTGGTACCCTTGGATGAGGAGCCGGTGACCGCAGCGGCAGTTAGTCGTCGATTAGTTAAGGAAAGGTTAATGAGTAAATCAGTTGCTGGAAATTTATCTTCCAAATCTGTTCCCATATTGAGATCAGCTTCATCTTTAGATCATACACCAAGCGGATATCATGGTGGAATTAGTGGCCTGGGACCGTTAACTAAAGAGGCACCTGGTGCTTTGACTGGTCTACCTTTGGGTCGATCCCGTCCACAGTCTGGTCCAATATCACCTTTCTCGTCTCTTAGTGACATTGCCAATCTTATAAACTCTTCAGCTTCTGGTTTAGCTGGTCTTGATTTACATCGTCCCCACACTCCGATTGGTACTTTACATTCAACGTTACCTGGTGTATCCAGTGCTCTACCTCCATATACAACGGCCACTTCTCATCTTCCAACCTCAAGTTTAGCTAATTATTTAGGTATAAATGGCCCTGGACCAGGTACAAGTGGACTTTCACCTTTCGGTCTCACTCAGAAATCTCCATTTATTACTTCATCTCTGCCTTCCAATTCACCAATAACCTCACCAATGGGTCTTGTAGGAGGTGGTGGGGGTTACATTAAATCATTAAAATCTCAATTAAAAGATGAACTTAGAAGTGTAGTTGATGAGCGACGTCGTCTTCTTGATGCTCGTGAAATAGCTCGAGATAAACAAGATTTTTATCGTCGATCAGAAACTGATCTTCAAGCCCTGTATGGTCTCAACTCTTATGAATCTGAAGCACTTTTAGCACGCAGAGGTTTATTTAACCGTCGACGTCCCCTTGGTGGTTTAAGACGAGGTGATACATTGGACCCAAAAGTTTTAGGACCAGGTTATGCCGCTTCAGTATTAGGTGATCCCGCTTTGGCTTCTGGTATTGGAGGATTAGGTGGATCAAGTGGATTAACTCCTGATCTTTTTAAATCATATGAATATGAATTTCTAGATCCAGGAGTTAGTTCAGCATCTTTAGCTTATCCTGGTTTACTAGCGACTTCCTCTCTCACCGCAGGTAAATCACCTTTCGGTGGTCCAGCGGCCAACAGTTTACGAAGACCAGTTTCATCATTAGGTGTTCTAGGATCAGGAATTAATCCAACGGACATGGCCTACGGTTTGAGAAATAGAATGACCAATGGAGAGATTGACCCTGGACTTAGGGAATCATTTATTCCCAATTTTATGGACAATGGTGCTGATGCTGGTCGATTATTGGGAACGGGTGCTGGTAGATTTCGTCGTAGATCAGAGGGATCACTAGATGAGACCTTTTTTAATACTGATCCATACAATCCAATGAGTCTTTCAGGAGTTCGTGGTTATGATGATTTACGAACAAACTTAAATCACAATCCCGCCGGAATTATGCCAAATACTATTGGCGGTGGAATAGGTCCAAATGATCGTTATCGAGCTCGTCCTTTGCTAGGATCAATTGGACCAGCGCATTCATGGCATCCATCACCTTATGCATCTGAAGATGAAGATGATAAATTAACCCGGGAAGAGAAAGCAGCTCGAGTTAAAGCAGAAATCGCCCGAAGAAGGGCACAATTAATGGAAACAGGTCGAGCAGTTGCTGATGATTTAGGTGGCGGTGGTAAATTACATATTGGTCCTTCTGGTCATCATCCAAGTTACTATTCATCAAGGGATCAAATTCAACAACAGCAACAACAGTATAGTTCAAGTGCCTATCGACGACAAGGTGGAATAGTTCGTACCGATGATTACAGTCCATCGGGATATGATTATTATAATTCTCCCCAGGGAAATCGTTGTATCCATGGGTCACCAACAAATGTGAGAAGGTCAAGATTAACTAGAGATGGACTTTATTCCCGTTCATTGGATACCGGATATGAAGATTATACAACAGGGTCATCAGCTCATCATCATCATCCTCATGATCACCAGCAGCATCCCCACCAGCAGCAAGGGTACGATGATTATGGTTATTACAATAGAGGTGAGTTGATTTAATAATAACAATTAGAGACTATCAATAAACTAATTTCTAAATCAATGAGATATTAAATTATAAGCGATAAGGTTAATCGAGTTGACCGATAATCATTTAGAAGTCAAAATAATGTTCAATGTTGAATAATAATCAATCAGTTTGGGGAAAAGTTTTCAACAATTACTTTCAATGAGATGATAATCAATTTAGTTGATTAACATTTCAAATTACTTAGTGGATAAATTTTCTCATGTTCATTTTCATGATAACCATTCAATTCTGACAATAGGATGAAATCAAATACTCTGATGGATTGTTGATTTATCATGTTTCATGTTAATGGTTAGTTTTTGGGTTTTTTGTTACTTTTGTATTCACTTTGATTCTTGATTGATTATCGGTTGACATTGATTGTTGATAAATGATCGAGGCTTTTAAATTCATTACCAGGCCATGTACTATTTAGATAACTGTTGGAAAAGAAAAGAAAAATTATAATAACAATTAGAATTAGAATCAACAATTTAAAAACATAATAGTCCAGCAACATAAGTAATCACAACAATAACTAAATCTATCACCTATTTAACTATTAATTATTCACACAATTAATCAAATTTTCACCACTTACACATTTTCTAACCAGCACAATACAAAATCAATCAGGTAATCATAATATTGTAATTAAGGGTTAAAATTGAAGCAATTAGATTGAAACAATGCTCATCATAATAAATTGTATTCCCTTAATTACAGTTTAAGATTATCTTAATTTTTTGTTTCATACTCTTGCTATTAAATCAGTCATTCTAATCTTAATTGTCATCAATCATGGTGATGTGAAATTGTTGTTAGTGGTAGTTGATTGTGCTAACATCATCAGTCAATTTCAAGTATATTGATTGTTGTTAATTAATTAACTTGACCTTTCAATGGTGGAAAAGTAAAGGGAAAAAAATAAACGATTCAAGATTATGGTTGATTAGATGAGAGGAATAATCAAAATGTTGATGTTAGTGAATAAATGATCAGGATATAATTGATGATGGTCAATTTCATAGAATGACTGATGTAATTAACTATTAAATCAACGCACACACATATACACACAATTTAGATTCACTTATCATGTAAATCTGCTTTGTTTTGCTGATTAATTTCCAAATGATTTCTTGATTCTTGCGCTTTATGAGCCATTATAACGGTAATAAGAAAACCCAAACAAAAAATCGTAATTTTTTTCTTCGATGGATCGCCAATCATCATCATCGTCATCAAAGTCATCAAAGTCATCAAAATTGACCATTAGAGGATAGATTTAGAGGTGAAGTGTATAAGAAGACGGAATCAAAGGCCAATAGTCAAATCCAAGAGTTTTGATCTTTTCTAGGGAATTAGAAGGGAAAATAAGGAGAGATTTTCGTTCTCTTCTCTATTAATATCATTTCTTTGACATTAGAAATCTAGATAATTAAGTAGAATCACAATTTATAGATATAAAGAAGAGGCGGATGAAGATAAGGAAGATAAGTTTTCCAAATAAAGAAAATAGATATTCATCAATCAGGGAATTTTTTTGCTTGCTAATAATTGAGTAACATTAATGATCCAATTTGGTTGATTGTCGATATTGCAATTTGGATCCATTAACTTCCGATTCTGATGGATATTTAATTGTTCCATGTTCAGGTTAATTCTGCTTTTGTCATGTTCACCTATGGGAATAGAATTTGAATAGAACAATTTTTAATAACTTTTCATTGTTCTTTTAGTTATTTGATTAATGTTTGTGTTCAAACAATTAGAGAATTACAAACAATTTACTTTTAAATCATTTGTAGGGGAAAAAATTAATTTTCATCATTGTAAAGAAACAGTTAAAAACAAAATATTGATCAGTTAATTTAGAAACTTTTACATTAATTATACGACATGAGAAAACTATTATTATTAGTTGATTGCTTGACTTAGTAATCTAATTCATATATTATTGTTTGGTTATCAGGATAGTCAACAAAAATAAATGCACTTACATTATTTTCTTGCACAGACATTTAATTATAATTATGCACCTTGTTAATTGTACACTAAGATAATTAATTATCAACATGCAATTTGTCACTTATCCAATATGATTGAGAGATTAAATTAATCATTAACTGCTTCTGCTGTTGCTTTTTCCCTTGCACAACAATTAGACTTTAATTGTGACAACACTTTGCATGTTAACCATTGATTGTAATCACACAAGCAATTAACCGATTTCCAATCCTTTGTCTTGATTAAACCTTCTTTTCCTGGATGTTACATTCTCTCTGTTGAAAAATAAGAATAGAAAAGTAAAAACCACACCCATTAGATTGTAAGAGAATTTTTTTAAATTGTTACCTCATTTTAAACTACAATTAAGATTGAACAGTCTCTTTTGATTTGCTTAATTTTTCTTTCCAAATTCGATTTATTTTTGTTCTTCTTTTTCTTCTCTTCCATTTGCATTTATCCTTTTGTTTCCAATTTGTTTTCTCTTTTCTTTTCTTCTTCCTTTTCTTTTATCCTCTTCTTTCTTAACAGGAATCTATCAGAATCGATCAAAAAAGGTTGACAAATTGTTGCGTTGATGATTGGGGATAACCTGTGAAGAAAATAGTAGAAAAAGAGTAAATTAAATTAATCAAATATCAGAGGTTAATTGTTGATGTGAAGTGAGGAGACTTCAAAAAACCTTTTTCTACAAAAACATCAACAACAACATACACACATACAGCATAAACTACTACACAATCAACAACATTCAACTAATATAAATGGTGAAAATTTGATCCTTAATCTAATCAACTTACCTCTGAAAATGCAATTAATTGTATTAATGCTTTTAGTATAAAATTAATCCATCAAATTGTATTTAAAAAGACAAAATTTCCACTTCAAAGAAAACCCAATCACTGAGAGATTTCAAAAACTGCCACAAAATTTTTCTCCCAACACAATTAGCTCGATGTTGATACAATTAAACATTTTACTCTTTGTCCATCCTAATGGTTAATTTTTTGTTGAATTCAGAATATTCTAATTATTGCTGTAGAAATTCAATCAACAGTTTCAAAAAAGAGAATCAGCCAATTTTGGTTCCTTTCTTCATTTCCTTCCTGGTGATTATATTGTTGCGGATTGTAAATGTTTAACTTGATGTTAATAGAATCTAAGAGAAAATGAGAGAGAACAAAAATCAGATCAGTCCAAGAATTAAATGTATTAGCAGAAAGAAATAGAATAGAAATTAAAGAAAAAAAATCATCATTACCTTTTTCTATTGATTGTTATCCAAAAACAATTTTTTCCATTGGGAAAAAAAACTCTTCTCTTTGTCTCTTTCCATGTATTAAAATTATCCAATATCCAAACAGCTAATCAAGGAGGAAACGGAATCAACCGACCGGCGACAAATGATTACCAAGCCAATTATTCTGGGCTTAATGTTGCCAATCACAATCAGCCGTCCCAAGTAAGCAAGACGTACGAATTAATTATAAAGTAGAAATTAAAAAATTGCCTTGATTGTTTTGCTTAATCGCCTGGGAACATCTTCTGTCCAACCAATTGGATAAGAAGAAACCAAATTACTCATAAGGTTGTTACTAACCAACGGAAACAACGTTAATCCTAATCCATTTTGGTTCCACCACCGCAACCAATTAAACATCCACTTGATTCCCTTAATAAGTGTTACCTTACCACTTTCGAAGAGAAAAAAAAATTAATAAATTCTCCCAATGATTTAATCAATTTAAATCACTGAAAATCGGAACAATAGAAAAACAAACAAGTAGAAAAAAATGAACCAACAAGGTCAATCCAAATCCAAGAAAAGAAAGTCAATTGAAAAGTTGAAACTTCTAAATCACATCAGAACAATTAGCTAATGGAAAATTTAATTAACTGCAAAAAAGAATAGATTAAAATCAATTAGAAATTAAAAAAGAAAAATGAATTAAATTGATCAAATTGATTAAAGAAAATTTTTTTCTTTGTCTTCGTTTCCATGGTAACTGTTTTTTTCCCTCCACTTGCTTGTCCATTTTCATTTAATTTCCTTCATGTGAATGTTTTGTTGTTAATTGTTAATCAATTGATTACTTTTGATTAACTCAATTTGATTGTATTCTTTTTTGTTCTTTCATTAATTGTAAAAAGGGTCAACCAATACCGGCGATAAAAAGACCTAAATATCCATTTCCAGTGAAAAGGATTCTATTGATTAGAGATCCCAAGGAAAGTGCTCATGGAGGTGAGTTGAAATTTAATTTTTTTTCTATTCTAATTTAAATTGTCACAATTTGTTTTTATTTTTTTCTTATTTGTAATCAAGTATCTAGCAATTTAAAATGATTCCATTGAATGTATTCTCGATATGTTATTAATACATTCAATGTACAATATTTAAGGTGTCACTTTGTTACTTACCTGAGTTTAGATTATGTTTTTTTTTTGCTTCGAGCAATATTGTTGATACTTAATTACTTATATTTTTGTTATAATAGAAATTAATAGAAACCTCTCCCCAATTAATACCTAAGTTGAAATGATGAATAACCTAAGAAATTAACTCAGGATCTTCGTCGAAACCAGGTAATTGTTATGGTTTAAGATTAATTGGTGGACAAGAAATACCTGCAACTGATCAGGTCGGAACATTTGTTGAGAAAACAATTACCGGTGGAGCAGTTGATTCACTTGGAGAGATTCGTGAAGGTAACAATTAATTTACAATTCTAATTGCTTCATCTATTAATCAAATTAATCCTCTTAATTCAACTCTTCAATTGAAAAGATTTTCACAAATTCACAGAGATTTGTATTATCATCATGAAAGATTTACTTTCATTGAAAGTGTTTATTGTTACAAAGATCAATGTAACTATTATTTAATTCTGTTTACATTTAATTGTAACAATTGAAATTCTTTTCTTTTGAAATTTATAAATATTAATAATAGTATTTAGAAGGAAATTTATTATTTATATACAAATTCTTTTTTGTTCGATGGATAATTACTAATCCGATTTCCTTTGTTATTGTCTATTCTTTAGGTGATCAAGTATTGGAATGGAATGGATTACCATTAACTGGATTATCCAATGAAGAAGTTCAAAGATTAGTATCGGCATCAAGCAATGCAGAGGAAGTAGAACTTGTTATCCGTCGAGATTTCAACCTATTCGATGTTCGTTACGATTACAATTCTTACAATCAATGTCAACAAGTTGGACCTTCGGAAACTGATTATTATGCCAACAACAACAATCGAGGACAAATGCAACAAGTAACAACGGGAACTCTAGATGGTCAATATTACCAATCACCATAAGGAAGAAAATAAAACAAAAAACAAGCGAATATCAAAAAGCAATAATAATATGAAAATAACCGATAAATTAAATCCAATTGGAAGTTAATTTATCATAAGGAAATCAAATTATACGAAGAGGAATAAGAAAAAATTTCTCTGTCAGTGTAATTATCTTAATCTTATCTGTGTAATACTTACTCAGTTGATTATGATAAACAAATCAATGGACGGATTACAAAGATTATCATTAACTGTGAGATCAACGTAAATCCCTTTAATTGTTTGCGGGATTTTACAGAGACAAAAACACATTCAATTATATTATTATATCATCTTCATCATCATTATCATCATCATCGACAGAAAATGTTTCCTTTGCTTTTTATTTATTATAAAGTTGAAACATCATTAGAAGCTGATGTTAAGTCAATCATTGCAATTAAATTTTGTGGGCATTTTGGTTTATCAAAATTAATTCCAATTGATTGTTTATAATGAAATTTATTCGCTTTACCATTTGAACGGTTTGATTTTAATCGTGAAATTTTATTCTCAGGTGAAAATTGCTGCCGATGCCAAGAAAGGAACAAGATCTTTTTGAAAGCTCGACGAAAATCCCTTGACCAACAAGCATAAATGACCGGATTCATGCCGCTATTCAACCAGCCCAACCAAGTGACCAATGGATAGACAAGATCAGGATTAATTAGACAATAATCACCACAAAATCCCTTGACCAGATTAGCAATGAAAAAGGGTAACCAACATAATATAAAAACTCCCATCACGATGCCCAAAGTTTTGGCCGCTTTTTTTTCCTTGGCTAATTTAGCCAATTTTCGGCTTAATGATTTCATGTTTGGAGGACGAGCCGATGATGATGATAAAGAAGACACTTTATTATTATTATTATTGGTTGAATTTGTATCATTATCTGAATTTGTACAATCAGACGACTGATCTTCAAATGAAACTTCACCAATTAAACGAGATTTCAACTGAGGGTAACGTTGATGATTAGATTGAGATGAAGATGATTGATTTGAAAGGTTAATCGATGGATTAAATTGTTGTCCTTCATTTGGTGAATACAAGTTAATTATTGTATTGTTATTATTGTTGTTGAGACTCTTATTACCACCACCGCCTCGGTGTATCCTTAGGACGACAGCGTTGTTTTCATTGCCATCAATGGCGGCGATTGATTTAGTTCCACATTTAATTGATTTGGTTTGTTGAATGGCCGCTCGATAAATCCTCAGGTAAACGACTAACATGATGATCAAAGGTCCATAGAATGAGATGATCGATGAGAAAAGGAGATAACCAACATCTTCCGTAAAGTCACATCGTAAAGGTCGAGGTGGCGAGGAAACTGCTCTCCACCATAAAATGGCCGGGAAAGAGATTAAAGCTGAACAAGTCCAAACAAGTGCGATGAGTATCTTGGCCTTTCTGTTGGTCATTCGAGCAGGATAACTGATTGGATCGGTAATGGCCCAGTAACGGTCAAGTGAGATGACACAAAGATTTAAAATGGAAGCTGTTGAAGCGAGAACATCAAAAGAGTGCCAAAGGTCACACCAATCTTGACCAAATATCCACCATTTGTTCATGACCTCGTGGACCACTGAAGAGGGCATTACAATGGCTCCAACAAGACAATCGGCAACCGCAAGTGAGGCCACAAATAGATTAGTGACCGTATGGAGATAACGTTCCCGACGAATCGCAACCATTATCAATATATTACCAAACATAACGAGAAGACAAATGATTCCTAATAGAAGAGCAAGAAACGGATGATGAATACGAAGATCGGGTTCACCGAATGTCCAAAAGTCACTTCCGCCAACGGAAGAAACTATCAGTGGGTCGTCTATTCCTACCGGTGGTGAAGATGAACTCCAATTACTATTAGAATCGTTCCCATTACTGTTATCACTTGAACGAACAGAATTACCGTTATCTTCACTCCCTCTGATTCCCACTCTTACATTTCCACCGCCGTTCAACTGATTCCAATAATTATATGAACTAATTGATCGACTTCGATCAAATTGAGATTCAACTAAATCAATTGATTGCTGATTAAAATTTCGTAAAAATTGATTATTGGTAAAATATTTAATCACTGGTAATCCATTGGCACTATCAGATTGTGACAATCTAGTTGATAAACTAATTGTCTGATTAACTGTTTCAATCTGATTTAACATTGAATATGAAAAATGAACACCCAGGCACAAGTAATCAAGTTAATTGGGAACAATCAACAGATTCACATTAAATTAACAATCGAAACGGTAAATTGAATTTGATTTAAACATAACAATTGGTATTTGTTGTTAATCAAGGAAAAAATTAATAATATTTAGTTTTAATTGTTAACCATCAAAAGCTAAAACTATTTTTTAGATGAAAATTATTTCAAGTAATGAAAATTGATCAAGTGAGTTAATTTTTTCATCAACAATTAAGCCTTGAATTGATTAACAAAGATTCCCAATGATTATCATGATCAAGGGTAGTAAATTAATCATCTTGATCATCATCTTAATCATCGTCTAATTACAATTGACATTGAAGGAAACTTTTGCCAATGAGAACATTAAATTTACATAGTTAACTTTTTTTGCTCAAACTTTTGTTTCCTTGCAAACAATTAGTTAATCAATAGATTCCATTCATTAATTTTATCAACAATTAAGCATTTATTGTTATCATAATTTACAACTTATCAATCAATCATGAACTAATTAACCATGGCCTTGATTGATCAACATATCGATGCAATTAAATTAATGGAATAGAATTTTTTTTTGTAAATTGTTTCAATATTATGGCTAAACAATCAATGAAAATTAAGATGGACAGGAAAGCTTACCAATCAATTGATTATTGGAGCACAATTAAGGGTTAATAAACTAATCTAACCTTGAATAATAATATGGAACTCAGATTAACAATGTAACTAAATTGATTTCAATTGGTAAATTAACTAACTTAATTGTGACAATTTGACTGTGACCTTAATTTTTATGGGTCAATGGCTTAAACTCATTGACTATTTAAACAATTGAGAAATAAATAAAGTGCAATTTCTTGCTCCTTGATTGTTGACAATTGCTGATCAACAAAGTTAATCATCAATAAACAACAATAAAAAAAGTTGTTGATTCATCATAATCAACAATTGAAATAATCACAATCAACTTCAATGCTCAATATTGATCAACAGTCTTTCATAATGATGATCATGATTTGAATCAATTGAGTTAATAATTAATCTGCTGTATCCAGTACAGTTTTATGATTCAATAATTATTTACTGATTGTTATTGCTGATTATCATGGAATCAGAATCTCAGAAATTCAATCTCTCCCCTGATGATTATCACGATCACCGGGTGTCCAATCCATTAAAAAACAGTTGATCATGAGGACAACAAAACACTGAATCAATAACAATAACTTAGCCTAAAGGCAATTAACTCAATAGTTAGTTAACACCTTAACTATTTATAATTAACAATCATGATTCCATGATGATCATCATCATAATCATAAAAGTTAATCACCATTTCTCATATTAAACATTAGATTTAATCATTTTTCTCGGAGGAAAAAAAATTTAGATAAAAAAATCAACAGATTCTCATTTATCTAAGTTACTTTCTTGCTACTCCGCTTGTTCAATGCATCTATTTACTCACATGAGGATTATAACTCTCTGAGTCTTCATGATGATCATGATTATCATGATAATATCAAACCATTGATCCCTTAAGATACATTTACTTGAATCAGTGAAGACCAAAAAAAACAGGATGTAAAGTTATGGTAATGATAATTTCATAAACTCCCACTGAGTAGTTTCAACGATAACTTTGATTGATTAAGAACTTTTTTCCCCACCCGGTGTCTTAATCGCCCGTAAATACATGATAATACTCATGAACTGGGTCAGAATTTTTTTCCTTCTCAACAAATCATAGAATTGGATTACCTTTGGATGAAAATATTGGATGAATAAACAAACGAAAAAAAAATTCTTAGCAGAACTTTTTTTCTGACTGATTATTTCGAGCTTGGAATTTTTCAAATGTTCATAAATATCGAGATTCTGAATGAATTCAAGATAAATTCCACAATCATTACCATGTTTTCTAATCGAATTAATTTTCTTTTTTAGAACTTTTTTCTTCTCTTCGTTTCCATGGATAATAATTTTACTCACGAACTCATTTTACCCTTTTTCTCATCTTAATATCGTTCACATGGTAAATGAAATTCACCATGAAAGGTGAAAATAATATCATCATCCTCATGATAAAATCGAAACAAATAATTCCTCATGATCTTCCTGGAAAACTCTCGGGAAATTACAATTATCGATATTCATATGAACTTCAGCAGAGGGATTGGAATGATAATAGAAATGTCAAAGAAATAATCTTTCGGTTGTTGATATTAATAGAAAATACCCTTTAGGAATAGTTTAGAACTTTTTTATCCTTTGAAGAATAAAAAATCTATCATCATTAACTTGATTCTTATGATAATCTTATGAACAATTAATCATTCCAAAGGTAAACAGATTCACTTATCATGAAACAAACTCATTTGGATGAGATAATGATCCACAAGATTTGAACTTAACCAAATCCATGAATAAATATGTAATCGTTATTATCTTAAAGGATTAATCTGATTTATCAACAATCACAGGGAATCTTAATGAACATGATAACTTTAATAGTTTATCATCTTTACCTGGATAAATAAGGTAAGTATCATGAGGATAAGTAATATTATCTAATCTGAGGACAGGAATTACTTTAATCATCATCATGAGTGATAAGTATATTTGCAAGCAAGCAACCCATACTAAGGGATCCCGAGAGGAAACTAATACTAAGGTGAAGGTTTTACTTTTACTTAACACTTTATTTAAATTGTTTTGTTGAGGTTAGTAATTAAACGGTAATTAGTGAATTAAGGTGGGGGAAAAATAGAGGTTAACAGAGGTTGAACAACTTTAGAAAATGTAGAGAGAGTAATTAAAGATTATATATTATTAGAGGGATATTTAACCATTTCTTTCCAAAATGTTTCATTATCTTTTCTCTAATTAGAAGTTCTAATGACTTTTTCGAAACTTTCCAATACTTTTCTTTTTGTTCCATCTTGATCTTTGGCTTGATTTGATTCACTCGATTGATTTTTATAAGATTTACAACAATGTAAAAGGGAGATTGTTTGTTGAGGGAAAAAGGTCCTTTTTCCTTCAATTAAACAATTTACAACAATTAGAAAAATGATTAAGGGAATTTACAATAAAGATGTTGATTAATTGTTGTTGATTTACAATTTGAATTGTTGTCTTCTCTTTAGTGAAAAAGGTCCTTTTTCTCTTAAGATGAACAACAATTGGATAATTAATTTGATTAATTTCGATTGACAATTAGAGGTGATGATGTTGATGATTTGAGAAATCGATGAAAAATGAGATGATTTGTTGGGAAAAAGGTCCTTTTTCCTAACAATCAGGCTTTTTCTCACTAATTGTTAAAGGTGAGCTTTAATTAGCTGGTGATGATTAACTATTTTAGGCACTTTGAATCACAGGTAAAGAGTTGAGTCACAATTTCTTTCTTACAATAGCTTTTTGTCTCTGGGAAAAGGTTCTTTTCTCTTGACAAAATCGCTAATTAACTCTTAATTTGCACTTGAGATGATGAAAGGGGTTGACAATTATTACAATGATAATAGTTTAAGGTTACAATTTATCTAAACTTTGTATCAAAATCAAATTTTCTCACGGTTCAATTATCTTCGAATTGTCTTACTAATTGGTAAGATGAGCTGTTTCTGTTGGGGAAAAAGGTCCTTTTTCCCCAGCTGAAATAAGCGTCTTTGGCGAATATTAGCTGATTGAATTTCTAATTGACTTTTCTAATCGAGATTCGACTTTGATCTAATTTGATTTTGTTCACAATATAACGTATTATTTGAATGGGAAAGGTCACTTTGTCGTTGAGGAAAAAGGTCCTTTTTCCTCTTCGACAATATGAGCTCTTTAAAAGAAAAAGTTTTTCCTTGGTTCCATTCTGATTGTTAGTTGAATTGAATCTTAAATTGAATCGGTTCTTTCTTTGTTTCTTTGTCACCTTGTCAGGGAGAAAAGGTCCTTTTTACCCTGACAAGGAGAATCACGTTGACCCAAAGAAACACTTTTTGGTTTTATGATGATTGATTGATGAGGTCGATGTTACAACTAATTTGATCTATTTGAATGTTTCCAGTCTTTGAATCGGGTGAAAAAGGTCCTTTTTCGCCTTGGTTTGTCTCGATAATGCTTGGTTTAAATGAACGCGATGGTGACCAATTGTTACTTTTATTTGAAAACGAACTAGATTGAACTGGAATAATCGATGGTTGGAACTTGTGGTTCCTTTTTCTATCCCACCTTGTCAGGGAGAAAAGGGCCTTTTTACCCTGACATTTATGTTTACCTTTATGGTAAACTTGAGTTGAATGGTGAACTATTGTTTCTTCTTCTCAAATCAACAAGAGGTGGAACAAGGTCCTTGTTCCTCCTCAGAGTTGATTGATGAAGAAAACAATTAACAAATTAATAAACATAACTAATTAAATTGTAACAATTTCATTTAAATAAAGACAAAGGAAAGGTCGAGAACACAATGGCGACTTTCTTAATTAAAAGACAATGTGAGGGAGTTGCCATGGTAACAGTTCGAGTTGACGCTGTGAGGGGGCGTCTAAACGCATTTCCTTTTCAACGCTTGTTGATTCCACTTGATTGTTAATTTGATTTGTTTGATTGTTTTAATTAATTAATTAATTAATTTTGTGGTTGTTTTGATTGTTTCTCGGGGAAAAAGGTCCTTTTTCCCCTTGAACAATCAATCAACAAAGATAATTGTGTTGATCTTTGTGATCAAAAAAAAAGTGTTAATAGGAACAAGTGTTTTTGAAAATTCTAAATAGAATTTAAATATAAAATAGAATAGAAAATGTTAAATGGGAAAGGAAAGAGAAGAGAAAAGAAAAGAATTTATTGGATCATTTGGTGACTAATTTGATGATTTGGACATCTGATCGGGGACAAGGTCCTTGTCCCTATCAAATGTCCTCCGTTGTCTTGTTGTCATCTCATGAGACTTTGTATATTCTTTTCTCTTGTAAGTTCTCT